AGAAATTGGGAGGGAGATAAAGAAAGAAATTGGGAGGGGGAAAAGAAAGAAATTGGGAGGGGGGAAAGAAGGAAATTGGAGGGAGAGAAGGAAATTGAAGGGGAGAGATTGACATTCATCACACACAATGCACCACTTACACACAGAAAAACACACAATGCATTACACACACAGACACACATACACAAGCAATGCATCCCTCACACACACACAAACACACAATGCATTCATTACACACACTCAATGCATCCCTTACATACACACACTGCATCCCGTACTTACACAGAAACACACCTTGCAGCCCTTACACATACAAACACAGATTCACACAATGCATTCCCTACACACTCCACCCCCTCATTGGTGGAAACTCATTGGTGGAACATGAAGGTGGACCCTGGGACCCAGACCTTGAGCTGTGTAAAGGACCCCCAAAAAATGGAGCTGCTTCCCGTTCTCCCAGAACATTGATTTTTGTGACCACAGTTACAAACCGCCTCCAGAGAGCCTGTTCTACACCAGACCAGTGGAGCCAGACTGCAGCTAGAGCCCATCATCATCCTCATCTGGTTGTAAGTAGGCAATCTAGTATATTATTCGTGGCACTAATCTCTAATTTACCTCACATTAAAGAAACACTATAGTCCCCAGAACCACTGCAGCTTAATGTAGGTGTTCTGGTGTCTATAGCCTGTCCCTGCAGGCCTTTAATGTAAACACGGCGGCACTGCAGCACTGGCGTTAGTTAACATGGCAGATCATATGGGTGGGCCATTGTGATGTCACATGGGGGGGGGGCAAACTTTACTTTTGCCTAGGGCGACAAAAATCCTTGCACTGGCCCTGGCTGGAGGGGGCTGTGTGAGCTGTGGCCGCACAGTGCCCCATGGTAGTTAGGAAAAGTGTATGTGTGACTGTCTGCCTGTGACTGTTTGATGTTGCCTGTAACCGTGTGTGACTGTCTGTCTGTGACTGTGTGCATGTGACTGTCTGCTGCTGTCATGTGTGTGTGTCAATGTATATATGACTGTCTGTGACTGCATGTGTGTCTGTGTGACTGTCTGCCTGTAGCTGTGTGTGACTGTCTGCCTGTAAATGTATGTGTGGGGCTGCAGGGATTTTGTAGAAGGGGGCGTTTTTTTTTATTGGGACAGGAGTCTTTATAAGGGGGGATAAGCAGGGGATTTGTGGAAGGGGATGCGGGGGTTTTGTAGACGGGGCAGTACAGGATTTGTAGAAGGGGCAAGACAGAGGTTTTGTAGGAGGGGTGGGGCAGGACAAGGGTTTTGTAGGAGGAGCTGACAGTGGTTTTGCAAATTTTACAAATTGTAAAAAAAAAAAAAGAGAAAACCTTTAACATTTTTTTACAGTTTTTTTGGGGGGGGGGCAAGGGGGTGCCAAGCACAGGATCTGCCCTGGGTGCCAAATGCTCTAGGAGTAGGCGGTGCTGTCTTAGTTGGACAGCCTGTATGAATGGCAGGCAGCCTGACATGCATTCATGCCAGGCTGGCCTTCCAATTCTTTGGACAGACATGCCCCCTTTTTGGGCATGTTCTCCCATTTTGGCAGGTCTGGTCACGTGATTCGCACCAGTGGCCCACCCTTTTACCCCACCCATTGACTTCCTGCTTTATTGGATACTGCTGTTATGGGGTATGGATTTACTTGAAAGATGAAAGCATAAATTAGAGAGGGATTAGCATAGAGTATGTATTTTCGTATAGCTGCATCCTTTTGAGTTTCCCTCCAGCACCATCAGATACATGACGCTTGAGAGGTCTGACTGTTTTAGTGGTTTTGGTCCATAAAATTCTGTAATTAGGGCCATCATAATTGTCAGCACCAGGCCCACTGGGCTCTTAATCTAGCCCTGCTCATGGGGTGTATGTCCTTGCGTTGTATGGCTTTTGCGGCTTTCTCACCCTCAGTCCCCCTGTGTCCCGACCCCCCTCCCAAACTTTTTGCTCATTGTAGATGCGTTGTATGTGTGTGTGTCCCTTTGGTAGTACTCACGGTTGTGCAGTGTTAGAGTCCCCCTCCTCCTGCCTAGGTTACGCTGTGAGTCCCCTCAGTTACAGCTCCTGCCGTGCTGGGCCCTGGCCCCGGTCTTGTTGGCGTAATTGCTGGGGTCCTTGTGCGCCTGGTTTAGGTCTGCGTGGTTATTGTGGTCCTGGTGGTTGTTGGAGGAATGATCTCGCTAGCCACCTTAGGCCTCCCACCTATTGCAGTGGGAGGCCTAAGGTGCGTAGGAACTCCGAGACCTCCTCTGGTTTCGGCACCATCAGCTGGTCTGGTCCGTGTCTGGCGGAGATTGAGAACGGGTAGCCCCAGCGGTATGGGAAGCCCGCTTGTTGTAAGGCAGATGTCATCGGGCGTAGGGCTCTCCTTGCCTGTAGGTGTAGCGGGATAGGTCCCGGTATACGGATATGATTTGGCCTTCTCGGCGTATGGTGCCCATGCGGCGGGTAGTGCGTAGTATTTCCTCTTTTATTTGGTAGTTTTCTAAGCAGCAGCAGCATATTATGTCCCTGTGTTGCTCTTCTGGCGCTGGCATGGGCCTCAGTGCCCTGTGTGCGTGGACTATGCCTTTTCTGGGCTCCCAGTATAAGGGTGAATAGGTGTCTTAGTAGTTCTGGCACGTTTTCTGACGGGCCTCTCTCTCTCGCCCCGCGGACGCACAGGTTCAGTCTGTGCCCGCGGTTGTCCAGGTCGTCTATCCATGTTGTGAGGTATGCCATGTCTGCCTCTTGCTTTGTGACATTTGTGGTAGTCTGTTCCAGGTCCGTCCTGAGAGCCCTTGTCTACGTCTCCGTCACCGACATGCGGGCCTCTATGTTCGCCATGTCAGCGCGCAATTGTGCCACCTCACCCTGGTGGAAGTATTTCTTGGGCCCCACTTCTAAAGCAAAGGTGAGCATAAGATATGTCCTCAACTACCACAATGCCTTGCCAGCTACAGCTACCATGTGTGCAGTATTTACGTGTTTGAATGTGTGCTTTGTTGGTGTTTGATGGCAGAGGTCTATTTGTTTGTATTGATGGCATTTACAATCAAGGGTGTACTTGGGTGTAGTACTGGCAGTTGAACACAGTTGTGTATTTGTGTGTAGTGGTGGCGTTTGAGTGCAGGGGTGTTTTTGTGTGCAGTGTTGGTGTCTGAATGCAGTGTTGTATGCATACACTGCCACACACACACACTTAGATAAAGATACACAAACACAGAAGACACACTAGCATACAGATACACAAACACTGACACAGATACACACATGGACATACAGATACACATAAACCCTGTGACAGACACACAGCTGCATCCCTTATTCTCCTCCAACCCCCAACTGACTTTGGCTCTAGCCCAAACCCACTTTCTTCAACCCCACTTTACTAATGAATGATAACCACTAACCAGCAGAGTAGTCCCCAATCCAGATGGTAGATCTTTTTTTATGACTGTGCACTTGATGTTGGGGGCTTTCCACGTGGGGCTCCTCCTGCCTCCAGAGACTTGTGGATGCATCTTGAGGAGCCCCACGTGGGCTGCAATGCAGTGATTTGGAAGCTCAATCTCCACATAGTCTCTGTGTGGCCCAGCCTCCCTCTCCCTGTGCAGCTGTAGCAGCAGGATATTCGACTGAGGTCTGATGCAGCCTAGAAAGCCCCCAACATCAAGTGCACGGTCAGAAAAAAAGGGAACTACCAGGCCTCTCTGCTCACTCCAAAGGGCAGCTGCAGGGCTCCAAAACTTTCTTGGGCCCCCGTACGGTTTACCGGCAGTTCCTAACTCTGTTATGCTAGTATTTCAGTGATGAGGCTGACCAGATGAGAATGCAAAAAATAGTTTCCAGGATGAGCTTAGTCTCATTGCAAGTATATAACGGGAGTAGGCACAAAACTGGGGCATAAGGTGCAGGCAAGTAAAACTCTTGGTTAAGCTGGGACAGACAATCACACAAACCATCCAAATCACACCCACACAGTACACCACAGGGCCGCCATCAGAAATTTTTGGACACCTGACAAGGCACAAGGTTTGTGTGTACTAGATGCAATGTGCTTAGTGGATGCAGTGTCTGTAGTGGATGTAGTGTGTGTATTAGACGCAGTGTTTCAATGTGTGGTGGATTTAGTGTGTGTACTGTGAATACAGGATGTTTGTGTAGTGGATGCTGTGTGTATAGTAAATGCAGAGTGTGTGTCAGTATAGTAAATGCAGAGTGTGTGCATAGTGTAATGAATGTAGTGTGTGTGTTGTATTAGTGTGTGTGTTGTATTAGTGTGCAAACTATGGGGGGGAGGAGGGGCATTTTCACATGAAATTTAATTAAATGTTAATTACCTGTGTCTAGGGAGGAGGGAGATTCCATTCCCTGGTGGTCCGGTGGCATGAGGCGGCACAGCAAACTGCGTCTTCACATTCAGTTCATTTCCTGCAATAACTCTCGTGGTAACCCGTGGCAATGCTCGCGAGAGTTATTTGAAGAAATGAACTGAATGTGAAGACGCAGTGTGCTGGGCCCCCTCTGCGGTAACAGGGAGCCGGGGGCCCGCGGCTGCACACATAGATAGCGATATTCACTATGTGTGCAGAGAGGACCGCCGGGCCTGTAACAACCATCATGATTGTCACCCCCTGATGGCGGCCCTGGTACACCTGCCAAAATCACATATTATACAGCACATAGATAAACCAGTAAATGTAACAAAATAAACTATGGAAACAGGAATACAAAAGGTGATAAAGGATGTGGTCAAACAAAAAAAATAGGATATAATGCAGCAAAAGTGCATTGTAGTGAGAAAAGAACTTCACAATCTGCATGTGCAAACAGTATACAAACAAGAAATAAAGCATACACATCATACTTGGAGGAAAGTTCCATCATGCATTTTAAACAACATCCTAGTCAATCTTATCTGATCTATTTAACGTAAGATGTCAGTCACTTATCACAGTCTGCTAAATCAGCAACATTTTGAGCAGTTATTCTACCAAGAATAGGATATTAGTTTTTTATGACAGTGAATATTAGTAAACCCCATTTGTCCGTAAATGTCGACGTTTAGTCCACTAAAAACAGGAAGCCTGTGTTTCAAAATAAGTTTATTTAGAATATAAATATTGTAGCTCTGGAGAAATTAATGTGACTTGTCTGTGGGGTTTAATGCAATTGCCTTAAATTTTGGAAAGTTTGATCTTGTCAATCCAGCATCATAGCTTTCCTTGCTGTAGATGTACAATTGGGATATCAGCCATATGTCATCGGATATTGGCAGTCATTGCAAGTGTTACTTCAGGGGTGAGAAAGCAGCCGGCACGAGGAGCACATTCTTCTGGGAATCCAGAAATCTTACACTTTCTCTCACTGAAATGAGGAGAAAAAAAATACATTATTTAATCAGCCATCAGCAGGAATGGAGTCAATACTACATGCTGAGCAACAGAAGCTGCCATAGAGACAGGGCTGGATCTACTGTTTGTGGGTCCAGGTGCAAGATAAAATGCAGGGCCACTTTATTTTTATTTTCTTTAAAAAAAATGTACCAGTTTTGGCAAATGCAGCCAAGTGCGTTGTGAGCTATTTGATAATCTGCTTTGCACATCTTGCACATGCAGTGTGGATTTCAATACTTCGAAAGGCTGATTGACAGCCTTCCAGGCAGAGGGTAACCCTGCACTTTGAAGGGCTGTCACAGTCTGCAGGGACAGCTAGGGTGAGATTGGGGTATATGTAGCCCACCATGAATGTGGGAGAATAGGTATTGTGTGGGGTATATAGCAACTTTAGGTTGTGCCTGGTGGATATGGGCTGTAGTGTATGCACAGGGGGGAAGGGGTTGTACTATGTGCAGTGGAGAGATAGGGGCTGTTGGGGGAGTAAAGGCTTTAGGAGGAATAGGGGCTATAGTGGGTGTATAGTAGTTTTGTTGGGGCTGTAGTAGGTCTAGGTTAGGAATAGGGTGGTTAGTGAGTGCTAGATATATAGGAACTGTAGTGGGGGCAGGAAGGATAGGGTAAATTGTAAAAAAATAACACTATTTCCACCATCCCTTCTTATTGGCCAGGGAGGGGTCTGTTCAGTGGTAATTAGGGACTCTCTCCTGGGTACAGGCTCAATACACTCCTCTTGTGAGCTTTAGCATTATGGTGTGTCAGTGTTGCCATGGTAACCTGTGACAATGCTCCGAACTGCCAAGCTAGCAAGAGGAATATTATTTGCCCTGCAGAGGTACAGCATAGAACCTCCTGGGTCTTCCCTCCTCTGCAGTAATATGCCCTGAGCTGGTAAGAGAGAATATAATACCCTCTCCAGTCTGTGAAGACACACATGGGCCAGTAGAGGATCTCCCCGGTCAGCCTCGACCCATGACCATCGCAGCCCAACTGCAGTTTGTCCAATGGTCAGTTTGTGCCTGGCGCCTCTGGTAGAAACGCAAGGCTGTGTGCAGTGCACCTCCTGAACTTGCCAAGTCCTGGCCCGACAAAGAACACATCTATTCTAGTTCTAAAATGTTAACAAGCATGAACAATCTCCGTAAGCATCTGTTTATCATGCTCGACCTAGAAACTGACAAAGTGACTTGAGTCCAAATAGTAACAATAAAAAAGCTCCTTGTAAATTGATTTTATTATTAATACTACCTGTGTTTACACATCACCTATCTGGGAGACTTCTAAAAGGAAAGACTAAGATGTGCTCAGTGCAGGGAAACTCAACCCATGTCCTAATGGCCAAGGACCCACTAAACACCTCAGTTTGGCCTGCATACACAACCATCACATAAATACATTACCTGGTAATCACATCAAAGAGATTCCAAAATGTCCATGCTCAACAGAAGGACCATGAATGTGCTAACTAAGCACTTCTTTGTGAATGTGATGGAGACTCCAGGGGACTTTTAAATGGAAATCAGTGACATTCAATATGACTAAGTCCTAAAAAAATCAAATGTAATGAAATATGGATGCTAGAATTTTACTTAAAGTATGTAGAAAAGGGGAAATGAAGAATGAAAAATGCATGCTACAAGAATCTTGAAAAAATCAGAAAAAAGAATGGGGAGTATTGTTCCTCTTTGGAAGCTTATGTGAACAGATGCTTTCTAGAATGAGGACAAAAATTACTGATTGTCATCTGGATTACTGCCTCCATTAGTTACCACAAAAATAGTTCCTAACATTGAATTATTAGTAAAAAAATAAATAAAAATAAACAGCAGTGCTCTCATTAACCGAATCTTCTTAATTACTATTGTATTGTATAAAAGAGTTGTCTGTTGTGTGGCCCACGACCAATACCACATTTTCAAAGTGGCCCTTAACTTTCAAAATGTTGAACACTCTTGTTCTAAAGGGATACAATGGGTATCTGCTTCTTCCTGACTGCATTAGATGGAGTGAGATAACATTATCTACAGAAACGTATAAGGATTCTTTTTTTTTTTACTATGGTTCTCTTTCTGAAGATTTAAAAGACTCATTAATTTCAATAATTATTGGAGGAATAAAAATCTCCTGACATTTTGGTGTTGCGATTCCATTTCTTGCTGTTCCTTTAAATTATATAATGGTCATCAGTCACAAAATGTTATCATTGTTGTGTGTTATCATCATGGTTTTTACAACAAGTTTTATTACTGGGTCTCCGCACTTCAGTATCTAGTGCTGATTCTGTAACACACATAAGTGTTCCTCCTTTCATGCCACCAGTATGTCTGATATATGCTTACATGTACTTCAGTTAAAGTTAGACTCTAGGAACACTAGATGTATTATTTTTATTGCCATTTATATAGCGCCAACAGATTCCGTAGCACTTTACAATATTATGAGAGGGGGGATTTAACTATAAATAGGACAATTACAAAAAAACTTACAGGAACGATAGGTTGAAGAGGACCCTGCTCAAATGAGCTTACAGTCTATATGTAGTGGGGTATAAAACACAATAAGGCAGGAAATTGCAATTAAATAAGGTGGGATTGAAGCAGAGCTGGAGGAGAGAGTAAAGAGCAAGAGACAGGTATGTAAGGTAGAATTTATTCTGGGAGGCCATAAGCTTTTCTAAAGAGATGGGTTTTAAGGCACTTTTAAAAAGATTGAAGACTAGGTAGAGCTTGAATGTTTTATGCAGGCTTTTCCAAAGAAAAGGAGCCACCCGCGAGAAGTACTGCAAGCGTGAGTTGGCTGTACAGGTGTGCACAGCAGACAGGAGGTGGTCACAGGCAGAGCAGAGAGACCGAGAAGGGACATACCTATGGATCTGTGAAGATATATAAGAGGGGCTAGAATTGTTCAGTGCTTTCTAGGTATGAATTAGTACCTTGAATTGACTTCTAAAGGATACAGGAAGCCAATGTAAGGACTGGCAGAAGGGTGAGGTGTGAGAGAACAGACTAGAGAGCAAAATCAATCTGGCGGCAGCAAATTATTACGGACTGCAGTACGGCTTTTGGGAAGACCAAAAGAGAGAGGGTTACAATAATCCATGCAGGAAATTACTAGAGCATGGACAAGCTCCTTGGTAGCATCTTGTGTAAGAATGGGGCGGATGCGGGCTATGTTTTTAAGATGGATTCTACAGGATTTGGCAACATACTGGATGTGAGGCTCAAAGGTGAGGCCAGAATCAAGTATGGATGCCAAGACAGCGCGCTTGCAAGGATGGACTTATGTGGGTACCATTAACTTGAAGGGAGAGCAAAAGAGGAGGATCAGGGTTAGGAGGAGGAAAGACAAGGAGCTCAGTTTTAGAAAGATTGAGTTTCAGAAAGCGGGAGGACATCCAGTCAGAGATGGAAGAAAGGCAAGCAGTGACACGTTGCAGGATGACAGGAGAGGGGTCCGGGGAGGAGAGATATCTGGGTGTCATCAGTGTACAAGTGGTAGTGGAATCCAAAAGAGGTAATAAGTTTGCCAAGAGAGGCAGTATAAAGAGAAAATAGAAGGGGACCAAGGACAGAGCCTTGGGGGACTCCAACCGAGACAGGACGAGGGAAGGAGGTATCATTAGAAAAGGAGACACTGAATGAGCGTTGGGAGAGATAAGAGGAAAACCATGAGAGGACAGAGTCACAGAGACTGAGTGATTGAAGAGTTTGAAGAAGGAGAGCATGATCAACAGTGTCAAAGGCAGCAGAGAGGTCGGGGGACTGCAACTGAGACAGGACAAGGGGGAGGCGGTATCATTAGAAAAGGAGACACTGAATGAGCGTTGGGAGAGATAAGAGGAAAACAACAAGAGGACAGAGTCACAGAGTGATTGAAGAAGGAGAGCATGATCAACGGTGTCAAAGGCAGCAGAGAGGTCAAGAAGAATTAGTATGGAGTAGTGGCCTTTGGATTTAGCTGCGATTAGGTCGTTAGTAACTTTGATAAGCACAGTCTCAGTAGAGTGGAGAGGGCGGAAGCCAGATTAAAGAGGGTCAAGGAGAGCGTTGGAATTGAGGAAGTGAGACACATGGGTAAAGACAAGTCTTTCCAGAAGCTTTGAGGAAAGAGGGAGCAGGGATATAGGACGATAGAGGGGGAGGACTGGTCAAGAGATGTTTTTTTCAGGATAGGTACTACAGTGGCATGTTTAAGATCAGGAGGGACGCCAGAAGAGAGAGAGCAGTTGAAGATGTGTGTTAAGGAAGGCACAAGGCAAGTGGAGAGAGTTCTGATAAGGTGAGAGCGGGCAAGTGGTGGTGCGAGAGGAAAGGAGAAGTGCAGCCACCTCTGGATCAGTAGGCGCGGAAAAAGTCTGGGTAGAAAGGGTAGAAAAGGCATGATCTATGTGTGGTTAACAAAGAGAACGGCAAAGAGGGGAGAATTCTTTCCTTAGCTGTTCAATCTTGTTGGTAAATTAACATGCAAAGCTATCGGCAGTAAGGTTAGTTTGGGGGGTTCCCACAGCAGAGTGAAGAAGAGAATTAAAGGTGTGAAAGACGCCTGGGATTGCGGTAGCATGAACTAATGAGAGAGGAAAAGTATGACTGTTTGGCGAGGGCAAGGGCTGCGCTGTATGAATACAATAAGAATCTATAATGGAGAAAGTCTGACTGGGTGCGAGACTTCCTCCAGGAGCATACATCCTTAACTGTTCTCCAGTCTGAATGTGTTTCTCTAACATGCCTCAAGGTTCTTTACATACCATGTTAGTTAGGTTCAGATGCTTTATAAGTAATCTAGCTAGACATATATCTACTGCAGAGACAGTTTGACTTAACCCCTTCAGGACCGCTGACAGTTCAGGACCGTCAGCGGTAAAACGTGCGTATGGACCACTGGCGGTCCTGAACCGTCATAGCGAAAAACGGGCTGCGGGAAGCGATCAAAGATCGCTCCCTCCAGTATAATGCTGTAACTATCTGCCAGACATCCCAGGCAGATAGTAACAGCCAATTGCAGTGTGTGAGTGATCTGTGATCACTCGCAATTGGCTGCTGTCAAAGTGGGTGTTACAAACACTCACCTTGACAGTGATCTCTGCCCCTCTCTCCTCTGTAGCGTTTTGTGAGGCGAGAGAGATCGTGATGATCATGATAGTTTGTTGCAGCAGAAGTGTTCCAGAGCTTTATACAGTATCTAAAGTGAAAAAAAAAATCCTTTTTAACCCCTTCCCTGCCAGATCTGTTACAGCAGTGCATTTGTACTGTCTGTATTTTTTTTTGCCCTTAAAGGGTTAAATTTGTTTTATAAAATCTGTATCTTGGTCTGTCTTAGTCAGTCAGTTTCCTTCCCCCAAATCTCCATTAGATTTTTGTGACAGGAGTTAGATTAGGGATTGCTGTTTAGTCTGTTTTAATAAAAAAAAAAAAAAAAAAGTTATTTTTTTGTGTGTGTTTATAATTTGTTTTAGTCGTGTGTAAAACATGCAGCATATGTATAACTTGCAGGAGGCATGTGCTTTCTTGGCGTCAGACTGACAGATTTTGACCCAGGTCAGTTTTCTGACATGTCTAGTCAAAACGACATGTCATCTGTGTGTGAGCCGGCTGGAGAAAGAAGCTGTGCTTCCTCTGCTACTCCGAATGTAGAGGAAAACTGGGTACCTCCACAGTTAGCAGAGCCCCACGTCCCACCTTTTAGTGCCAACGCAGGCATTAATGTTAATGTAGATGGCTTCTCCCCAATGCAGTATGTAGAACTATTTTTAGGGGATACCATCTGGGAGGAGATTGCTTCCCAGACTAACTTGTATGCTACCCAATTTATTCATAACAATCCAGGTAGCTATACAGTCAGGGAGCATGACTGGCATCCCACAGATGTCCCAGAGCTTAAAAAATTCTGGGCTCTTACAATGCTCATGGGGATTATAAAGAAGCGATCGGTTCGCTCATACTGGAGCACCAATCCAATAATGTCTAGTCCAGTATTCTCCCAAACCATGCCTAGAGCCAGATACGAGTTACTGCTGAGATTTTTACATTTCAGTGACAATACCCTCTGTCACCCTAGAGATCACCCCAATACGATAGGCTTCATAAAATACGCCCACTGCTAGACCATTTTCAGGACAAATTTTCGGATGTTTATACCCCCCAACAAAATTTATCCATAGATGAATCTCTAATGAAATACAAAGGGAGATTAGGGTTCAGACAATACATCCCTTCAAAGCGCTCTAGGTATGGCATAAACCTGTACAAACTGTGCGAGAGCAAAAGTGGATACACGTTTGCCTTTCGTGTATATGAGGGGAAAGATGGTCAACTGGACCCTCCTGGCTGTACTGACTCCCTGGGTACAAGTGGGAAACTTGTATGGGACCTACTAAACCCCTTATTTAATAAAGGTTACCACCTTTAAGTGGACAATTTTTATAGTAGTGTCCTTCTGTTTAAAACACTTTATGGTTTACAGACACTGGCCTGCGGCACTGCCAGAATAAATTCCAAAAAGACTTTCCACGATCTCTCATAGAGGCAAAATTAAAAAAAGGCAAATGTAAAGCACTTCGCAAACCTGAAGTGCTTGCACTAAGATTTAGGGACAGGAAGGATGTCAACATGCTAACCACCATCCATGACGAACACATGGCAGACGTCTCTGTCTGAGGCAGAGTAGAGTCCAAACCGGTTTGCATCAGGGCGTATAATAAGTACATGGGGGGGTGTTGATTTGGCTGATCAGCTGATGCAGCCATATCTTATTTTAAGAAAAACCAAAGCATGGTATAAAAAGGTGGCTATCTATCTAATGCAAATAGCAACCCACAACTCATTTTTGCTTTTTAAAAAAAATAACCCAGGGAAAAACCACCTTTCTCCAATTTCAGTTGAAAATTATTTCTTTAACAATTTATGGAGATGGACAAGTTCCAACAACGGTGCAAGCGGAGTCCAGACATTTTATTTTTAAGTTACCGCCAACTGCTAGAAACCCCCCCAGAAACGTTGCCAGGACAGACACCCTTTTTCACTGTCCTGATTGCCCTGCGAAACCAGGACTGTGTGTAGGAACATGTTTCAAGCTGTACCACACAGAACAGTTGTAAGAAGTGTTCCTGAATTTTTTATTTTATTTTTTGTTTCTTTGGAAAACAGCCATTTTTTGTTAGTCAGTTTCCATCCTCCAAATCTCTAGTTAGATTCTATTTGCAGGAGTCAGTTTAAAGATTGCTGCTAAATGTACATTTGCTACCTGCACATTTGGTCTAACATGTTTTCTGGCAGAAACACATAACCAGCTGGCCAAAACCAGATGACGTGTGCATAAAAAACAGAATTACAAAGTTACCACTACACTTTCTTTGGGAGGCAAAATGGTTGGGGGAAAGAAGTCAAAACTCCTTTTGAAAAAATATATGGTTTGATTGGGTTAAAATACACTGGCTCAAATGGGACATGGGCACAGGTTGATTACATGTCAAAATTCCAAGTTGGGAAACTGATAAGCGCGCCTGCCAAACGTGGCCTTTTAGCTCCCAAAGAACCGACAAGCCTACGCATGGGGGGTATCCCTGTACTCTGGAGATCTTGATGAACACATATTGGGGTGTTTGGCAGTGATACATAACAGGATCTGTTAGTTCATGCCTAAAGTACAAGGTGTGTGAAAAAACTGAAAAAAAATTACTAACTCAATGTTTGACAAAGCCTGGTGGTAGAATTAGTGCATGGAAAGTGTTAAAATACCACCAAGTGAAATACCCTAGGGTGTCTACTTATAAAAAATATATGGTTTGATGTTGGTAAAATACATTGGCCAGCTTCAAAAATGTCCCAAATAGGACATGCATGCAGGTTGACTACATGTCAATTCCAAGCTGGGAAACTGATATGCGCACCTGCCAAATGTGGCCTTTTAGCCCCCCAACAACCCGACACACCTATACATGTGGGATATCCCTGTACTCGGGAGATGTTGCTGAACACATATTGGGGTGTTTGGTAGTGACACCTAACAGAATCTGTGAATTTTTACCTGAATTGCAATGTATGTGAAAAAAATAAAAAAAATAAAGTACCTATGCAAAGTTTGGGAAAGGTTTGTGGTAAAATGGCTGCATAGAACGTATCAAAATATTCTTAGATGAATACCTTGGGTTATCTAGTTTAAGAAAAATATATACATGTGGGGTGTTTTGGGAGATTTATGACATAACAGTGTTACAATGTCACTATTGATACATTTGAAAAATGTACATTTTGAAACAGCAATTTCCTACTTGTACTTATAGCTACCCTATAACTTGCAAATAAAAGCAAAAAAACACATAAACATTGGGTGTTTTTAAACTCAGGTCAACATTTTGAATCTATTTAGCAGTTTGTTTCATTCGATTTTGTAGATCAGTAAAATATGTTTTTAAGTAAAAGTAAAAAAAAACTTGTAAAAAACGTATTTTATTATTATTTTTAATTAAATTATATGACATGATAAAAATAATAGTATGTAAAGAAAGCCCTTTTTGTCCTGAAAAACATAATATATAATTTGTATCGGAACAGTAAATGAGAGAGCGGAAAATTACAGCTAAACACAAACACCACAAAAGTGTTAAAACAGTCCGGTCCTGAAGGGGTTACCAAGGCTACTATTTGGGTAATACAAAAACATGTATCAAATGCATTCTGACTTTCTGCCACTAGAGTTCACCATTTAGCTAAAAACCAATACCAACTGAAGACTAAAGCATTCTTTCTTTAGGGAATTGTAATGAACTTACTTTGGCATTGAACAATGTTAGTCAAAATAAGAGATTTGTACAAATTCTTCACTCAGGTGTTAAAGGACAACTGTCAGCTCAAACCTATTTTTAGAACAATAAGCCTTTGATCTAGCTTTACAATGAAATCTATATTTTAAAACAAAAGTATATGTCAGAATCCAGAATCAGAATCCTTCATCCAAATACAGGGTCAGACAGTGTGTGAAAACAGACATTCTCCATGGTCTTCCCTGCTTCTGTACAGGGAGTGAAGCAGAAAACAACACAGAGATTGTCAGTTTTCAAACATTGACAGACCCATGTATATAGGTGAAGAATCCAGTCATATACTAAAGGTAGAGATTAGTGGTTCTCATTTTTTTTTTTACATATACTAAATATAAAAAAATCTGCTACCTTAAAAAAATGGATCAAAGGATTATTATAAAATAGTTGTGAGGTGACCCTTGTGCTTTAAAAGAACACTGGAGTTTGGTATACAGTCCTGTATTCTGAATGATATAGTGTTCTCTTTATTTAGATTCAGGCCCCTCTGTTTAATTGAAATACATATTGGAAAAAAAGGGTATTACTTACTTTTTTCCAGCACTGAGGTCTAGCACCTGCAGCCGCTCATCCTTCCATTACAGTCAAATCCAATGCTTCTCATTAGAGAGCCTAAAAGCAAATGCATGCAGTGCTGTGCTCCTGTTGGAGGCTAGAAGCACAGCTGAAGCACCTCTAAGGTGTATTAAACCATGCAATGTGAGCAGAGCAGGTGCAAGGAGTTTTGTGTGCGAAAGCAAAAATGATTGTGTCCTCCCCCAAAAAAGCATTTCTACCGGTGTGCCTCTTAATCCCCCTTTTGTGTCTGATCCCCTCTTTGAAATGTCTTACCCCCCTTGGTGTATCTTATGCCCTATTTTCCCCATTGTGTGTCTTACACCTCCCTTGTGTATTTCTTGCAACGCCCCTTTGTGTGTCTACTTCTCTCCCAGCCCCTTTGTGTCTTTTACTCTTCCCAGCACTTGTGTGTTTCTCTTTCACCCTCAACCCCTGTGTCTTATTCTCCTCTTCTCCAGCCCTTCTGTGCCTCTTTCACCCCGGCCCCTTTGTTTTTCCACCCACAGGCCCTTCTGTGTGTCTCTTACATCCCCAGCCCAATCTGTGTGTCTTTCTACCCGTTCATGTTCCTCTGTGTATCTTTCTCCCCAATCAGGCCCCCCTGTGTGCCACTCGTTCCTCCATGTCCCTTAGTGGTGCTCTCCCCTTCCTCTCCCCTTAGTGGTGCTCTCCCCTTAGAGGTTCCCTCTCTGGCCCCTTAGTGGTCCCTTCCCTGTCTCTAAGTGTTCCTCTCCCTTCCCTTTTCTCCCCTCTCTTAGTGTTCCTCTCTCCCATTCCCATCCCTCCCTTGCATGCCTCATTACCTTTCTTGTAGCATGGCTGAGCGGAGTGGACCGCAGTACAGGAGCTTCTGTTTCCTGTACCCGGCCGGACTTACAGGAAGTGCTCTCTCAGTGAGCACTTCCTGTCAGTCCGGCCGGGTACAAGAAACAGAAGTGCTGCCTGATGGATGCGCAGTCCCTGAATGTAAGCATTGCCTTATCTACTAAACTGTAATGCTTGACATTGCAGGGTTAAAACTACAGTACTGCTGCACCCAGATTTTGAGATGAAGTGGTCTGGATGCTTTTACTGTCTTTAAACACTTTGCAACTCACTGTTTAGTGAATAAACACATATAATGTATTACACTCCATTCATGGTTCCAGACTAAAGAAAGAGATGCACTTAGTAATGTAATAGGGTTTGCAAAGGGTGATTGGGCTAAACTAGAAAATGAAAAGCTCATAGCCAAAGAGAGCCAGACCAACTCCCAAAAAGTTTTTTTTTTTTTTTAATACATTAATGCCAAAAAAGGTTAAGTGTGACAGTGTTGGTGCATTGGAATCGGAGAGGAGTGTGTGAATCAAAAAGGAACAGGACAAGGAAGAAGTTCTATATGATTTTCTACAGGGGTTGAAAAGCTCAACCAGGAAACTAGACAGGAATCAACATGGTTTTATGAAAGACAGGTCATGCCAAACTAACTTAATTGCATATTATGAAGAAGTTAGTAGAAATATAGATCAGGGAGTTCTAGTGGTTTGTGATCTACTTGGATTTTGCCAAGGCACAGTTCCACACAAAAGGTTACTATGAAAACAGACATCAGTTGGTTTAGATGAAAAACAATGGCTTGAAGATTGAGGCATAATTTTTTTTTTTTTGTCTCTGCACTCTTGCGGGTTCCATTTCACTTTGATCGGTTTATAAATTATCTTGACATGGGTATTGAGAGACATAGGTTGGTGTTTGCAAATGACACAAAACTAGGTAAGAAAATATAGTCTGAACAAGATATAACTTCTCTACGGAAGGATTTGGATAAATTGAGGGACTTGGCAGGCAAGTGGCAGATTCAATACTGATCAAAGTCATCCATGTTGGAATAAGGAAAGACCTACACAATAAATGGTTGAGTTGAACATTATACCGATCCATTAAATGGGGTTGAGTTAATAACATTAAATGAAAAGAACTTGGGAATAATTATATTCAGCACCGGTTTTGCATATTTGTGCTGTTGTGAGGGATTCTATTCAGGGGGTTAAATAATATTGAGACTGGAGACAGCATTATAAGTTGCAATTTCAGTGGAATTTTGGGAATCCACTTACACCTTATATTCAATGGGGGTTGAAAAATGTTGATTACAACTGTATGCAAATAGATTGTTAATTTAAGGAGAAACCTTATTGCCACTATGGAGCCATGAAATAATGGTTTTCCCTTTATGTAGCATAATTGAAAATTTAAAAAATGTTTTCTTCTTTTGGATCAACAGCATAAAAGAATAGATTTTAAATATTGAATTTGATGGACGTTAGTCTTTTTTCAACCTGGATTACTATGTAACTATACACTTTAAGTGGATATTTTATTCTACCAGGAAGAAATCATGAGACGCAACCATCCTTGATAATCTCATTATTTAATACAATTTCTAATTCCTAAGAACATGGGCCCAGACTGACCATCTGGCAATTCACAGATTAGCAAATAATTTAGCACATGTAAGTGTACTAGACCTCTACTAACAGGTCAAACAGGAGATATAAAACACAAGAAAGCTTGTGGCTGTGTAAAATAGTGTTCCAGGTTTATATAATGCACATTTTTTTGTAAATCTGTTTTTATTGAAGTTTTTGACAGTATTTATACATAACAAAAAGGTATTTTAAATGAGACACGCAGGTCTCCAGCATGGTATGAACAGGAGTACATCGTTTGTGTGATATGCGTTACCTAGAGGGTCTTGGGTGCAGTTGGGGTCATGAGGTTAAGTTATTGCCACAAAATTTTCAGCTTATAAGCATGTTAATTACATTTCCCAGTTTCCCCATCCCCTCCAACAAGTATCATAGATTACATCCCCGTTTCATACGACCTGTCTCGCATGTTTGCCCAAGCCTTGGACTTGGGGTTAGCCTCATGTATAGGTGGAGCTGCGTCGTCCCCCATTATATGCGGTCTAATTATATCTTGTCTGGTGTCGGTATGCTTAGTTGGGGATGAGGTTATCATTGTCGTGTTATGAGATGTGTGGGTGTGTGGTTGGCTTTATGTGTGGGCGGTGGTGGTGTTTCAGTGTGAGCGTTAGTGTCTTGTCCTTGCTCAATGTTTCATGTTTTCCGGCTTTGCGTGCCATGTGTCTTATGAGGTTCTGAGATGTGTTGATGGGTCCGTGGTTAAGTGGATGTGTGTCATTTCTCGTGAGTGATAAGGATGCCTGTTGAGAACGCGTCCTCTGTTTCCGTGATAGTGGTCCCTCTGTGTTCCTGATGTAGGGTTGAAGGAGGGGGGGAGGAGAAGGAAATGAAAGGGAGGGTCAGTAGGGAGAAATGGGTAGGTTCTCTATGCGGAAGTGTGGTGTAGAATTGTTTCAGTTGCATGAAAAGTGTGCTTTAAGAGGTGCCTGGGTTTGCCCGCCCGGCCGCCTCCGCCCCGTAAGTGTCAAGCGATATAAACAAACCATGGCCTCCACATTTCCACATGTTTGGTGTCCCTACCCGTTAGGGAAGCCGGGAGTGCCTCTGCGCTCTGGATGTCCTCCACCTGTTGAATCCACTCTCTTTGTTGGGATGTCAGTTTTCTTCCAGTGGGCCAGTATGGATGCTTTGGCCGCGTTCTGTAGGTGTCGGAGGATTGATTTTTTTATAGCTCAAAATCGTTTGTTGAGAGATGTGTAGTAGAGCAAGTTTTGCCGACCAGTCTGGGACATCTCCCAGCACCAAGGTCACTTCGGTTTTCACCATGGCCTAGTATGAGCGTATGTCACGGCATTCCCACCATATATGTAGCATTGAGCCTCTCTCTTGACATCTCCAGCACGTCGGTGGCGTAGTCAGAAATATCCTGTGTATTATGGTCGGTGTTCTATACCAGCGGGCTATGAGTTTGTAGTTTACCTCCTGATAGTAGGAGCTCGTGGAACTTTTATGTTGCCACACTAGGGCCTTATCCCACTGTGGCGCTGTCAGTGTCTTACCTAGGGATTCCTCCCATTGTCTCTGGAAGGTATGATTGTTTGGTTGGTCGTCTGTTAATAGCTGTTGATACATTGCGGAAACGGCATGATCCGTCGTGGTGCCTTGGGCACACATTCCCTCAAACCACTTCAATTACCTGTGCACACGTTCTCTATGCGGAAGTGTGGTGTAGAATTGTTTCAGTTGCATATATCGGAGGGTGATCATGGCAGTCCGCGGTCTACCCTCCAGGAGCGAGTCTAGGTCTTGTAGTTCACCTGCTCGCCAGGCTCAGCTTATGGGGATGTAGTCCCCATTGTCCAGAATTCTCCACGCTCTGGCTGACAGGCCACCTCCTATTTTGCTGTTATATGTCACTGGGAGCAACGGACTAGGTGTAGGTGAAATGTGTGGCTTTTTTCTCAACTATTTCCATTCTCGTAGCGTCTGCGCTACCGGCCCCTCGTCCCTTCCCGGTTCTTGAGTTCTCAGATCTCCTCCCCAGATCATCGGTTCCATTGTCCCCTTGTTAGCTTTCCTGTCCAGCGTTACCCATTGTTTCTGTGGGGGGGTCAAAATGCCAGTCCAGGATGCGCTGCAGTACCATGGCCTGGTGGTTTTTTTTTGTTTTGGTTTTTTAAAATTCTTTATTTTTGTTGTGCATATTTGTAGTACGGGCAGGCAAGAGGTGCTCCGAGAGCAGTCCTCCAGCATTTCCCACGCTCAACATGCGGGGCACAAGATGAACAAGCACATTTTATATTAATGACAAGTATAAACAATCGATTGTAGAAGTAGCTATAGGGTAAATTTAGGCTGGGTCAATGCGTTGACTAAACTTTAAATGCTCTAAATAATGCTGGTGCAACATATATATTATGAAAGTAAACTAAAGCTTTATGATTAAATAATAATCGTGCATTGGTTAGCAACAGGCTACAGTTAGGTAAATCGCTTTAATGCTATTATCACCCCGGCCGACCGGGACCACTCATGCTGCCTCTGCGGGGAGCCATCTTCTTGGTGGTCCAGAGACCTCACACTCAGTGGGAGTCCCACTATCATTCGATACCTGCTCTGCCCTATCTGTGTAACATGGAGCGAGTGTCCACCAGAGCAGGCATCAGGCCACAGTCCACTCATGCTGCACTGTAAGGTTCTCGCTGGTTCCTCTGAGTCTGCAGCTGTGCTTCAGTATGCTTGTCCCTCTTGGTTCTCTGAGGGTCGGCGTCAGCCGTGAAGGGGAGCTTGGTGTAGCCTGGTGGTATTTTCTAAAGTCCGGCAGCGCCAGTCCTCCCCTGACCCTAGGTAGACACAGTATGTCATGCCGTAGACTGGATCGTTCACCTCACCACGTAAAGCGTATGACCGCAGATTTCAGAGAGGAGAAGAAGACCGCCGGCGGTGTTAGGGGTATTGTCTGCAGGAGGTATAGAACTCTGGGAAGCACGTTCATTTTGAGCACTGCTATGCACCCGTGCCATGTTATGTGGGGGTATCCCCACTTGGAGAGGTCCGCCACGATCGTGTGCAGCAGGGGTTGAAAGTTGTGCTCCTATAGCTTTCCGGGGTCTGTGGTTACCCATATGCCCAGGTATTTCATTTTGTGTTGGCACCATCTAAACTCAAACTGTGATTCTAGCGATATGTATTCGGCTGTGGGTATTGTAAGATTTAGCACCTTGCATTTTGATATGTTGAGCTTGAATCCCGAGATTTCGCCATAAAGTTTGAACTCCGCTAGAAGGTTTGGTAAGGTTATTCGGGGTTGCTTGATAAAGAAAAGCAAATCATCCGCGTTTGCCGCGACTTTATGGGTCGCTCCCCGTCCTTTATGTCCCTGTTTGTTCGGGTTCAGGGGAATCACAGGCAGGAGTGGTTCCAAGGACATAGCGAATAATAGAGGGGAGAGGGGGCACCCTTGTCTGGTTCCATTGCTAAATGTAAAGTCCGCAGTTCGGGCTCCGTTGACCTGCACGGAGGCTCTTGGTTTGCTGTATATGGCTATAATGCACATTTTATGTTCTTCTGATTAACGTGCATTTTTAGTAAAGCCACCAGAGGGCTCAGCTTGAGAATTTTGAATAACACCACCAATTTAATTTTAATCATATTCAAAAAGTCAAAGTCGTTTTCACTGCAGCGCTCCGCTCAGGAGAGCTTCGTAACTGCTGGCTCTCTGGTGTTAGTAGTAGAGTCTGGTTAGCAGCTGTTGAGAACCCAAAGTAAGAAGAATAATCATTTAAACAGTTTGACCACTTACAATGGGCGGGGGAGGGAGGGAAGCCAGGGCTCCTGGCACCGTAACCATTACAGCAAGCTGTTGTGGTTATGGTGCATCGAATATTCCTTTAATTGAACACCTCTGCACGCACACATAGAAGGACATCACATATATAATTAGGCCAGGTCAGTAAAATAAAGTATCCATTAGGACAGTGGTGCATTGGATAAGCTCTCTAGAATGTGGAATCCATATTAAAGGAACAGAATATTTTAAGAAAATTATTGTAAACTTCATGTAAAAGCTGCAAATTACTCACCAGCTGCCACCACTCTTGCATCTTCGTGAGCAAAATGTCTTCCAGCAGCTCGATTGTCCGGACTCTCATTCCACCACAGAACATGAACTTTAATTACAAATGTATAGAAAATATTTAAAGGAATCATCCACCAACACAGTTACATAGAAATCGTTAATACAGCTATAGTTACACAGATATAAGGAAAACCAGCCTAATAAAAGTTCTGTTGCACAGACAGCATTTTGTAAGCAGTGCTGATAGTGTGATAATTATACAAAAAAATTATCAATTTGCCTGGTCAACAGAGACCTTGGTTTTAGAATCATATATTGCTCTTCAAGCTTATAATTGTCAAGAAACTAGATAATAATGTTATGCTAAACATACTGCTTATCTATACAAACCTGTTTTACCAAAATTCTACATCATTTGTTATACCTTTTGCATTACTAACAAGTAATGCTGCAGGACGGTGTGGTTAAATGGCGTTCTAGGTGTAATCCAGGCAAGCATAACAATAATGTCAGTTCAGAAGTGACTCTAGGAACAATATATTGGGAGGGCGCATAAGATACCACAGTCAAAACTGGGAAGGGGACACTAATCATTTCCACTGTGGGTGGCGTAACGTGCCGCTATTGGCTGTCTCGGGCCAGCATTCTGTACAAGCTGGAGTCAGACAACAAATTTGAACAGAATTCACATTAGCCTCCTGGAATTCTTGTTCTGGGCTGGCTAACACCTCGTCTTGATTTCGATCTTCAAACTGTTTAGCAGATAACTCCCCTATTTGCTATTTTGTCATATTTATTGACACCACCCTAATTTGATGTCCTTAACCCCTTAAGGACCAAACTTCTGGAATAAAAGGGAATCATGACATGTCACACAAGTCATGTGTCCTTAAGGGTTTAAATGGACACTGTACGCACCCAGACCACTTCAGATAATTTAAGTGGTCTCGGTGCTGTGACCCTTTTGCACTTCGTGCTGCAATGTAAAACATTGCAGTTCCAGAGTACTGCAATGTTTACATTGCAACTCCAAATCTGCCCTCTGTGGCTGTCTGACAGCCACTAGAGGGCTTCCGGAATCTAAACAGACTTCCGGTCCGTTATCTAACGCTGGACATCTTCTTGGACCTCCAGCGTCAGATTTTCCCCACAGGAAATCATTTAATAATGCTTTTCTACAGGGAGGTCTAATGGCATGCGCGTTAGGTCTCCCCCGCCGGATGACATGGGCGAGGAGGCGGGTGGGTGGAGCCTGACCCAGTGCTGGATTCAGGTAAGTTGCTGAAGGGGACCTATTAACCCTATAGTGCCAGAAAAAACGTGTTTTCCTGGAACTATAGGATCCCTTTAACTATGGAAATCCCACAATCCAATTTAAGGAATTATCTACTAAACAGCTGAAAGATCAACATTAAGAAAAACCCTTTAATTTTTATACTTCAATTGTATAGTAGATAACTCCTTTATTTGCTATCCTTATGTGAGATCGCCATATTGAAGGATACCAAATAAGGGAGCCATCTGCTAAACAGCACCATAATTTGCTATCTTTAAATATGGAAATCCCACATAAAGATAACAAGAGCGTCATCTACTACAACTGGAATATCAAAACTAAAAAAAAGTATTCTCTTAATTTAGATCTTTCAGTTGTTTAGTAGATAACTCATATTTGTTATCCTTATGTGGGATTGCTATATTCAAGGATATAAAATGAAGGAGCTATCTACTAAACACATGCGCACACACAGACATGCACACATAACCACAGACATACAAAAACAACCAGTACCTTTCATCCATCCCAATGACACCACATCAACCACTACTGGCATTGTACGGTAAAACTCTGACCATCAGTAAGTTCATGCTCTACGTAAGAACATTGTTAGTATGCTTGGGGCTAAACCCGGCCAAATATTCTGGTCATTCCTTTCGCATAGGAGCCGCTACTACCGCTTCAAAAAAGAATATCCCCGCACACATCATTAAGATCATGGGTCGCTGGAAGTCCACAGCTTATACACGATACATCCCCCAGCCAGTTCAGGAAGTACGCCTAGCCTTCAAGAATATGATTGTGTGATAATCTTATACTGTATTGTAGGCTGAATAAACTGGTTACATCTTTTTGCCCTCTTTTATTTCAGGCCTACTACGTCGTCAGTTACGGCACACCACAACTGACTTTTCATGTCCTAATTGTTTTTATTAACTCTACGGCTTTATGCCTTGACCACAAATGGAAGGCAGGGCCTGAAGTTGTGGGAGGGGCTTGGTTCCCCTTCTTAAGGAGCTCCAGCCCTTCACCTGCTACCGGCTCAGGTCTTGAGATTTGCCCCACCCACCACTCCTCCTTTTAACCATTTCTTGAGGTAGGCCCTCTTTTATTTCAGGCCTACTACGTCGTCAGTTACGGCACACCACAACTGACTTTTCATGCCCTAATTGTTTTGACTAACTCTACGGCTTTATGCCTTGACCACAAATTATATATATATTTTTTTTAATAATATCAAGAGGTCCACCCAGCCCAGGCACCATAAAAACATAATCTAAATTAAGTTATTATTGTGCCAGGAAGCCTACAAGCTCACTCTTACCTGAAGGGTTTAAACCGTTTTTCAATAGTTTAACCCCAGAGTTGCCCCCAGTGTCAATCTCCACTCTCCCCAAGCGGCATCCAGTTTGGACAGCTGTTTCGTTGTTAATGCAACTTGTCAGCATGACGTTGGTTACTGGTTTGCAGATTTTTGTTTAACATTGTATTAATGTATTATATTACAGACTTCATGTGGAAGGGGATTTCAATCACAATTTTTACACACACACACACACACACACATATATTTATATTTATATTTGTGGTCGGGGCAATATTGCCGTAATGGTTAGGTTACACATAATTAGTAATAAACATCATAGTTAATAAGAGGGAGTGGTGGGAGGGGCAACTCGCCAGACCAATAACGTTATATGAGAGAGGACTGGAGGCCCTTAAAAAGGGGACCTCCACTGGTCGTAGCTTAGGAAACCTCCATAAGACAAATAGTCCATAGTTTATCTTATAATTTTAAAGAAAACTAGAGCAGACAGGAAGAAACGAAGAACAGATCCTGACAGAGGTAGAGAAGAGGAATCAATTGGGGAAAGGTAAGTTCGCATGACAGTGCAGCTTTAATTTGATTAAAGGAACACAATAGTGTCAGGAATACAAACATGTATTCCTGATAACATAGTTGTGAAAATGCTATTCACCCTGGCTTTATGTGATAATGACTATGCTCCTCCCCTTCATGACACTGTCAAAAAGGGGTCAAGCATGGATGTCATTACAATTATGCCCATGCCGACACCCATGTGTTCTACCTGGGACACTGAGAATCTAAAAAGATGATTCTCTATAGGAGCAGAGTAAGGAGGGTGGGGGGTGTTAACGTTCAGCAACCTATTATTTTTATTATAATTACTGGTATTTATATAGCTCCAGCATAGTCCATAGTGCTTTGCAATATTATCAAAGGAGGATATTTGACAATAAATGAGACAATTACAAAAACAATAGGTTGAAGAGTACCCTGATCAAACGAGCTTACAGTCTATAGGAGGTTAGGCGTAAAACCCAACAGGACAGGAGGTAGCAATCAAACAAGGTGGAGTGAAGCAGAGCGGATGAGGGAATAGCGTGTGACCCTTTTGGAGAGAGCAAGGCACAGGTATGTGAGGTAGAGGTTACTCTGGGAGGCCATAAGTTTTCCTAAAGAGATGGGTTTTGAGGCACTTTTAAAAAGATTGAAGACTAGGGGAGAGCTTGACGGTTGTAGGCAGGCTATTCCAAAGGAAAGAAGCCACCTGCGAGTAGTACTGCAAGTGTGAGTTGGCTATACGGGTGCGTGCAGTGGACAGAAGAAGGTCATGGGCAGAGAGGAGAGACCGAGAAGGGGCATACCTGCGGATCAGTGAAGGAAGTACTAGAATTGGTCAGTGCATTATAGGTGTGGATTAGTACCTTGAATAGACTCATATAAGATACAGGAAGCCAATGTAAGGATGGACAGAGGGGAGAGGTGTGAGAGGAGTGACAGGAGAGGAAAATTAGTCTAGCTACAGATTGTAGCAGGGCAATACGACTTGTGGGCAGACCTATTAGGAGAGAGTTATAATAATACATGCAAGAGATTACTAGAGCATGGACAAGCTCCTTAGTAGCATCTTGCTTAAGAAAATGGCGGATGTGGGCTATGTTTTTTAAGGTGGAATCTACAGGATTTGATAACAGACTGGATGTGAGGCCAGAATCAAGTATAACGCCAAGGCAGCATGCTTGCAAGGATGGACTGATGTTGGTACCACTAACTTGAAGGGAGAGCGAGAGAGGAGGATCAGTATTAGGAGGAGGAAAGACAAGGAGCTCAGTTTTAGAGAGATTGAGTTTCAAAAATTGGGAGGACATCTAGTCAGAGATTGAAAAAAGATAAACAGTGACACGTTGCAGGACAGTAGGGGAGAGGTCTGGGGAGGAGAGGTATATCTGAGTGTCATCAGCGTACAGGTGATATTGGAATCCAAATGAGGTAATAAGTTTGCCAAGAGAGGCAGTATATAGAGAAAACTGACAGGACTAAGGGAGGAGGTATCATTAGAAAAGGAGACACTGAATGAGCGTTGGGAGAGATAGGAGGAATACCAAGAGAGGACACTGTCACAGAGACCAAGTGATTGAAGAGTTTGGAGAAGGAGAACATGGTCAACAGTGTCAAAAGCAGCAGAGAGGTCAAGAAGGATTAGTATGGAAGGATTAGTGACTTTAATAAGAGCAGTCTTGGTAGAGTGCAGGGGGCGGACGTCAGACTGAAGAGGGTCAAGGAGAGAGTTGGAATTGAGGAAACAAGTCAGATGGGTAAAGAAGTCTTTCCAGAAGCTTTGCGGAAAATGGTAGCAGGGATATGGGACACTAGTTAGAAGGGGAGGACGGGTCAAGAGATTTTTTTTAAAGATGGGTACTACAGTAGCATGTTTAACGGCAGCAGGGACAACACCAGAAGAGAGAGAGCAGTTGAAGATGTGTGTTAAGGAAGACACAAGACAAGAGGAGAGATATCTGATAAGGTGAGACAGGACAAGATCAGGTGGGCAAGTGGTGCAGCGAGAAGAGAGGAGAAGCGCTGCCACCTCTTGTTCAATAGCCTAAAGATGAAACCGTAAAATAGTGGTAACACAAGTGGCCCAGATCGTGGACCCAAGTAATATAGAGTAACCTACCCAGATTGCTAGACATAGTGCAATTTGGGAAATGCTGCCATGAATTGATGAACGCCTCGTGATTTGAAACAGGCTGGCCAGATATTGTCACCTAAAAATGACATTCTTGAAGGGTTTGCCAAACAGGAACAATTCCCCTGAATTACAGTTCTGAACCGAACCTCCAGGTAGAACATTAAGAAGACATCTAGATTTTAACCAAATAGCAGGTTTTAGTATACATATTATCCACAGTTACAATATGCAAAATTCAAATTTAAACTGTAAGATCGTTCATAACCAGTAGAGGGCACCTTAACCTAAAATCAGTCAAATATACATTCAGCTTGTATCTATTTGTGTATTTGCTGAATTTAGATATAACAGACAATTGGGAGGAATCGTGCGAACATCCTATGCTTTAAACAGGTGTTCGTGCGTTTCCAGAACATATCAAATAGTCAATTCTTATGAATTTCACACAAACTCTTAACACAAAGTATGTATCGGCTAGCGTATGCGAAAGGAGCTGAACAAGGGTCTCTGTTTGTGCGGTTGAAAGTACCGAAAGCCCCAGACAGACAGAAATAGTAATGCGTACGTGTGTTTCTATGCAAACACATGCAAAACCATACGAATTGATAAGTATTGAAATAGACCCAAACCGTGATGACGCCAAATGAACGCGTGCGAGGCGCGACTGTTTGGGCCTAACTTACAGTTCAAATGAGCACTTCTGGGTTAGTCTACGAGCAAGCTGGAGGAGGAAGCTGGCTGGAGGAAGAAGCTGGCTGGAAGCGGTCAGGTAAGCAGAACCAGGACACAGGTAAGAAACAGCAAAATGGCGACTTGTGAGTGACCGGAAGTAGTCACACTCAACTCGCCAAACCAATAACGCTATGTGAGAGAGGATTGGAGGCACTTAAAAAGGGGACCCAAGCCACAACTACAGGCCCTGCCATAAATATATATTATAATACATCCATATCTCTCTCTCTCTCTCTCTCAATACTATAATAATGGCAATGCAGCATGGAGATGTTATGACCTTTCCCCAAAACAGTTCCCTAGGATGTGTGGATCCATGTTCTATGTCCAAACATATTTTTGGGAATTTCTGGAGGGCTTCCAACTTCACCCAAAGGGCTTTACTTTATTAATATACCATTCTACCATGAGACTAAGGCTTTTTCTCTGCCAGTCAGGTCATGTTGTGGGATTTGTCATGATTTAGGTTATAGCAACATGGTGAATTTACGTCCACCTGGATTTCTCCCATATATTTCCAAGATGATCTGAGGTTTACTGGAAACAGTAAATAAATACAAGGAAGAGGCATGATCCGTAAAAAGCACAAGACTGTGAGACTTTACCTTGGTTTAGCAGTCCATACTCTGTGTTGAAGACACCTACAAGTTTGGTGTAGCCAGTATGAACATGAGTAGAGATTGCAGCTCTAAAGGCATCTCCCCACACAGCTGGTCCGCCAGGCTTAAACTGAAAGGTGACCAATTCATAAACACCTACCATAAAGAATATGTACATTTAGGCTATTAAGATAATTATTAGTAATGGACAAATTGTTAGAAATATTTTTAACTGTATGTACCACGTATTACTTTACATACAAGTTGTATTTGAACCCTCTCTTTCAGATAAATAAATCGGTGTTTCGCTCTTATAGACTATGCGTTTCTTATGTCTCACCCCTTGTTTGCAAGCTATCTCTCACAGATGTCATCAAAATTAGGTGAAGGTATTCAATAACTCCATGTCAACCACTGTAAGAACTAGGTAATGAGTACCACCATCCAGGGGGCCATGTTCACAAGATTTTCTTACACACATACATGCAAATGTGACATCAAAGCAAACTGCTGTAACTATTATAACACTATATCCAAAGATTTTATTTAAATTTGCAGCCAGAAGTGTGCTGAAGTAATGCACAAAGCACTGCAATACTTATGTCACGTGCCAAAGTCATTGTACATTGCAATTCATATTGCCAGTTTCTGGGCACTATAGAAGGTCAGACCGAAAAGTAAAAAAAACAATAAAAACAAAGTGGGGAATCTAGAACGAACAAGGATGAAATGAGGAGGTGAATCTCAAAACACAGCTTTACCTGTTTTTTCTGGCTTATCGAGCTTACACCATGGCACTAAGTAAGCAATTTCACTGTCCTGTTTATCAATCATCGTCAATGCTTTAGCAAGATACTTCTCCATGAAATCCTTGTCTTGGGCAAGTTTTGCCCGAATGGCTGTTCTTTCTGCGAAATTGCCTAAAGTAGAAAAATAGAATATAAAGTTATATAAAGGTTACATTTTAACAAAACTATTTTACATACATGCAATGAGTTGTCAACTAGTTGCAGATGTACCGGGGATTTTTAATCCAGTCATGAATGGGAGGCATAGCAAAAGAATTGTATGATCCATTATAATTAGTGATCCAAGCATTGGTACCTTTTTACATACTTTAGTCCCTAGTTTTGCATACCATATTTCCAAATGCTGAACACTTTATTCAGAGCTCCTAGCTCCATAGTAAAGTATCCAATCAACTCCGAGTGAATTGTACGAAAGTGGAAGTTCTCATTAGTATGTTTCGTGAATTCGCTCATCTTGGATGGCTTGATAGTGTAAGTACGGAATTCATAGAAAGTGGTGTCGGTCTGCCGTGGACCTGTTGCAAATGTTGCTTTTGCCTTAAAAACAAACAAACAACAAAAAAACATAAATAAAATCCCAACAATGAATACATAGAATTATACTTCTCATTATACTGAAAGGGTATATTTCATGTGAGTTGTCTTAATTATTTTTTTTTAACTGTTTTCTTACTATAAACTAAGCATGTTCTAGAACTGATTTTTTTATAGTGTTACTCACTAAAGTGAGAATTTGAAGGGAATGCAAAGTAAATATATAACAAAATGGAGAAATAAAGTAAACAGAGTGCAGGTCAGGAGTCCGGATACAAGTCAAGGGCTCATGAGCTGCACCACTGTAACCACCTAATAGGGAGCAACCCTCCAAAATATGCAGGTAATAGGAGTAGGTGATGTGTAGAGTCCCACAAAGGGAAACCAACATCAGGAGAGCTCCACTGTATAAGAAATGAGGAAGGGAGGCCCTACCTTTAATCAATCTAAGGATAAAAAGGGATATGCAATCAAAAAGTATAACTTGAAAAACGGTGCCCAGGGGATCAATTGTCTGGAGTACTAGCTAGCATCTAAGTTTCAGTTCCCCTAGTGTCCGACTGACAGGAAGGTAGTGTAAACGAGGTTAGGCAGAGAGAAGAGGCACAGGGTCCCCAGAGAACAAGGAACCGGGTAATCAGGTCTAAACACAGATGAAAAGCCTCACACAGAAAATAAATAATTAAATAAATCTCTCAATTCACCCTAAAAGTTACCTCGACACCGTGGTCTAACCACTAGTGTCTATCTGAACCAACTCTCCCTACTAAAGTTATAAATAAATACCTAAAAATCAATAACCATAGTGGTAACAAAAATAAAGAAGTGCTACCAAGTGCAGAGATTAAAGAAAAAGAAAACGCTTGACACGCTTTTCAGCGTGTTCCTATTACCTAAATATATAACAAGCACACTCTGACCTGTGCTTGTTGAGGTGCAACAAAGAAAGAGGAATGGCCTCTTTTGGCTCCCAAGATTGTTTTCTGATTGGTTAATGTTTCTCTTGTTTATTTGTGCTACTGTAGAGCTTAGTAAAGAAAGACTAAGCAAAATATGACGACTCCTGTCAGGTCTTAAAATTGCTATTGTATGCTCTATCATTTGCACCTGGCAGTCAGCATAGAGAAACAAAGTTTATAGTTATGATTGCAGTGTGTGCCCTGGTTGTGCCTGGACTGATGTTAATTGTGATGTAGTTTGCCAAATTTTGAATGTATCAAAAATACTTGAACATAAGTTTTAGATTTTCAATGTTTTGTTTGGTTGTAGTCAATTTCCAAATAACCAGTTAACAACATTAGGACATGCGATGCCGCCATGCAAAAGGAGGGATTTAATGCCTAATTTTATGGGATTTAAAGGGATTTAGTGTGTGTGTATATTATATATATAAAAAATATCCAAATACTTGCACTCCTGTTATAACAAAATTAAGCCCGGTGCTCATCAGCAATATAAATAGAACACAATGGTGGAAAATAGCAGTCCCAGGACTTCATACATATGGTGAAAAAATATAACTTTGCTTTTATTCAGCAACTGCCACAAAATATCAACGTTTCAGTTCCTATGCAGAACTTTCGTCAGGATAAGGTGCATTACATAAACCAACAAATATATAGCAAACAAATACAAATTAAATTAGTACATTGTATTATATACAGGTGTGACTTACCCCTCTCCCAGAGTAGTTCCTGTGCTAATTGCCCAAAAAAACGCGGGTAAAAATGACCCCTATAGATGAATTCAGCAGCTGAGATGTGCTGCTGTCTAACCTTGCGTTCCAGTGTTGAACCGCAACCCGGAAGTTGATATGTTGCCATAGCAACATGCCGGTAAAGTCGGGCTGGGCAGAGGGGCTTGTTATGTGGGAGGGGAGAAGACTAGCGATCCCTATCTCCAAAGTAACCCCCTACTGCAAATAATCATATACAATAAAGCAAGTAAAACACTACACTCAACATAAACTAAGATGTTATTAAAGGTGGGAACTGCATATGATGTAAAAAGTTTATACACGATCATCCCACACGAAATGGGCATTAACGCAATGCGAAAGATCCTGACATCATCACCATCCTACACGGGCCCACCAGTTGAGTACATATTGGAATTATTACATTTGGTACTTAGTCAAAATTATTTCAGATTTGAACATACTTGGTATAAACAAATTGCAGGAACTTCAATGGGGGCGTCCATGGCCCCGATGTATGCTAATAGCTATATGTACATATTTGAACAAGAACATATTCTTTTGCCATTTCATGACAGTATATTGTTTTACCGTCATTTTATCTATGATATTCTCATTATCTGGAACAAACCAAATGCTCGATACCATTAATAGTTTAGACACACCAGTCCGCCTCACGATGACCATAAGTGACGAGCAGATCGATTTTTTAGATATTCGTCTGTATAAGGAGGATGGCAGAATAGCCTATACCTTATTCAATAAACTAACTGACAGGAATACTCTCCTGCACGCTGAAAGCCACCATCCAAAACATCTTATCAGTTCACTCCCTCAGTCACAATTTATGAGGGTAATACGAAACAACTCTAATGTGGCCAACACACAACTTCAGTTACAGGTTATGTGGGCCAAATTCCTTGCACGGGGTTATGACCCTAGAAATTTGTCAAAAGCATTGGATAGGTGTTATGAAACACCAGTACAACGAACAGACACAACAGAAAGATTGGTATTCCCTTTAACATATACCACCATATCTGACAACATTAAACAATCGGTTGACCGGAACTGGAGAATGTTACAGAATGACACTAGTTTGCCACTACAATTCAAACAATGCCCGATGATGTGCTATCGAAGGGGTAGCAATTTGAGGGATTTACTGGTCAAAACCGATCCCACACATTGCTATAGCCAACCGACTACCTATAATAACCTGGGGTGCTACAGATGCTTGGGCTGTGTGACGTGCAGTCATATGATCCCCAGTAAATCGTTTACTCATCCACATAAAGGCAAGAAATACTTAATAAGGCACAGACTTACCTGTACAAGTGATTATGTTGTATATAAACTGGGGTGTCCGTGTGGTCTGGCAACAGACGGATTTACCACTACGTGAAAGAATACGTAATCATCGATCGAGCATACGTATTGTATACAGGGATAAAGGCACAGAGCTACCAGTTGCTAAACATTTTTTTGTAATACAACCATCCTCTCCCCACAATGAATATCTTGGCAATTGATCACATCCCACAACCTTTGAGGGGAGATGATCGTAAGAAGCTCCTATTACAAAGAGAACTATACTGGATCAGAACTTTAGATACAGTGCAACCTAAAGGACTAAATGAAAAGTATACTTTGGGGATTTTTTTATGATGTGATAGCGTCCTAGACTGAGATTGTTAGTATCTCGGACCTCTGACGCTATACTAATTTGTACTTCTGATCAGATAATTATTTTGGTATTATAATTATGTTTATGTCTATTTTTTGACTATAGGTTGTTAGTACCCTAAGTAGGATTCCGGACTTCTGACTCCATGTTTAATTCATATAGACAACAATCAGAAAGTATTATGACCATGGGGTCAGCAGCATTATAAGCATGGTTTCCTTAGGCTTAGGCTTGTGCATTTATTGACTACTTCTGCCTTAATTGTGAATGTATATTATGTGCATGAGGGCTTTATTAATATGAATTATATCCTTTTCAATCTACTCAGCCTAACTATTATAGATATTACATTCTAGGATGCAGGGCTATCCATAAGCTTATAATCCTTACAATTGTTGTTTATATATATATATATATATATTGTAACAGAGTGTTGGGGATGGTGGTCAGGGGTGTATATCTGGCACCCAGACTTTTGCACAGCCACTATCCTGACATGTGGGTAAGCACATGCAGCCCCAGGGAAAGTGAAGTTTAAATGTAGGTTTTTTTCCTCTGTTGTTATTTGGGTCCCTGGGGTGGAGTATTCGGAAGAGCAGGGTGGGCCGATTCTCCACCCACTGTCAGAGTGGTTGTGCATGAGTCCAGCCCAGGTTTTCCATAGAGTTCTGGCTCACTGCCTAACGAGGTCATTAGCCTCACCTGTAGGGGCTGTGAGCAGCTATATAACTGCAGTTAAAGCAGGGTGAAGTGAGGGAAGTGTTTTGGAGGAGAAAGAAGATTTGCTGTTTATTGTATAGCCTGTTACTTTACTTAACAACAGAAAATAAACAGGCCAGAGGCCTTTTTGAAACTGGACTTTGTCTTGACCTGGTTTTCTTACCCTAGAGGGCTGTGCGGTTGCCAAATGATCCTGGACAAACAGACACAGGAAAGTAAGTTTGTCACTATATATATATATATATATATATATATATATATTATAATTTTTTTTTATTTTTTTTTTTATCACTTAACACTTGCTACTTTTAAATACATTGTTATTTAAAAAGATGCATCTCTCACTAGTGTTCTATATTGAGAAGTATTTCAAGTTGCCAGTTTAAATAAGTGCATCTATCAGCATATCTGAGTGTTGATACCAAGACTTTTTTTTTTTTTTTTTTTTTTTTTTTTTTTTTTTTTTTTTTTTTTTTTTTTTTTTTTTTTTTAATATATATTTTGGCCTCAGCAGCACCCTGTAATGTATGCATGTTCAGGTGAGTGCAGCCCTCTTGGTTTTGTATGTCTGTCTGTCTGTCTGTGCGTTTAGCCAGAATTCTCAGTGGAGTAATTAGCTAGTGCTAAACAGCCTCTTGCATACTTAATCCCTCATATTTGGGAAGATAACTTGGTAGCTGTTATACCCCACCTTTTATATGTGGGCTAGATCTTTAGTATTTTTTTAGGCATTTCCTACCTAGATAGAGGACTTTTGGGTTGTGGACTAAGACCCACTTTATACTTATTCACGAACACTAGCTTTGTCTGGGTTTCGTATAATACATATAATATGCAGTTCCCACTTTTTTTTTTTTTTTCAGTATAAATCTTTATTCGATTTTATGCAAGAATAAATTACAAATATATCATAACAAATTAAAAAAAAAAAAAAATCTAACATTCAATCTAGACAATTACTTCTAAACATACACCATTCATACACATAAAAAGTGGGATAAGGACAGAGCATACATAGGAAACATTACAGGGAGTGCAGAATTATTAGGTAAGTTGTATTTTTGAGGATTAATTTTATTATTGAACAACAACCATGTTCTCAATGAACCCAAAAAACTCATTAATATCAAAGCTGAATATTTTTGGAAGTAGTTTTTAGTTTGTTTTTAGTTATAGCTATGTTAGGGGGATATCTGTGTGTGCAGGTGACTATTACTGTGCATAATTATTAGGCAAATTAACAAAAAACAAATATATACCCATTTCAATTATTTATTATTACCAGTGAAACCAATATAACATCTCAACATTCACAAATATACATTTCTGACATTCAAAAACAAAACAAAAACAAATCAGTGACCAATATAGCCACCTTTCTTTGCAAGGACACTCAAAAGCCTGCCATCCATGGATTCTGTCAGTGTTTTGATCTGTTCACCATCAACATTGCGTGCAGCAGCAACCACAGCCTCCCAGACACTGTTCAGAGAGGTGTACTGTTTTCCCTCCTTGTAAATCTCACATTTGATGATGGACCACAGGTTCTCAATGGGGTTCAGATCAGGTGAACAAGGAGGCCATGTCATTAGATTTTCTTCTTTTATACCCTTTCTTGCCAGCCACGCTGTGGAGTACTTGGACGCGTGTGATGGAGCATTGTCCTGCATGAAAATCATGTTTTTCTTGAAGGATGCAGACTTCTTCCTGTACCACTGCTTGAAGAAGGTGTCTTCCAGGAACTGGCAGTAGGACTGGGAGTTGAGCTTGACTCCATCCTCAACCCGAAAAGGCCCCACAAGCTCATCTTTGATGATACCAGCCCAAACCAGTACTCCACCTCCACCTTGCTGGCGTCTGAGTCGGACTGGAGCTCTCTGCCCTTTACCAATCCAGCCACGGGCCCATCCATCTGGCCCATCAAGACTCACTCTCATTTCATCAGTCCATAAAACCTTAGAAAAATCAGTCTTGAGATATTTCTTGGCCCAGTCTTGACGTTTCAGCTTGTGTGTCTTGTTCAGTGGTGGTCGTCTTTCAGCCTTTCTTACCTTGGCCATGTCTCTGAGTATTGCACACCTTGTGCTTTTGGGCACTCCAGTGATGTTGCAGCTCTGAAATATGGCCAAACTGGTGGCAAGTGGCATCGTGGCAGCTGCACGCTTGACTTTTCTCAGTTCATGGGCAGTTATTTTGCGCCTTGGTTTTTCCACACGCTTCTTGCGACCCTGTTGACTATTTTGAATGAAACGCTTGATTGTTCGATGATCACGCTTCAGAAGCTTTGCAATTTTAAGAGTGCTGCATCCCTCTGCAAGATATCTCACTATTTTTGACTTTTCTGAGCCTGTCAAGTCCTTCTTTTGACCCATTTTGCCAATGGAAAGGAAGTTGCCTAATAATTATGCACACCTGATATAGGGTGTTGATGTCATTAGACCACACCCCTTCTCATTACAGAGATGCACATCACCTAATATGCTTAATTGGTAGTAGGCTTTCGAGCCTATACAGCTTGGAGTAAGACAACATGCATAAAGAGGATGATGTGGTCAAAATACTCATTTGCCTAATAATTCTGCACTCCCTGTATGTCTCTTATTCTTTAACAGCTCAATAAACTGAAGTGAGTTAGTGAACTACTCCTCCTAGATTTCTACAATCTTCTATAATTTGTAAACACTTTAATCCCATCTCATATTTCTGTACATTGTCTTTCCCCCTATATATGCCTATCTCATTCTTGACCTGGGACAACAACTGTTTCTCCCAATGGTTACAATCAATAACCATAGAATTTTTCCAGCTTCTTGCTATCAGAATCTTCACTGCCATGAATGAATGTATAGTTAAAAATTGTTGATATAATGATATATCAGGCCAGTGGAGATGTAGAAGTGCCGAAGTTGGAGATTTTTTTTCTATCAAAATTTTATCCCAAACATATAATCTTCTGAAAACCTCATCCCACAGTTTCTTAATTAATTTACAACTCCACCAGATATGGATAAAGCTTCCAATTTCACTCCCACATCTCCAACAAATATCCAACTCCTTATGGTCAATTCTATTTAGTCTGCTTGGCACTAAATACCAACGATAACATATTTTATAATGCGTCTCAAACAGACTCATATTATGAATATTTTTTTTACCTTTACCATCATATTACCCCAGCTCGTGAAATCAATCTTTAAGTTACATTCCTTTTCCCATCTTTTTATTTGTTTAGACCTTATATCTTTAGGAGCCGATTTTATCAATGCATAGCAATTAGCCATATTTTTCCTAGGGCTTTCACTTCCAAAAATTTGCTTTATAAGAGCACTACTTCTTGTATTACCCTTATCAAGGGATTTCCCTATGAAGGACTTTATTTTTAGATAACGAAAGGCCTCTACTTGTGGAAGGTCAAATTCTTTAGACAGAGAGTTAAAAAATCTTTCATTTTATCCCCTATTATATCGTCCAATGATAGAATATTCCGATCTTTCCAGGTATCTATTTTTAAATTGGGCACCCTCCAATAATTCTATCTCCATAAATCCAAAAATATTACCCAGAATTTTTAGTTTTTTCCTTAAAATTATATTTTTTACTTCCTTCCCAGTATTCTTGGATTGCCAAAGATAACTAGTTCCTTCTCTAATCCAAACCAACCAGTTTTTTTCAGAATCTTTTTTGCCCAATAACTGGGTATGGTATATAATGGTGGCTTCATAATGTCTTACAATATTTGGGAAGTTTACCCCTCCTTGCCCTATAGTATTCGTTAATTGGTCTAAACTGATCCGAGGTTTTTTCCCTTTCCAAATAAAATTCTAAAAAATCCTTTGTATTATCTCCAACCATGGTAAGGGAATTTTTAAGGGAACCATTCTAAAAAAAAATAGGTCCATCTTGGAACTATGTACGCATTTATTATGTTTATCCTTCCCATCCAACTAAAAAACAAATGATTCCACTTTTTTAACGATATCCCGGTGGATTTCAATAGCCTTGTAAAATTAATCTCTATCATATTTTCTATCTTATCCGTTATTAGTACTCCCAAATATTCAAAGCTACCGTTAGCGTCCGTAAAACCATATGTCTTTATAAATTAATTCTTCCACTCTCTTACAATTTTTAAACATCACTATTGTTTTTTCTGTATTTATCTTATAATTTGAAATATTGCTATATGCTTCTATTTCCTTCATCAAGTTATTGACCGATTGAATAGGATCTGTAAGAATCAGAATTGTGTCATCTGCATTGGGAACTCTGATTGTACAAACAACAGAAAGTTTGGGCGGGGTTAGAAGAGGAGAGCTTGTGAAGGCTGAAGACAAGAGATGTGCAGTTTTTGCAAACTGTTTTTAGATATAATTCCAATGAAAAAATACATAATTAACATCAGCCCTAGTAGAGAGTTTCGGAGTATTGAATCTACGCAAACTAAACCACTATATACTGAATTTTTTTTAAAGCAATGTATATTGCAACATTGTATATTTGATACTGTATACCAAAATATAGAAATGACACAGCATGAAACTTTATGTTAATGGCCGATTCTGATATCTGACCTCCCCCACTTCCCTTTACCCTCCTCCCCCCCATCATATCTATATGTTACAGTTACTTTTAAAGTTTACCTTCTGTGAAAAACGCACAATGTGACATATGTAACACTCCATTACAGATATACGAATGCTCATGATGTGTCTAACTCTTTAATGATGTTACTATTGAGAATGTACTGAACACTGTTTTTACTGCTGTTAACTGTGCACCTAAAACTATGAAGAAATTATTTTATTTTAAAACACATAATTAACCCCTTAAGGACTGCGGACGTACCAGATACATCCACGGCTAATTAGAGCGCTAGAAGCAAATATGATCGCTTCCAGACGCTCTAAGGGTATTGCAGCGATGCCTTGATGTCGCGGCATCGTGCAATACCCTTCCTGAGAGATCACTTCCGGGGTTTCCCCACGTGGAGCCCGGCAGTGTAGTGCAGAGCATCGGAAGTCATCAGGCATAATTACGATGCTCTGCCTGTATACTGAGTGCCTCGAAAGGTCAAGGCACTCAGTAAAAAAAATTTTTGAAAATTTAAAATTAACCCCTACCCTCCCTCCCTCTCCACTTACCCAATAGCCGCCGTTCCCCCGCCGGCGATCGGTCTTCTGCTTCACTGGGGGGAAATGTCTGACAGCCCAGACAGTCCCCCCTCTGCAAACTAGGACCCCCAGGGGCCATTAGACCGCTCTAAAAGAGCGGTCACATGACCACAATAGGTGTCCACAGTGCTGCCAGCAAGGGGACTGCCTGAACTGAAAAGTAAAAAACTATAAAAAAAAATAAAATAAATATCACGTCATACTAATATATATATACATATATTAATATAAAAATACACACACATATAACAATGTAAAAATACATTAAAAAAAAAATTGTAAAAATATTTTAATATTTTGATATTCTACACTTATCTAAGTATATCCCCTTAATGACTGTGGACGTACTTGGTACTGTGGGGATATTTATGGGGTGAAAATATTAAAATAATTTCATAAAAATTATCAAAAATTGATAGAGAATTACCCACTATATTAGTTCTTAGATCCTAGAGAACGTTCAAAGGATTTTACTTCATACTGTAAATCACAATTTGATTAAAAAAAATTTTCCGACAATAATAATAAAAATATGTAACATGCGTGACAATAATCAGTGAATATTTAGTATAACAGATGTATACAAAATGGCAATGGTTTAACACGATACAGTGAGTGAGCAATTAGTCAAAAGATTTATGAGGGTACTTCACTTCACACAGAACTCCACAGCACAGCGAGAATTAATAAAACCTTGGCTAACAGTTAGATCAACTGAGTAACCCTTTCAATGCTGGCTACAATCCTCATAGGCAATAATATCCTATTCTGTTGCCATTTTTAAATTAAAGCAATGTTCATACCAGATCATTAACCATTCCGGAACCATCCAATAAGAATAATCTACCAGATTTTACATTAGCCTAATTTAACTTCCCTAAATAAGATTCTCTCTTATTTCAGAGCAAATCAGTACATCTGGATAAATGTGGCAGGCTAACATCTGACAAATTTATCATTAATATATCATCATATTTATTCCACCTGCAGGAAAGGAATTTTTATAACCATATATTCTTTAGTTAACCAAGATTTCTAATGATTGAAATCTGACAAGATTTATCCAGATATATTCCTGCTATTAGAAAAATTCTAATTAATTTAACTAACTAAATAAAACCAGCATAATTACCAGTTATGTTGTAGATGCTCATATCAGATGAGTAGATAGTCCCAGGAACTTGAATGCAAGTATGATTGATGTATATAGGATTGTATGTAATAGAAAAGTGGTGTTGGTTAGAAAGTAATTGTAACATTTTAAGTCCAAGTCAAAATATGTTTCAAAGAGAGTTTGTGGTTCAAAGAGTATGAGTATTTGAATGTCAGATGTTGAAAGTCTGAATTGAGTGTCAGTCCCAGAGAGTTGAATGTCTGACTCAGGGCCGTCTTTAACGCGGGGCAAACGGGGCAGCTGCCCCGGGCCCAGTTACTCCTTGGGGGCCCAAAGCAGCTGCCCTATTTGCCCCGCCGCCCATAGCCTGCATAAGAAAAATCCCCCCCCCGCCATGGGCCCGCGGTGCTGGCACTGCGGCTGCACCGGGGCCCATACTCTAAGGAGGCTCACCGGGTGGCCAATACATTTAGGGCCACCCGGTGAGCACGTTTCAGCAGGGGCCCGGTCGGGTGCTGTGACCCTTTAACAGCACGACCGGGCCCCTTGCTTTACAGCAGCACTGGGAGGAAGTGACGTCCGCAAGTCACTTCCTCCCTCAGAGATGATGAGCCGCGCGGGAGGGAGCCTGTGCCAGGACACAGTGAGGAGGCGGACTGAGGAAAGAGACCAAGTCCCCAACTCCCAACCACCCAAGCCAGCACACTGGACCCCAGGGAAGGTAGGAAACTGGAGGGGGGCTTTAAAGTTTGCATAGGTGTATTTCAGTATGTCTGTGTGTCAGTATGTCTGTGTGTGTCTGTCAGTAGGTCTATGTGTGTGTCTGTCAGTAGGTCTGACTGTGTGTCTGTCAGTATGTCTGTGTGCCAGTATGTCTGTGTGTGTGTGTGTCTGTCAGTAGGTCTATGTGTGTGTCTGTGAGTAGGTCTATGTGTGTCAGAAGGTCTGACTGTGTGCCAGTATGTCTGTGTGCCAGTGTGTGTCTGTCAGTAGGTCTGACTGTGTGTCAGTATGTCTGTGTGCCAGTATGTATGTGTGTCTGTGTGCCAGTATGTCTACCTGGGTGTGCCACTATGTCTGTCTGTGTGTGCCAGTATGTCTGTCTGGGTGTGTGTCAGTATGTCTGTCTGGGTGTGTGCCAGTATGTCTGTCTGGGTGTGTGCCAGTATGTCTGTGTGCCAGTATGTCTGTGTGCCAGTATGTCTGTGTGTCTGTGTGCCAGTATGTCTACCTGGGTGTGCCACTATGTCTGTCTGTGTGTGTCAGTATGTGTCTGTGTATGCCAGTATGTCTGTCTGGGTGTGTGTCAGTATGTCTGTGTGTGTGTCTGTCAGTAGGTCTATGTGTGTGTGTGTGTCTGTCAGTAGGTCTGTGTGTGTGTAGTATGTCTGTGTGTGTCTGTCAGTAGGTCCCTGTCTGTCAGTAGGTCTGACTGTGTGTGTGTCAGTATGTCTGTGTACCAGTATGTCTGTCTGTGTGTGCCATAAATATATATATATATATATATCGATATATGTGTGTGTGTATATGTGCATACATCTCAGCATTCACACACTAACATCACATACAAATACACACTGGCATTCAAACTCCAAAACACACGTCTGAGTTACACACCAAAATTATATGTAAACACACCCCTGCATTCAAAAACCAACACTACACATAAATACATGCTTGCACGTACGCCAACACCACATACAAACATATTCCATACAAAAACCTGCTAACATTCAAACACACAACAGCTTAGTGCTAAATACAAACCTTGAAACATGGGTAAATGGAAGAGCCCCAGCTGTCAGTGCATTGCTGGAGTTGCACGACAGATGGGGATCTACCTTCTAATCACCCGTGCGATAGGGAGGCTCAAAAAAATTCTTGCACCTCTCTACTTTAGGTCTGCCACTTCGTTAGGGTGGAGGACGTGATTGCACGCCTGGTGAGGGGGGACAGGTTCCAGGGGCCCAAGCAAATGCTTTGCCCAGGGTCCAATCAATATTAAAGACGGCCCTGGTCTGACTGTGTGTGTCAGTCCCAGTGTCTGAATCCTCTTTGTCCTTACTTTTTAAAGGGCCAAACTTTCTGCACGTCATTAGGTGATAAGACCAATTAGGGAACTGTAGGTGTGTCTACCTTACAGACTATCATCTAGTTTTTGGTCATTAGATGGCGCAATTACATCACCAAAATTTCTTGTCCTGGAACAGGTTAACTTAATTTGATGATTTCGACATCATTACTTTATCTATTTTATGACTGCATAACTCACAAGACCTGTCACCTCAAAGTTTTAGTTCACTTTCTTACCCAGACTTCGTGTTGGGCATATACCTTTAAATCTACTTTCTTACATGTCTAAACCATAATTTCACCTCTTGCTTACAATGGGACTTAGTAATTAATTTTTCTTTTTAAATCTTACAAAGTGTTATCTATAACTGTTATCTGGTTCTTGTGTCTGTGTTTAAAATTATTTCCATTCCACTAACATTAAGAAATAGTATTCCATCCTTGCTGTGAGACTTTATTCCTTATCACTTATCTTGTTTACATAACGCATTCCTTAGCTCAGACTTGAATGAGTAGAGTTACAGAAAGAAAGAAATTCTGTTTCTGTCTTGCCTGAAAATACAAAAATGGAGTCAGCTCTGTTTTGAGTGTGACTGGCAATATACACTTTTAATTCTATCTTAGCAGAAAATGTCTGCCGATATAAATATACTGACAGCACGTCCGACAAAAAATGGTCATCCGTGGCAAATAGGAGCCCTGGACCTGTTCACGGTCGGGGGGGACTGCGGAAGACCCCAGCAGCAGCTCCAGCCACCCCGGCCTAATAATAATAAAAATATATATAATAATTAAAGCATTTCATAATATATTATACATATATATGATTTAATTATAAGTGTACTTTGACATATATCTCAAATCGTTTAAGTAGTGACTTAAAACCCATCTCTTTAGAAAAGCTTATGTCCTCCCAGAGTAACCTCTACCTTACATACCTGTCTCTTGCTCACCCCTAAAGGGCAGCACTCTATTCTCTCCTCCAGCTCTGCTTCACTCCCACTTAATTTGATTGACATTTCCTGTGTTTTATACCCCACTTCCTATACACTGTAAGCTTGTTTAACACCTTAAGGACCAAACTTCTGGATTAAAAGGGAATCATGATATGTCACACATGTCATGTGTCCCTAAGGGCTTAAACAGGGTTCTCTTCAACATAAGTAAGTTTTCTTGTAATTGTCCTATTTATAGTTAAATCCCCCCTCTCAAAATATTGTAAAGCACTATGGAATCTGTTGGCGCTATTATCAATAATAATAATAAATAATAATAATAATAATAATAAGCAAAGTCTGCTTTACCTTAACTAATTTCATTGTCAGCCAGCACACACAATTTTTCCCCCTACGTCCTTAAGTTCCCATACTTAAGTAAGAGCATGTGAAGAATAGTAAATAATAATAATAAAAAAACCACTCTCACAGCCGATACTGCAACCCTTGCCTCTAGACCATGCCATACAGGGAAGCAGGATTACCTTTACCCACTAACAGCCACTCAAGTCAGCGATGTCAGCGGCTGCCCTGGGGGGATGGGGGTACACAACAGACCGGCCGTTGCTGTATGGAGGGACCGAGTCTACCACCAAGCGTGTCACATCAGCGGCGAGACAGACCTCCTACTTGCCTCCCACTCAGCCTGCAACAGCACGAACCCTGCAGCGGCAGCTATGTGTGGATGATGCCGGACCCCCCATCGCGGCTGACAACGGCCCCCAGGGGACCAAGCAGGACAAGCACTCCGTACCACGGCTGCAACCCCAGGGAAGCCGGCGAATGGCTCAGAGAGCGGCAGGGCTGGACTGTGTTTTGCTGCCTGCTCTGGTGGACACTCACCCACTGCTGCATGAAACGGACAGAGCAGGTATCGGATAGCAGCGGAACTACCCCTGTATTTGAGGTCTCAGCAACACCACAACGACGGCTCCTCACTGAGTCAGCACTGGTAGTTCCTAACGGCCGGGGTGAAAACGGCATTAAAGCGACATCACAAGACCTAGCCTGAATACCAATTATAACCAAACTACACTAGCCTGTTTGTAAAGCTACTGCTATAAATATATGAATCAAGCAACCTTTCATATCTAGCAAGTATTTTGTGCATAAACTTAATCTTGGTAAAGCGAATAGATATGTATGCTTAGCTTAATCAGTTATGCAAATCATCACTATATCATTTTCTTGTCTTCCTCATATCTCAAACTTGTTTAAAAAAAAAAAAAAAAAGTGCAGCATCTCTTGACTACCCATAAGAACTGTTCATGATGATCTCATGTGTTGAACAAGTCAGTGTTTATGCCTGTAATTTACTCTGCACTCAAAAATAAAAAAAAAAAAAAATAATAAAAAAAAAATAAAGAATTAATGGGCCTATTCCATGGCCTGGAGCTGCAGCTCCATCAGCCCCTATGTTAATCCGGCCCTGGCTGCCATACCATCTCCAAGATAACACAGCCAATCTGGTAAATATCAATTTATAAAAACAGAATTTAGCAAATTTTATGTTTGACCCTGTAACTTCCCAAATCACCATAAAACCAGTACTTAAGGGGTACTGTTGTACTTGTGAGTCATTATGCTATACAAACATGAGTGCTTTAGAGCAGTAAAGTATATTATACTGATAATATCATTGGTGAAATGGCAGTTTATGTGTGAAAAATGCAAAATATATATATATATATATATATATATATACACACACATATACATATACATATACACACACACACACACATACTAATTTTGGCCAGGGTTTATGGCTACTAAAAAAGACTGGACATACCCCATTTCGAATACCTTGGGTTGTCTACTTTTACAAATGGTATGCCACGATGGGGTTAATTTTCATTCCTGTGCTGGTATATCGTCTCAAAGGCGACATAGGCCCAGCAACCCAATCTGGCAAATTTTAATGTGCAAACATGGAAAAGGGGAAAGCCCTACATTTGACCCTGTAAGTTTGCAAAAACCCATAAAACCTGTACATTGGGGGCACTGTTGTACTCAGGAGATGTTGCTGAACACATATTGGGGTGTTCTTTGTCAGTAACGCCTAACAGGAACTGGGAATCCATGCCTAAAGTACAATGTGTGTGAAAAAGAACACAAAAACATGACTACACAAAAGGTTGACAAGGACTGGTGGTAGAATTAGTGCATGGAAAGTGTAAAAATACCACCATCTGAAATCCCCTATGGGGTCTAATTTTCAAAAATATTTGGTTTGACTGGGATAATTACATTGGCCTGCTTAAAAAATGTCCCAAATAGGACTTGGGTGCATGATGACCAGCTATGAAAAAAATAAATAAAAAGATTTGGAAATAGCAAAGTCCTACCTGTACTTATTGCCCTATAACATTCCAAAAAAAAAGCTAAGAACATGTCAACATTGGGTATTTCTAAACTCAGGACCAAATTTAGAAACTATTTAGCGTGGGTGTTTTTTGGTGGTTGCAGATGCGCAAGAGATTTTGGGGATCAAAGTTAGATAAAAGTTTTTTTTTTGTTTTTTTTTACATTTTTTTAATCATATTTTATAAAAGAAATTATAGTAAATTATATAATATGTTGGAAATAATGGTATCTTTAGAAAGACCATTTGATGGCGAGAAAAACTGTATATAATATGTGTGGGTACAGTAAATTAGTAAGAGGATAATTACAGTTAAAAAACACAGCAGAAATGTAAAAACAGCCCTGATCCTTAATGGTAAGAAAATGGAAAAACAGTCTGGTCACTAAGGGGTTAATGCATGTACTTTTTCATTTGGGTATATTTAATAAACAGTTGTTTTTTATTTGCTTGTATTTGGGCAGTGGAGTATCCATTTAAGCTCTCTCTTCCTGTGTGCTGCTGTTTTGGTGTCATTCTTGATGTGCACTGATTACCACTTATAGCAGTTTACTAGATTATAATAGCATGAAGTGCCTTAAAAAGGCATTTTTAATTGACGTGATGTATATCCTGCAGGAAAGATCAGTGCACATTAAGAATTATTCAGTCTAAGGAAGAGGCACAAAGAAGCTTCACTCATGTCCTATGTTCTCCATCAATTGTCTGAATGTTTGGAGACTTATTTTTTTTTTTAAAGGAGAAACAAACAAAACGCAAAGAATACCCAATAGCATGTTTTAGATGCCCGCTGGCATGTTTGAATATCCTATGGAATGTTTAGAAAGGTCACCATTACTGATATGCAGCGAACGTAAATTTTAAGAAGCTTACAATTATGACCTCCGTGTCAAAGACATTAATGGCATTGGCCTGAGAGATAATCCATGAAACACTAACTACTCCAGCAAATAAAGAAAGGACAAAGATCAGCATATGTGCCCAGACAACAGTTGTACCTCTAAGGTTTTAACAGCATTGAAAACATCCATGTATTAACATCCACCATGATGCCTAATAAGGCTGAAACGATTGTCTGGGGTTGCTGTATCTCTCGTGCAGAGAGAACTTGCTGGCATTTCAGATCTGGACTGCCCATATGGGTGGGACCAGTCTGATATGTTTTAGATATGTTCTCTCTGTAATGGCACAAGTTGAGCTAAAACCAGCTTGAGTTCTGAGCGGGGACCCACCGAAGGGCAGGCTATTTTAGCTGCTGTCCGTTCTCAGGATACTCTTGTGGCCCATTTTTTGCTCTCCATTTGTTTAAAGGGTAATCCAGACGTGGACCCCTTGCTCACGGTGCTTAGAGAGATATCAGCTATGCCTCACTGATGATGCCTAACAAGGCTGAAACGATCGTCTGGGGTTGCTGTATCTCTCGTGCAGAGAGAACTTGCTGGCATTTCGAATCTGGACTGCCCGTATGGGTGGGACCAGTCTGATATGTTTCAGATATGTTCTCTCTGTAATGGCACAAGTTGAGCTAAAACCAGCTTGAGTTCTGAGCGGGGACCCACCGAAGGGCAGGCTATTTTAGCTGCTGTCCATTCTCAGGATACTCTTGCGACCCATTTTTTGCTCTCCAGTGTGGGCCGGAGTTCCGAGCAGTGGTGAAGATGTCGGGCTGTGCGTGGCCAAGAACCCTTATCCAGCACTAATCTGCTCAAAAATGGCTTAACATTGAAAGAAAGGATGACAAAAGGTACTCCATTGTCCATTTAAAGAAACACTAAGTACCAGAATAACTTAAAGTGATTTTGGGGCATAGATGCTGCCCTTACAGCCTTGCAGATGAAAGAGAGCCCTTTCTAAAAACAGTACCATATTGCTATTCCAATATCCATGCCTCTAGTATCTGTCATTCAGACAGCCATTAATGGCATTGGACTAAAAACAATTCAATAATTGTATCTGTTTTATGTCTGTAATTGCCATGCAAAGTATGCTGCCACTGCACGCTGTGTGTTTGCAGCAACAGAGTTGTAGCAAAGGCAGAGGGAACCAACCGTCACCAGATCTGAAGGGTGCCGGTCTGTATATAACTATTGGAACAGAGCTGCATGGGGGTATTGCAGAGCCTACCTCTGATAAAGCTACCTTGTGGTTCTCTGCGCACATATCCATTTACTGATAGATTGAGGACATGATGATCTCCATCTATTAATGTTTTCCACTCACCCTATCCCCCCATTTTCTTTTGCTTGCCCACAGCTCATGGTACTGTGGAACAGACACTAACACTTTCCAGGACCACCGAGTGACGTGTGAATCAAGAGAGCCAGAGTGAGGGTCTGGTTTTTACACGTACCATGGCCAGGGCACCAGGCAGCACGGTATCTCATCTCTGTGAAGTGGTCTGGATGCAGTAGCCTTAAAGTCTTAGTTCTACAATGTAAAAAATTGCTGTTTTGTAGACACAGCACGGTTTCGATTGCAGGGCTAAGTGCACTACAAGTGGCTGTCTTCCTCACAGACTCTGTTTTTCAATCAATGCTTTTTATAGAAAGCTTTTGGAGAACCACAGCGTTTTGCCACCCATGCGTTTCTCGTCCTCAATGCTTCTCTATAAAAATGATTAGATTGGATAAGAAGACGGAAAACGTCAGCATGCTTACAGACGAAGAAGAAAGCAGAGCGGGCAGCAGCAATGACAGTATTGCGGCTCTAGAAACAAGGTGAGTACAATATATTAACACTGCATTTTTTAAAATACGAGGGGCTGGCATAGATCACTAAAATGTCAGGCAACTGAAAAAAGATTTCTTAAATCGTGCTATGTGAGGTATCAAGATTTTATGCCAAGTGATGATCCAAAAAGCCAGCCCACAAAACTTGGGATTCACTGCGTTGAAGACATCTCTATGTATCCCATAATTAAAATGACACCCTTTTACTTTGTGATATGATTCAATAAAAAAAAAGTTTTCTGTACAATAATCAATAATGTTTTGGTGTTTGTTTTAGGTTTGGTAATAGGTCAAGAATACCATCATCAGCTGTCATACTGGCTCTAAATATATTCATTCTGTCAAAGCAACATGGAACCGGCTGAAGTGATATAACGAAGGTCACTTCAGAATGACTCCAAGCAGAACAGTATCAAAGTAACACTAACTTATTAACCAACAAATAACTGACCTGCTCAATCACAACATTTCTTTTCAGTTTCTTGAACCTCAAATCTTTCATCATCTGAAATTGCCAACTGTTACATTATTTTGTAAATGATGCAAAACAGATACAAAGAAAAAAAACTTCACTAAACTCGGAATTGTAACAAATTAAATCCAAATGTCAAAATTGAATCTAAAACAGCCAATCTGTGACAACTGAATTTGGAGAACATTTCCAAAATAGCATTTTTTTTGTCTAACTTTTGCCATGCAGATTTCAAATTTACTATAAATTTAGGGGTTAGTGAGTTAAACCTCTAAAGTTTTATTCACTATACTCAGAGCTGAATTCCAACTTGCAGAACATGATTTAGGCAAAAGTTGGGAAATTTCTCCAACTTGGCTGCAGTCACAGCTTTAGGATTTCGATTTGCTACAATGCGGCATTTACCGAATAATCCCCAGGACTACAGACAGGGTGCAAACATTCCCATTTCCCAGTAGAATGCTCACCTGTGCACAGGCTGACAGCTCACGCCATGCAGACACTTTCCCCCTGGTTAAAACCAATCTGAGAGGGGACATCATTTTGATGCAAGATATATTGAAAATAAAAACCTATTAGCTGCAAAATTTACTATTTCTGCATACAGCAACTATTAAATAGTTTGAATGATTAGATGGCGGTGTCTTCTTAATACTGCCTGTTAATCAGTATGACATGCCCCCAGAAAAATATCAGTGCCCTATGCTGTATGCTGCCTGGACGTGCATTATGTGATCTTCCTGAACTGACTGCAGCCACCTCCCCCTTGGACTGCACCATTAAAGGGGAAAATGTAGGGGTGCATGGACTGTACCAATTAAGAAAAAATAAATATATACATATATATATATATATAAAAACAAAATTGCATGTAAGCTGAATAAGAGGCTTAAATATTAACTTTGTAAGGATGATGGCTTTTTGAGATGGAGTGTATTAGTGACTAGGTATTTTCTGGCGCATGTGTTTATTATTATTATTATTATTATTATTATTATAGACATTGTTCACGCTATTTACCAATGTAAGGATTTCGTAATTCTCACCCTGAATGAGACAGAATTGCATCCAAATTTCATAAGGACTGAATGGTGCCGAATAGTGATGTTGCGAACATGGATGCTGTCCAGGAGGTGGGAGGGTCTGGGAGGGAGGGTCTGCCGGAGATTGGCCGGGATGTGTCAGCTGACCGGAGCTCGCCGCGAACGGTTCGTGGCGAACCGTGGCGAGCCGTTCGCGGGAAGTTCGCGAACGGTTCGCGACATCACTAGTGCCGAATAGTGGAAATCAGGGCCCGAATGTGTAAAATGCAGGCTTAGATTTTAAATGGTAGGCGGTTGTCCGGTTAAATTCCGGCTCCCGGCATCACTCTGCGGTGCGCGAGGGAGCTGAGCAGAGAGCTCAGGTAAAGTGCTCCCTCAACAGCACCGCCCGCCCGCCAGGATTTTTAGTTAGCCGCGAGGCTAACAAGACATTTGCCCTGGGCATTTGGGGGCGGCTTTTTTTGCCGTCCCCTGGAAAATGCCGGCCAAGGCAAATGCCTTGTTTGCCTCACGGCTAATACGTCCTTGCAGGTTACCATTTTACTCTCAGGCACCTGGCAAGGTCGTGTCTATTACCGCAACTGAGTTCATTTCCAACCACACCAACCAGTAGGTTGTTACACAGTTGTTAGTAATAATAATTACATATGTATTATATAACATGCACATTATATAGACATTGCAGTGTCAGAGTATTTCTGAATCATCTGTGAAGCGTCTGTGTTAAAAGTAGTCATCTTTTTTAGCAGTGTGTAATCTTGCAATGATTTTATAAGGAGACATACCTGATTAGTCGCAACATTAAAACCACTGACAGGTAAAGTGAATATCATTGATTATATCATTACAGTAACCCCTGTCAAGGGGTGGGATATATTAGGCAGCAAATGAACAGTCAGTTCTTGGATTTCAGGTGTTGAAAGCAGGAAAAATGGGCAAGTGAAAAGATCTGAGTGAATTTGACAAGAGCCAAATAGTAAAAAATAAGCCCCAAAATAGTGTATATAGAGTGTGCTTGGTGCTATTGGGGTATATATGCAGGTTTCCCCAGTGTCTACAATTACTCCAAAGACACCAATAAAAGTAAAATACAAACAGAAACAGGATAGGGAGCATAATTAATTCCACCAAAAATACAGTAAATAATACTTATTTCTCTTTCCTCCCTTAATTAGAGGTAAAATACATCAAGGGTAACAGCAAATCTTCAGAAATAGACACTCTCATTTTGTAATATTGTTAAAATAAATATTTATGATGAGAGACAAAATCGGCCACTCACAGTTTGCAGAGCCACATATAACATGCTCTGGCGGCCAAAAGGGCACTTGATAGTATTAGTATTCTTTCAATATAGATAGTAGATACAGAGGTGGCTAGACGACTGGGTCAGAGCATCTCCAAAACGGCCAGTCTTGTTGGGTGTTCCCAGTATGCAGTGGTCAGTTCCGTCCCAAAGTGGTGCAAGGAAGAACAGCCAGTGAACCAGCATCAAGATCATGGGTACCCGGAGAGTAAAAGGTAGCCTGTCTGGTCAGATAATGCAGAAGAGCCACTGTAGCTCAAATTGCTGAAAAACATAATGCTTGCCATGATAGATGCTGCATATGAGGCTACATAGCCGCATACCAGTCAGAGTGCCCATGATGATCCCTGTTTACCACTGAAAGCACCTTCAATGGGGTCGTTAGCATCAGAAATGGACTATGGAACAATGGAAGAAGGTTGCCTGGTCTGATGAATCACATTTTCTTTCAGATCAGGTGGATGACTAGAAGAGATGGCAGCAGGATGCACTATGGAAAGAAGCAGTGTTATGCTTTTGGCAATGTCTTGCTGGGAAACCTTGGGTTTTGGCATTCATGTGGGTGTGTGTGCATCGTTTTCCTGGGGAAGAGATGGTAGCAACTAGCAATATGCACCATGGGATGAAAACCGACCAGCAGAAGCAGTGTGCAATATTCTGCTGGAAAACCTTTGGCCCTGGCATTCATGTGGATGTTACGTTGACATAAACCACCTACATAGAGATTGTTGAATACATGTTCATGGCAATGGGGGTCCCTGATGGCAGCAGCCTCTTTCAGCAGGATAAAGCAGGACTTAAAGCATCTGCTGCTAATATCTGGGTGCCAGTTACCACAGTACATGTTCAGAGGTCTTGTGGAGTCCTGTCTAGATGCATCAGAACTGTTTTGGGACGATGGGGACCTACATGATATTAGGCAGGTGCTTTTAATGCTTGGGATGATCAGTCTATAGTACATTATAAATATTTATAATTTGTGCAGAGTTTTCTGGATTTAATGTCCCTTTTATATAAAGTATGTGACATATAAAGCTGAATATCTATTCAGAAATACTTTGACCATATAATATTGCTCATGCATGTTTTATGATGTATTTGTAATTTTTACTAATAACTCCATACCACTACCTAAAAGTCATATGTGTGTTTTAATCTTAGACAACTGTCCAAAATGAATGGATATCCCTTGTAACTCGAGTCTCCACCCAAAGATAACTCCAGACAAATAATTAGTAGGACTTGTCCATAACTTTATTGACTTGTACCATAACCAGCTTAACAAACATTCACTGTTGTAACTTGTCTAACACTATAAACTCAGCTACCATCTGAAGGACTCATTGCAACAAACAGTTGCCATTTTCTCCAGGGTTTGGTTACTGATATAACCATAACATGCATTTTTGCTAGTCATATTCTCTGCAATGGCTATTTATTATAGGAGTTAAGTGTAGGTAGTAGCAATACGTTTATAAGAAGATTACACATCCAACTTTTGCAAACTGCATGTCTGATAAATTTGTACAAAAATTAGTTAGTCCGAATCAAATTCGACCGCATCAAATACACAACTGAACTAATCGATACAACTGAGATTTACCTGTGAAGTCTTATTCATAGTTGTCTAAGTTGAAAAGACTCCATCAAGTTCAACTCTGAAGCCCATTCTTGTATGCTGTTGATCCAAAAGAAGGAAAAAAAAGAAATCAAAAAATTGTAGCCATTTCGAATTATGCCATAAAAAGGGGGGGAAATCCTTCATGACTCCATAATGGCAGTCATATTTCTACTTCAATGGTAATCAACAACCTATTGACATACATATCAATTATATATAGCAGTAGAAAGAGGGAAGTGCTCATGCCATTGTACAGAACACTGGTGAGACCTCACTTGGAGTATTATACACAGTACTGGAGACCGTATCTTCAGAAGGATATTGATACCTTAGAGAGGGTTCAGAGAAGGGCTACTAAACTGGTTCATGGATTGCGGGATAAAACTTACCAGGAAAGGTTAAAGGATCTTAACATGTATAGCTTGGAGGAAAGACGAGACAGGGGGGATATGATAGAAACATTTAAATATATAAAGGGAATCAACACAGTAAAGGAGGAGACTATATTTAAAAGAAGAAAAACTACCACAACAAGAGGACATAGTCTTAAATTAGAGGGACAAAGGTTTAAAAATAATATCAGGAAGTATTACTTTACTGAGAGGGTAGTGGATGCATGGAATAGCCTTCCAGCTGAAGTGGTAGAGGTTAACATGGTAAAGGAGTTTCAGCATGCGTGGGATAGGCATAAGGCTATCCTAACTATAAGATAAGGCTAGGGACTAATGAAAATATTTAGAAAATTGGGCAGACTAGATGGGCCGAATGGTTCTTATCTGCCGTCGCATTCTATGTTTCTATGTTTCTATATTTAAATATTCTGTTTATGCAAAAAAAGCATTCATTTTGATTCATTTAGGTGGGCATTAAAGGGAATTTTATTTGGGTGAACTGCTCCAAAATCATGCAGATTCATTAATTATTTAAACAGACAGTGCCTCTTTCCTGTCCTGATGTGCTTCTTCTCCATGTGTTTGTAACAAACTATTTAATTCCCCTACTTTAACCCTTTGTGTCACTATACCCCACTCCCTCTAGCATGTAAGCTCATCGAGCAGGGCCCTCAACCCCCTCTGTTCCTGTACATCAGTGGTCTGATCTCAGTTATGTGTCTGTTAGTCCACCCATTGTACAGCGCTACGGAATTTGTTGGCGCTATATAAATAATAAAATAATAATAATAATAATGATACCATTTGACCTGTATGGGAGCAAAGACTCAAAATAAAATGCTATTCAAATAGCATTTATTATATTTGTGAGTTTGAGAATAAAGTTATAAAGTACAGGTATTTCATAAGCTGTGTTTTTAATTAAAGGGACACTATATTCACCCAGACCACTTCAGCTCAATGAAGTGGTCTAGGTGTCAGGTCCCTCAGGTTTTCTTCTGACAGCCGCTAGAGGCGCTTCTGCAACTCTGGATGCGAAATTCGTATCCAGCGTGCAGAATGTCCATAGGAAAGCATTGAGAAAACACATGGGCATTCCGTTCCACTTGGGAGCTGATGTCAGCAGGGGAGGAGAGGTCACCAGCACAGAGGGAGCCCAGCACTGGATTAAGGTAAGCTGCTGAAGGGGTTTTAACCCCTTCAGCACCACGGGAGGGAGACCCTGAGGGTGAGGGTCCCCCAAGGATGACATAGTGTCAAGAAAACGGGTTTGTTTTCCTGACACTATAGTGATCCTTTAAATAATAACCATAATTAGATTATTTGGTCACCTCTAAATACCATGCTTCCTATATCACATGCCTATTTCAAGATGGTGCTGAAACCATCCCTTTTATAAAAGTTCTCGATTACATCATCTTGGCTGTCAAAAAGCTGGAAGGGGGCTCTTCCCAACACAATTTAAACTCTTCTCATATATTGACTGGCATAAACTCTTTAGTGAAAAAAACATTGATAAATGGAATATCTTTAAACAAATATTAGAAATGTACATGTCTCAGTTTGGTAATTGTTAAATATAAAAGAAACACATTTAAGCATATGTGGCTTAGTGAAAAAGTAAACCATGAGATTAAAAATAAGAAGAAAATAAGAAAAGGGCATATCAAAGGTATCCTATATAAGATATAAGGAAACCAAGAATGCATGCAAAAGAGTGGCAAAACTAGAAAATGAGGGAGTGATAGCCAAAGAGAGAAAATTTAACCCAAAAATGTTTAAGTATATAGATTCTAAAAAAGAAACAAAACATTAAAGTTGGTCGGTACACTGAAAACAGATATGGGCATGTTAATTAATACAAGGAAAGTAAGACAAAGAAAAGGCAGAAATTTTAAATAACTATTTTTCCTCAGTATATATTATGGAGGGTCATATGGCAAGAGTTATGCAAATGATCGCTGCAAAAAACTTGCAGAAAAATTGTGATAGGATGACTCAAGAAAAGGTGCTACAGCAACATTAGAAAGTTAATATAAACAAAGCTCTGGGGCCTGACGATACTCACCCAGGAATACTTAAGGAGCTAATTGTGGAAATAAGTGAACGTCTATGTTTAATCTTTCAAGATTTTTTTCCAGGAATTCTACTGGACGATTAAAGGAAGGCAGGTGTTGTCCCTATATTCAAAAAGGGTTCAAACTCCTTGTTTAACGTCTGTAGCTGGGAAAGTATTTGAAGAGTTGTTACAGGATAATATTCAGGAATTCATTGGGAAGAACATTGTTATTAGCAGTAATCAGCATGGCTTTATGAAACATAGGTCATGTCAAAAAACCTATTTGCATTCCACAAAGAAGTAAGTAGAAATAAAATAGGTGTTTGAAACGGTTCCTCACAATAGGTTAGTGTTTTAAGTCAAATAAATTGGTCTAGAGGAAAATTCTTGTTCTTGTGTGGAATATTGGCTTAAAGATAGAGTACAGAGAGTTGTCATTTATAGTACATTTTCAAGCTGGACAAATGTCATAAGTGGTGTCCCTCAGGGTTCTGTTCTGTGACCACTTCTATTTAACATATTTATAAATGATCTTGAAACAGGCATTGAAAGTGAAGCTTTAGTGTTTGCAGATGACATAAAACTTTGTAAAGTAATACAATGTGAAGAGTATATTGTTTTGCTGCAGAGGGATTTAGATAGATTGGGTAACTGGGCACTCAATTGGCAGATGAAGTTTAATGTAGAAAAATGCAAAGCTATGCAATTTCACTGTAAAGAAAGCACAAGCAACTTACGCCCTAAATGGTAGTGAATTAGGGATAACAACATATGAAAAGAATTTGGGCATTTTTATAGATTACAAACTTTGCAACAATGTGCTATGTCAATAGTTGCTAAGGCCAGTAAAAATGCATAGTATAAATAGGGACATTAATTCTCAGGATGAAAATATAATTCTACTTCTTTATAAATCACTGCTAAGACCTTGAATATGATGTGCAATTTTGGGCACCTGTTCTAAAGAAGGATATTATGGTACTAGAAAAAGTGCAGAGGAGGGCTACAAAATAAAAAAGGAGCATTTTAATTATGAAGAAAGCATATTTAATTATCTTTAGTTTGGAAAAACGGCACCTCAGAGGGGATATGATAGCATTATACAAATATATTCAAGGCTAATACAAACAATTGTCTCTAAATATATTCATACACAGGACTATACATAGGACACAATGTCAGTTTAGACTGGAAGAAAGGAGATTTAGTATAAGGCAAAGGAAATTTTTTTTTTTTTAGTAAGAACAATAAGGATGTGGAATTATTTGCCTGAACAGATTTTTTTTATCAGAGTCTATACAGATGTCTAAAGAGCAATTGGAAAAATACTTGCAAAAACATACTGTAAAGGATTTCCATATACTTACCTGTGTGCCTTCGGTTATATCCTCTCCCTGCTGTTTAAATACTGTTAGCTGGTTCGTTTTTACTATGTGTTTGAGAAATGTATTCGTCTACCGAACAGAGAACACCCTGGGTAGCAATCAGAATTTGGAACGTTGAGAAAACCACATCTTAATTGAGGGTTTCTAGGTGGCCGCCATTCGGCATTCGAACACGTGGCGAAAACAAAGGATGGCAGCCATCTTAAATCTCCCAAACGCGGTCAGCGGGACTTACACATGAATTGCCTGGAACTATTTTCTGCATGGCAACCACGCGAACGTCCGGTCATTATTGAAGTCCCGGCTGACTACTTTCTATTCAACTAATCAAACCGGCATTCGGGAGTTTGAACCTACCGAATGAGGGGACTGTTTTCATATAACAAGCTGCATCATTCATATGGTAATTTTCGTGTAATTAGGCGCGAACTGAGACCGGCTCTTGCTACTGATTTCATGGAACTCTAAATCGGATGCCACCACATGGCGAGCCGGTCAAACTTCCACATGATGCGACACGGAAACTACCAAACGGATTTTCGTGAGATTTGGATATGTGACTCCCAGTATCCTCAGCTACCCAGGGATGGACGCAAGTCTTTTCAACTATGTAACTATGTAACTATGTAAAGTACAGTGAGGGAAAAAAGTATTTGATCCCCTGCTGATTTTGAACGTTTGTCCACTGATCAGTCTATAATTTGAATGGCAGAGAGACAGAATAACAAAACAAAAAAAAATCCAGAAACACACATGTCAAAAAAGTTATAAATTTAATTTCTTTGTCATTGGACAAATGTTCAAAATCAGCAGGGGATCAAATATTTTTTCCCCTCACTGTGCATTTTAATGCTTCTTCATAAGAAACAATGGCAGATTACTGCTTCAAATATGCTCCACCTTCTACTGCTTCTCGCTCTACTTATCTCATATTAAACATTAGCACACTGCAAAACTGTTGGCAAAGTAACAAATGGTATTAATTTTATTAAAGACACAGAGGCTCCTATTATGCATTCTCTTTCTTTATTTTACTCCCAGCAGCAAGAAAAGGAAGTATGAGAGAATCATAGAAAAAACATAACAATAGCATAGTAACACTTGCACCAATCAGGATCCAATACTGTCCATATGGGTGTGGTGCTCCTTTACTCCTCCTCTTTCTTGCTGCTCCCTCACACCAGTTAAGTACTCCATCTCTTGCTACTCCTTGAGTGTTATGTATATATATGTGTGTGTTTTTGTGCAGATTTATGTATTAGTGTATGTTTATTGCTCACTATTATTGCTGGTTTATAAGTCCTGCTTGTGTCTGGGAGTGCTGCCTATTGGGTTCTCTGGGACCCTTGTTTTCCCTCCTGCCCATACTTCTGGGTATTTGTTTCCCACTTATCCCCTTTCCTGCACTGTCAGCCTAATTGGTGGTGCAGCTGGGCTACTTAGCTGTTTTCCGTGAGTGTCCACAGTCTGGTCCGCGGTTTCGTGCGGTCCGTGCATGCGTGATCACTCAGACACCGCGTGTGTATATTTTCACTCGCGGCGGCCATTTTAATTGCGGTTTTGTCAGGAAATTGCTGTGGATCGCTTTAAAAGGTGGATAAAGGCTTCTCCTACCCTGGCGCACTCCCAGACCCATACTGTGAATTATTGCTGTTTACTGCTGTTAATTGCTGTTCAAACTATAAGTGTTGGTGTGGAGGATTACTCTATCCTGACACCTTTTTGTTCTTTAGCCTTAGCTAGTATTATTTTTCCCTACAGGTCACTTGAGGTACTGTTTTTTTAACCATTGAGCTACCTGCTAGTAGCATTGATTTATTGGGCCCAGTAATTTTGACCCTGAGTGTGATTGGGAGTATCGTTCCCTGTGGGCAGATAGTATTGCTAACGCTAGGATGCAGGATCAGACTGAGAGTTCAGTGTGTCACACGCCAGGGGTTCCCACCTCAGGCAGTGATAGTAGGGATGACTCCAGCCTCATGGCATCGGAGGAATTTCAATCCATCCTTGATTCTACCATGGCGCAATCCATCAACAAGGCTTTGGCCTCTGCGATGGGGGTCATGTCGTCCTCTATCACGCACTAAATAACCCAAGCATTGCTACAGATTCAGGGTAGTGACCCTCAGGGCACACAAAACCCAGGAACCACTAATGTGGCACAACCTGGACGCAAAGCTTTGATTAAAAGCAAACATATTATTTCCCATCCAGAACTGCAGGTTTGGCCTGCACTGAATGACAAGCCTCAGGCTGTTGTGGATGGTGCGATACAACCGCGCAATAGAGCTGCTGGCTGGGCAAAATCGGCCAGATCATGGAAGCGGGATCGTGCCCATGAGGATTCGTCCGATTCGGACCAGAGTTTGGAGGAGGGTCCACCTTCATGTTCCACCAATGAGTTTGTTCACAGGGAGTGGAGTGTGTGTGTGGGGGATGTCCTGATGTATGTAAGGAATGCATTGTGTGAATCTGTGTTTGTATGTGTAAGGGCTGCAAGGTGTGTTTCTGTGTATGTATGGGATGCAGTGTGCATCTGTAAGGGATGCATTGAGTGTGTGTAAGGGGTGCATTGTGTGTTGCTGTGTGTTAGGGATGCATTGCTTGTGTATGTGTGTCTGTGTGTAATGCATTGTGTGTTTTTCTGTGTGCAAGGGGTGCCTTGTGTGTGTGTGATGGATGTCAATCTCTCCCCCTCCCCCACATCAATTTCCTTCTCCCTCCCTCTCCCTCCAATTTCCTTCTTCTCCCCCTCCATCCCTCTCTCCAATTTCCTTCTCCCCCCTCTCCCTCCAATTTCCTTCTTCTCCCCCTCCCTCCCTCTCTCCGATTTCCTTCTTCTCCCCCTCCCTCCCTCTCTCCAATTTCCTTCTTCTCCCCCTCCCTCCCTCTCATTTCCTTCTCTCCCCTTCAATTTCCTTCCTGTCCCCCCAATTTCCTTCCTGTCCCCCTGTCCCTCAAATTTTCTTCCTTTCCCTCCGTCCCTCAAATTTCCTTCCTCTCCCCCGTCCCTCAAATTTCCTTCCTCTCCCCTCCCTCAAATTTCCTTCCTCTCCCCCCTCCCTCAAATTTCCTTCCTCTCCCCCCTCCCTCCCTCAAATTTAATTCCTCTCCCCATCCCCCCCTCAATTTCATTCCTCTTCTCCCTCCCCCTCAAATTTCATTCCTGTCCCCCCTCACCCTCAAATTTCATTCCTATCCCCCCCCTCTTCCTGTCCCCCCTCCCCCTCAAATTTCATTCCTGTCCCACCTCCCCCTCAAATTTCATTCCTTACCCTTAGGGGGGTAATTTCATTCCTCCCCCCCTCCCCGACACCCGGCGGCGGGCGCACGAGGGAGCACTCTACTCTGTGTGCTTCCTCTTCAGCTCCCTCGCGCACCACATAGGGATGCCGGCGCCGGAAGATGACGTCATCTTCCGGCGCCGGCATCAGTACTCGGCGCTCGAGGGAGCTGAAGAGGAAGCACACAGAGGAGAGTGCTCCCTCGCGCACCCGACCCGCCGGGGTCAGCAGGGCCAGCCTCTGGGGGGCCCTGAGGTGACCGGCTGCCGGGCCCCCCGGAGATGTACACCACTGAATGTGGGGCCCGGACGACCTGAGCAGTCCGGGCCCCCCAGGACCGCCGGGCCCATGACAACCATTGCGGTTGAGATCTGGGTGATTTTTGGATATGTTCCTCACCCAGATCAGATTTGGGGTACATCCAAGAATTGGGGAAAAGTATGCACTGTATAATTATGTTAACTGTTAATCTAAGGGGAGGAGATGTGTGGGAGGTAACATCTATGGGATTGGTTACTGTACTAATTATGATGAGTCCCTCTCTTGCATGGGAGAATCTCATAAAAGCAGGAATGTTGCCATTAAACTTCAGTTCTACTCCTGATACTGTGTGTCGTCCAGTGATTGGGAAAAGGTGATGGGATACTATTGGATTTTATTGCTGATTGTGCTGGATACTCTCTTGGATTTACTACTTGTTCCTACATTCTTTTAATATATCAGTGGAGTTAAGCTGTGGGAAATCAGCTCTCCGCTACACTTTGGACCCTACAATAATGGTCTTCGGGATCTACACAGAAAGAGGAGGAGTGAAGAAGCACCACACCCATATGGACAATATTGGATGCAGATTGGTGCCACTGTTAACATGCTATTGTTATGTTTTTTTCTATGATTCACTCATATTTCCTTTTCTTGCTGCTGGGAGTAAAATAAAGAAAGAGAATGCATAATAGGAGCCTCCGGGTCATTAATAAAATCATGACTTTACATCATGTTAATAGTAAAATTTTGTAATTATCTTTAACTATTTAAATCAGTCCTTAAAGACACACATTTCATTTTTATATAACATATGCAAATAATAAGCGTCAGTAGCCACAGTGTGTGCTGCACCCTATGAGTTAGCACCTGAGCTATTACCTGAATTCTCATCTTGTATGACAAAAATAAATGAATTATCTCCATACATACATATACTTTTAGTGGAGACAAAACAAAGTGCACATTGTGAATGATATTTTTTGGATGGTCACTTACAGCAAGTTTGATCAACTTTGATAACATTGAGCAACTTGTGCCTTTACATGATCTGATAAGTGCACGTCTACATCTGCATTATATGTATATTGCTTCCATGTTCTTTATATCAAGTTTTGTATACATGTTATTTACTAAAGTGAGAATTCAAATTGAATTCAAAGTGATTTTCAAATTTAAGGCCAAAGTACCAGAACTAGAAGCAGAAATGACTTAAAGAGTTTTTCCAGTTCCGCTATTTGAAACTTAAATTTTAAATTCACTTATAATTCACCTAAGAATCTCACTTTAGTAAACAAACCTATTTGTTTTAGGAGATATATATTTGCAAAATAGTGAAGTATTGTAAAATCCTTTAATACAACTTGAAAAATTTACATTCAGCCAGCAGATGGCACTACAGCATTTGTGTGTTTATACATAAAAAGAATAGACCTGGATTACAAATATATAAACACATGAAGGGCATTTAAGCATACGGCAATCTGTATTAGATTGGCTATATTTTGTTACATAGACTGTATTAAAACCAATTTACGATGTATCCATATTCTGTGCTAATTGAACTTAATTTCTTCATTTTAGAATTTCAAAGTATCAATTCCTGTTTGTATTTATACAATTTTACACTATGATGGTAACAATCAGTCACAACAAGCAGTCCATTATTTGTTACAGTGATCCCTGCAGGCCCTTCTAGGTCTTGCGTCACAACTAATGATGATAATGAGGAGTCCCGGTTAAACATGGTGACATTGTTTTTTCCTCTGTCGGCTACAAAAAAATTGCCGCTTTTATCTACGCAAACTCCTGATGGGTTGACGAAGTTGAAGTCTTCTCCGTACTTAGGTCCAATTGTCTTCTTGAGTGCTCGCTCACTGTCTATAATCTTAAGGCAACAGCCTCCCTTTTGGCCAAAGAGCTGGCCCTCTGAAACCAACAAATCTTCAGCCTGCAAAACAAATTATTCGTTTTATAGAATTATAAAACCATATTTAGTCAGGACATTAACTTCTAACGCTAAATTACACATGGCTGATAACTGCACCAGTATTTGTCAGCAGACCTCAAATAATAGACTTATATCCAAGAGTTGTGATTTCAGCAGCAAGCTCCATCAGTCATACAAAGTAAATCATGTTCTTTGTTTATCGTCTTGGGGTATCTTCTATTATAATCAGAACTAGCTCAACACAGATACTTGTTTCTGTACAGTTTATTTGCCAAGAAGAAATTGTGCAGAAGTGACAAGAGAATTGCAAAATTTACAGGGTTATTCAATAAAGTGAGAATGTGAGGTTAAATCAATAGGAATTGCAAATTCAAGGTAAAAATAGTGTAACTGAAAAAAATACTATATAGACAACAGTTTTAGAAAAGAGGCACGTGTAGCATGATTCAGATAGAAAGAGAATTTTAGGAAGAAAGAAAAAACATTTGCAGAGAGACAAACTAGAAAGGCCAAAAGAAGTAAAAACAGACTGAAGGGAGATGTGGGGTAGCTGAGGGGTAGTAAACTCCATTTTTGCCTAGGGCAGTAAACATCTTTCTGCAGGCCCTGGATAGGATCATTTGGATTTTTCAGATGTATAAGAACAGTTCTAAAATGATTGCTAAACGCTACTCTATGGTATCATTGAATGTTTTTAAATCGTCATTGTCTCCCTCCACCTTTCCCCCTTCCTCCTATGTTAACTGTGTTGGAATTTCACTGAAATTCCAACTAAGTTAAAATATAAACTTAGACAAAGTAAGGACTAATTTGTTTCAGTATTTTTCTGACACTTAACACTTCTTGACACTGGGAGAAAAGAGGACCAGCTGGAAGGTTCAAGTAAGTACAACCTGCCTGCCTGCCACCACCCGCCCTCTTCCCTCATACCGATATCCATTCTATCTGATTCCCTTACTCTTATTGCAAATATGATGTGCCAAAATATATGCCTTATGCTAGGATATCAGGAGAGGTAGTCAGATGCAATCACTTAAGCCTACGCCTAACGGCCTCCCTTTGAATCCGATAGGGCACCCAACACACTGTTACTACCCTCATAACTATCCAGGGGAACCAGAGAATAAGTCTAGCATACTGATGTCATGTTTGAAGTGCCTGGAAAGTTTAATTAGTTAGTCTGTTATCCATTTGTTAGCTATTACACATAGCTGGGTACAGCCACTTAAAACTGAAGCTTAGTCCAGTGGTTTTTAATTTAAGTGCATAATCTGCACATGTCCAGTCAACATTATTCCTGATAACATTATCTGCCTAGTCAGACAAGTGCTACTCTTAAACATCTTACTACTCAGATCAGCATGTACTCAAACGTATCTTCTCGTTCACACCCTTTGTATAGTCAGTATAGCCAGATTCTTATACTATGCCGCTTTGTCTCTCCGCTGACTACTTTCCCTACTCATTTAATTGAGAAAGCGCAGTTTACCTACTACATCCTTAATATAAAATATTGTGCTGGTTCCTCGAAATAAAAACGTAGTGTTCTCTCTAACATTTTTTTTTTTCATGTCATGCTATCTGTTTCATTGTGTTTCAAATACTCTCGCAATTGCTGTTGTTGTATTCTCATGCACGACCAAAAATAAGGATAATAATGGTAAGAAAACAAAAAGTTAAAAAAGCAATAACTGGGTTAGATCTCACCTAATCTAGTAATAAACTGTCCAGGCCTATAGGTACGTGCTGTTGTGTGTGGAGAGCCAAGCAATCCCAAGGCTCAAACAAATGTTATGCGGTCCTCATTTAAGAATATGGCACCAGAGTGCCAAAGTGGTTCAGTGCTAAAGAAACTTTATGATGCTGCATTTAATCTAAGAAGCCGATCATCGTAAATGGCTGGAGACCGACACAGCACCACGTGGAATGCAGAAACTCTGACAGTGGCTACACGTGTGGATCAGACGGTCCTTCCAAGGCCTGCTGGAGTTCATGGCGGTCCTTCCATGGCCTGCTATAAAGCGTGGAGGGACAGAATTAATCTCGCCGATAATTGCCATTAATCCTGTAATATAGGAACATTTTACCATAGTATATCAAACACAGGGTGCATTTAAGACCAATATAGTATCATTGTGTATTGAATAGAGAAACCCTAAAGAGAACTAGGAGGAAACTATTTAAAAGGATAACTAGGATCTAGCACCTTGTACCTTACTTTGTACCCATGGAGAGTGCACTTTTGCATATATATGTTGTATTATATTATTTACTGTGCTCTAACCCAGCACCCTCGGTTAAATATTTTTTGTCCTTATGGATAGATTTGCCTACACTGCAGCATAAACAACTAGAATCACTGTTTCATCAAGGGCACATGCTGTTTTTTTGCATACCAATATTGGGGAATTATAATTAAAGGATCTGTGATAGAATCCTTTGATTATATGCAGAATCGTAAACATGCCTTCATCACTGAACCGCTCATGAGATTTTCTTCCTGTGGTGTTCTAGCGCCATGTTATTAAACGAGGACCACATTACAAGTGTTTGACCTTGAGATTAGTTACTAGATTAGGACAGATCTAACCCTGTTTGTGTTTTGTTTTAACTTTTTGTTTAGTTTTCCATTTTTAGATGGATTATTACCTTTTGTGCCTTTTACTCATGGGGAGTGCTGTTTAGTATATAAATATATATATTATTAATTTTTTTTTTAGACTTCTCTATATTCTGATTATGGAAAATAAATTCTGATATTTGCTTCTGTTTGTGCAAATATAAATTTGGCAGCCACTTCAAGAACAGGGCACCATTCCCGCATTTACAGAGCTATGGAGCCCAACCCAGGCACACTCTGCAGAATAAGCAAATGTGTGTGCCAACAAGCACAAATGAACAACCACACAAGAAGATTATAGACGAAACATGTTAAAACGAGAATGACTTCTACTTGCATTGTTCTTTGATCGTAGAGCAAACTATACTGCTATTATAAAAACCAAGCTTGCTAAAGGCCTCCAAGTCCACTGTGCTTGCAGTTTAGCATTGTTGACCTTAAGTTTGAAAATCACTTTGAATTCACTGTGAATCCACTTTACATTCCTGGCAATTCTCACTTCCATGAATAACCCTTCAAGTAAAACAACCTAATAGAACATGTAAAGTGATGAAGCTAACACCTACGGGACTTGATACATACTTGTCATGTAATGTGATTTTTGAGAGACAGAGATCTAAAAATAAATTGGAGAGAATCTGTAATAAAAATCTTTGAATTAAAAAGAGGTGTGAGTGCATCATACCTCCTAACTGTCCCTATTGAGGAGGGACAGTCCCTATTTTCATCCCAAATGCCTTTGTTCCTCTTATCTATCTTAATGTCCCTCTTTTCTAGGAGCTCCATATTGTTATGGTGTCCGAGTGCATAACAGATCTCCACAGCAATAATCATTCACTGCAATAAACGTGTTTAGAAATCAGTTGGTGTAAAGATACATTGTTCTTATACTAAATTGCATTATTTTATATCACATTATTTTATATTACATTATTTTAGTTGCATAAATTGTTATTAGCAAGACACCAACAATTTCTTTGGTATATTAGAATTTAGTTACTTATTTAAAGTGCATCACATTCAAACAGTCCATAGGAAAGTATTACTCAATGCTTTCCTATGGACGTCCAGCATCTTTTCACTGTGATTTTTTGACAGTGAGAATCGCGGAAGCGCCTCTAGTGGCTGTCAGGGAAACAGCCACTAGAGGTTGGATTCTCTGAAACTGCTATGTTTACAGCTGCAGGGTTAACACTAGATGGACCTGGCACCCAGACCACCTCATTGAGCTGAAGTGATCTGGATGCCTATAGTGGTCCTTTAATTCATAAAACGTGCTGCTCACTAGATACCTGTGCATTCTAGTTAGATACACATAACAGGTTTCTATCTGCCCAGCATGCCTTCTGCCTACCTACTCACACACAACTGTAAATGGTGCGTATCACCGGTTTCCCCTTTAGAAGTGAAGTTCTCCAAATAGTTATAATGTTTGCTCAGTGATTTCTAGTATAAATCTTACTTTGCATAGGCAGATCTGTTGTGCCATGTTCAAGCTGACATGTCATATTCTAGTATGTTTAGTTATATGTATAACTATACCCTGTGTCTTCTTGTACATTACCCTTCCAAACCACATATGTTTTATATCCATACAATAGGACAGTCTTCTCTGGCAAATTTCCCAAATCTTGCTCTAATGTGAATTTCATTTGCAACAAGAACCCAAAAAGCTCCTTGAAATTATACTTCTCCTAGATAAAAAAACGCTCCGTGGTCAGTTAAGAAATAACTGTATGGTAATGATTTACTTGGAAATTGAACAAATATTTTCTTCCATCTTCCATTAACTTTTGTATTGCATCAGTTCTATTTTTAAAAAAACTGCATGTATGTTTTGTGAACACATGTAGCCAAGCATTATACACAGGTTATAAAAGTATATTGCATACATGTAGAATATCTTCATACAAAACTTTAAGGAGACGTTGTTTGTTGGCTCCGTATCTTAGTGTTTGTCTGTGAATTCATGTACGTGGGTCCACCTGGGATTTATTATAAAATCAACATCATCTAGATTGTAAGCGGGCCGTCATCAAAATTATTGGGGCATCTCACAAACTCACTGACTAGTCCAATTGGCACACACTTCCAGACACACACAGGCTACCAGATAGAGATACTCCAACACATGTCTCTAGATAGAGAAACACATACACAAGATGTAATACACAGGTACAGATACAGTGTTGGTACACACACATAACCGGCTACACACAGTGCTAAACACACTACCAACTAAATACATATACATTTGTATACACACTCCCTGCTCAACACATACAGTACTACACATATACAGTATTAACACATTTATATTTGTTTTTATATCGTTAACATTCAAGTTACCATTTTTGTAGCTGGAGGGTGGCTTCCTTGTCTTGGCTCTTATTTTCCCTTCCTGTACAACTTTCACAAGTGCACAAGAGATATTACTTCCTACCAGCGCTGCTACACAGGAGTGAAGAAGAGGTACCCCTGCCCCAGTCACCCTCTGCCCTCCTACTGCCCTACCACCCTCTGCCCCAGCCACTCTGTCCTCCTACTGCCCTACCACCCTCTGCCCTCCTACCACCCCCTGCCCCAGTCACCCTCTGCCCTACCACCCCCTGCCCCAGCCACCCTCTGCCCTCCTTCTGCCCCAACCACCCTCTGCCTTCCTACCACCCCTGTCCCTGCCCCAGTCACCCAGCCACCCTCTTCCCTCTGCCCTCCTACCACCCCACTATCCTGTCACTGTCCTCCTACCACCCTCTGCATCAGCCACCCTCTGCCCTCCTACCAACCCCTGCCCCAGCCACCCTACCATCCTCTGCCCCAGCCACCCTCTGCCCCCCTACCACCCCACTACCTGTCACTGTCCTCCTACCACCCTCTGCCCCAGCCACCCTCATATTACGCCATAACTACAGTCAGAGAGATCATAATGCCGTGGCACAGGGAGCCGCAACACTGCAAGCCACTGAACGATGAATACAGAGACTAGCTCTCTGTATCCAGCGCTGCAGTTGTCCTTAAATACAATGACAGCAACTTATACACGCAATGCAACCCCTATTTTTAACTTTAGGTGTTAGTAGGGCCTCATGTTTGAGTTTCGCCTAAGGCCTCACAAAGTCTAGAGCCGCCACTGGCCCCCTTTACGTTCTTACTGATACAACCACACACACTGGCAGACACACAGTTATTGGCACACACACTGTTTAACCAACACACATTTTCAGTGACAGAAACACACACACATTCACTGACACACACACTCACTGATTTGACACACACTGACATACACTCACTGACAAACACACAAACTCTCTAAATTGACACACTCTGACAGACACACACATTCACTGACAGACACACACTGACAAACACACACTGAGACACACACTCACTGATTTGACACACACATGCATGCTAACAGACACATACGTACTGAAATACACATACATACTGACACACACACTCACTCATTGACACAGACATACACATTCCCTTACACAGACATTTAAAAAGTATTTTTTTTTTTTAAAACCTACCCAGAATTAAGTACCTAGAGATCCCCCAGTATGTACATTAGTGGCAGACCCAGGTATAATGGTTTAACAATAACACCCAGCCGCCAGCCTGGATTGCACTCATTTAGCAGCTGCTCTCCACCAATCATTGCCTGCTAAACCCATGGCCCTCAGGTACCGCACCCCTCCTGCGAGGATAGGGGATGGGAATAGAACACAGCCTGAGAGGACAGGGGGCAGAGATTTAAAACAGCCTGAGAGGACAGGGGGCAGAGATTTAAAACAGCCTGAGAGGACAGGGGGCAGAGATATAACAGCCTGAGAGGGCAGGGAGCAGAGATATAACAGCCTGAGAGGGCAGGGAGCAGAGATATAACAGCCTGAGAGGGCAGGGAGCAGAGATATAACAGCCTGAGAGGGCAGGGGGTAGAGATATAATAGCCTGAGAGGGCAGGGGGCAGAGATAGAACGCAGTTTGAGAGGAAATAAGGCGGAGATAGAATGCAGCCTGAGAGGACAGATGCCTGGATAGAATGAAGTCTCCAACTGAATGAAGAGGGAGAATAGAACTTGCAAGCTAGGAATGGGTGGCGAGGGCAGAATGCAATAATCTCCACCCCTTAAAAAACTCACTCATTAAGAGGCATTGTCACTCGTTTGGCAGACGTTCTGCACACATTGGGCAAGTCTATGAAGAAGGCATGGTTAGTTGCCAAAGTGGCAGCAGGCAGTAAGCGCCACTAGACAGAACATACAGGGGTCGACAGGGCAGCTGGGCCCCCTGGAGTGACGGGCCGGGGCGCAGCTGCGACCCCTGCGACCATGGTAGTTTCACCATTGTCAAGAAATATTCTGTTTTGGCCGAGATAAACTCTCATAGCCTAGTGGGTGCAATAAAAGGTAATCTTTAAGTGCAATACCTCAGTAACTGCAATATACTCAGGTCGTTGAAGTCCATCGATAACATTGGTCTTCAAAACAGCATTCATCCTCCAGTCCACCGCAATGATGTGTATTTTACCTCCATCTGTCCAGTCAGTTACTGCAATATTATTGGATTTTAACACAGCTAGTCCATAGGAGTGTTTCCAATCTGCCTTTGATGACTTAAGAATGTGGATTAGTTCACCTTCCCTAGAGAACACTTTAATACCTTTAGACCCATCAGTGACCAGAATAAGTCCTTCACTAGTACATGCCACATCTCCAAGACATTTGGTGCTTTCTGAGCCGTATGCAAATGTATGTTTATAATGACCCTCTTCAGAAAAAACTTGTATTTGTTGGTTGCCAGAGTCCCTAACGGCAAGATCGCCTTCCGAGGTATTTGATACACTGGTTGGCCAAGTAAATTTCCCAACCTCTGAGCCAAATCCTCCAAGTTGTTTGACTAATGTGTTGTAATATATTCTTTGAATCCCAGAAAGTTTCCAGTCCTTATTAAATCTGTGCATGGTTTTCTAGAGAAAGCAAGACAGGACTAATTAGTTTGAAGTACATAGTATAACACAGCCTAAGAAATTGTGCATTGTAACAATATTGACAACTGTTATTCAGCTTTCCCAGTAATATTTCACTTAAGGTTTAGCAATTTATGTGACAGGATAAATGTTCATTCTTAAGAGAATTGTTCACAGTTCAAGGTTAAATCTTAAACACTTTAAACATCAATCAGTTCAAATTTCAACATTTATATTCGTATTAACCACTCATGGCTTTCTAGTAAAACAAGCCATATAAAAAAACCTGTTGTACAGGGGCTCACTGGTTCTGCCAAACATTTGAGAACAAAAGAATCACTAGATTTTTAGGATAATAGCATTTCATCTGCACTAAAATCTGTCCAATCATTTTGTTTTTACTCAAATCTATTTGATTTCCTTTAATAGTACACACACACACATACATATATATATATATATACATATATATACATATACATACATATATATATATATATATATATATATATATATATATATATATATATATATATATATATATATATATATATATATATATATATATATATATATATATATATATATATATATATATAATGTTTGTAGTCTTGGGGACATTAAGCCGTAATAATAATAATACAATATAAGTAGAAGTAAGCACCAGTCGGTTGTGGTGTGCCGGAACCAACGTATGGGGTAGGCCTGTTATAAAAGAGGGCAAAAAGTTGATTTATATAAATAACCTTTATTACTCACATATTTACAAAGCTAAATCTTCAAATGCTAATCTTAATTCCTGTTCTGGATGTGATATATATCTGGTATATGCTGCTGACTTCCAGCGCCCTAAGCTCTTAATTATATGAGCAGGTACATTGTGGCTTGAAGCCGTGGTAGCGCCTCCAATTCTGAAGGAGTGGCCAGAAAAGCAGAAGGGTCAAGACCAAGTCTTATAAAAGTGTTCTAATATATAAAATGAATTTAATGGTTGTCAGAGGTTTACCATGTAACAGAGTAATGGCGTACTTGGGTTTAGACCGTCTAGTGTTGAACAATAGGAGCCCAGTAATTTAACCAGTGATTACCGTTGGGGTAGTAGCCTACTTCAGTAGGAGGGCTTAATTGGGTTGTCTTGGTGTGATCAATGGTAAGTACATAATGATCAGTATTGTTTGTAGGCTCTTAATTTTTTAGGTGTAAATGGTTGGGTGTGATGTTCATTGGGAAGTAAGAAGCAATATAAGGCTAGATAGGCTGCAATTTTAATTATCAGATGTGTGCTGGTTTCAAACAGATTCGTTTCTAGAATGTCTTAAAGTGTGTGAAATTTAGGCCTATCAATAGGTTGTCTAGTAGTGCAGTGGTAGTGTTTTTGCCCAAACTTTGTATGCCTTTCAGTATATTCTTGACGGGATAGGTAGACATGAAAGGATTTGTGCTAGGTTAGGCACTTAGGATGTGATGATGTATTCCTGTGAGGAAGAGTTTTATGGTGTATTGTGATAATTATAGGTTAAGGTGGCAAAAAGAGATAAATGCCACTATGGAGTCTAGGGAATGTGTGTCGCTGATCTGATAGAGATTGGTATAGAGAGTGAAAAACCCTATTGTAAGCCTTTGATGTATTGGTAGAGAGAGGAGAGCTGGCCAGGTATTTGCTGTGAGCCATGAGGCGATTTAGTCCAGGATTAAGTCTTGGTATGAGGGGGTGCTGGCCGGACTGATGTTGGATGTAGGGTGTGTTCTGATGAAATCCTGCAAATTAGAACTAGACAACACATCAATGGCTCTGTTAATGCAGCCAGGGATGTGTATTCATGTAAAATTAAATTGTAGTGTAGCCGCTAGCTATGTCAATCTTCTAATTAGTCTTGTGATATTGTGTGATGAGAATATGCCCTTATTTATGATGTCACTAGCCGCTTTGTTGTCGGAAAAACATTTTGCTTTTCCTTACCACAGGTACCCTCAGGCTTTGGATGCTGCCACAGTAGGGTAGATTTCAAATAGAGCTTATGTAGGTCACGGGTCTCAACTGGCAAAGAATCTCTGAACCAGGAGTCGCCAAGTTAACTGCAAACCCTGTATGGGCTGCAGCATTGGTCCATATGACTGGGGATGTTCAGAGATGGGGGGGAATAACTTCAGTTCAGTGATGGAAAGGGTGAGCCTGGAAGTAATATGCCAGATAGTCAATGTAAACTTTGGTTAGTCATTGTTTCAGGTACAGATGATTTAAGACACATAGTTTGTATGTGCCCTGTAACAAATTGAGCAAACGTGCAACAATCTGCACGAGCTAATTACGCAACTGCCCGAATTAAAATTGTTGCAGATTTGAGCTTCCCCAGGTACACTATTGGTCTACCAAATTTGTCTGTAGATCTCTGTTTTGCAGCAGAAGAACCAAAGGAAATACTTGTACATGCACTAGTGCCCTGGGTCCACCAACTTATGCATGTATAAATTAGCTCTTAGGAATAAACAGAAGAAGGAAACAGCACTAAAATAAGCCAATACTAAGCTAGGTAATGTAGGAGGCGCCAACCTAAACATAGGGTTCCCTCTAAGCCCTCTAGACAAAGGTAATACACAAGACAAAATAGAAAAAGGTATGACTAAAATAAACAAAGTCCAGAGAATAAGTAGTGCCAAAGCAAAGTGTCAAGTTGGGCCTGATGGGGCACCGATGGCTTTTGTGGAGGAATATTCTCTCTATGGGTCAAGTGAAGACGGCTTTCAGGGTCCGTATGTAAAGAGAGAAAAAGATAATAGTGCAAATGCGTCTGATACAAAGTGTTGAATTGCAGGAAGAAGAGATCTGTAGTAATCCTACTCACGTGTAGTAGAGCTAAACTAGCTCTAGTGTGGATGGCATACAGCGGTACAATCCCTGCTTGTAGGATACGTAGGGAGGGATTGGTCTTTAAATATGTATGTAGAAAAAAAAACACCTTTTTCCTGCTGGTGTACCAATCCCATAAGTGTAGTCACAGGAAAGTTCAACAATAAACTAATTTTAAAAAGATCAATACCTACCTACATATCCTACAAGCGTTATAAATAAGCTCTTCCCTATGGTGAGGTAAAGTGGAGCAAATTAGGTCATGGTACAGACCAAAAGTCAGGACAAATTCTGGTATGTTGAGTTTGTTGTTGAGTCTGGGGTCTCTGGCTTTCAAAATGACAGAAAGATCACCATAGCAGTATGCTTTATACTCTACTACATTCTGAGAGGCAATGAGCTAGGGAATTAGGTTCACATCCTTGCCTTCCAGGATGTCTTTGCATATGGTTGGGGGCACAAGGTGGGAGGGTGTGATGATGTGATCGGAAGTGCTAGGTGTTGGGTTAAAAGTGGGGTCATTAACGTGGGAGGGAGCTGGGGTAGGAATTTCTATGGATGGGTCGGCTGTCGACGGCTGAGGAGATTCCAAATTTTTTCAGTCTAGTACTGATAGTGTTAATTGAAGCAAGCATGGATGACATGAATCCTTGATTACAGAATAGTTTCTGATTCTAGAACAACTCCTGGCTGAGAAGTACAGAAGTATAAGTGGTGTATAGTCTATGCAATTCACCTTTGCGTGCTGTGGCTTGGAATAGGACCCCCATTTGTTGAAACTAAGCTGTGAGTCTAGAGATTGTCCAGAAATTTAGGGAATACGGGCTGGATGATTGCAGATTCTTGGTAGGGGTGTATGGACCGGCCATGGTGGAAGGCCTGGCTGGAATCTTGGGTATAGTAAGTACCTTGTCTTGCCCCGGGTCTTTAGACATACTTAGAACATAAACATGGGTAGAGATGAGGCCTTTAGTTACAAGCAATTGCCTGTGTCAACTGGCTCTAGCTAAGCCTGAGTCAAAAAAAATATCTGGACTACAAGGAAGATGAGGCTCTGTTAGTGCCAAGAGACGAGAGAGGCTCTATCTGTGAGAAGGGCTAAGTGGGTGGCTGGCCACTGAATGATGTGGCAGGAACGTTGGCCTCTCTGTGACTTGTAACAAGACATAATATATGTGGGCATGACTTGGTGGTGCCCTGACTAGTAACCGACAGCGGCTAATGTGAGGCTCTAACTATGCGGTGGGCCGAGGGGAGTATACCTCCAGAGAGGATAGGTGTTGGTCTTACGGGAATAGATTAATTACAGTAAGCTAGGGACAATGTAAGTAACTAAATAGCCAGTTGATTACCCTGGCCTATAACGGAAAAGGAGTATGATGTAAGATGGAGACCTACCAAGCTTAAGATAGAGATAAGATTATTTTATGACAAGGATGACTACTTGAGAACCTGAAAAAAGGACATGTGGGAGATTAAAGCGTAGTTGGGCCTGGTCTGTTTGGTATTGTATTTGTGAGTAAAACTCACCTGTCGAATGATGATAGTTTTTTGTAGCAGCGTAGTGGCTATCTGAGGATAAAATAATGGTTAACCTCTATGAACAAGTACATTAGGTACTGAGTGGAGGTGAATATGGAACTGAGTATACCTGTTAACTTGAGTGGAGCAAGGATCCAATGAATTCTCCTAAGTACAGGGAAGGGTAGAGTATGAACAGAAACTTAAGGGAACGTGTGGTGATTCTTATGCATGCATAAATGTACATGCATAGTCGAAGTACGATATACTGCAAGGATTTGCACCTGAGTGTGCTAGAAAAGGTTATACCGGGTTTCCGACTACTTAGGTTACTGTTAGCTAAGATGACCACGCCCACCTCACGGAGAGAAAAAATTCTTCTGCACCCAGGCGTCTGTGATCCTAGGATCGGGCCTGTACTGACACACACACCAAGTGAAGAAAAAACTCTCCAACAGGTAGGAGAACAAAGCAAATACAAAGGGTTCCTCACAAAGTGCAAACTATTCATATGCCTCAAGATTAGAAAAGACAGATTAGACTTTGACAAAAACATCTAAAAATGCAGGCCCAGTTCTGGAACAACATTCTTTGGATAGATGAAACTAAGATCCACCTGTATCAGAATGATGGGAAGAAAAAAGTATGGAGAAGGCTTGGAACGAGTCATGATCATAACACATGCCACATTATCAGTAAAAGATGGTGGAGGCAGTCTGACGGCATGGACATTCGTGGCTTGCAATGGCACTGGGTCACATTAGTGTTTTTAGTGTGACAAAAGACAAAAGCAGCCAGATGAATTCTAAAGTGTTTAGGGATATATTGTCTGCTCAGATTCAGCCAAATTCAGCGAAGTTCATTGAACGGCGCATCACTTTACAGATGGACAATGACCTAAAACATACTGCGAAAGCAACCCAGGATTTTTTTAAGGCAAATAAGTTTAATAGTCTGCAATAGCCTAGTCACTCACTTGATCTCAACTGGATCGAGCATGCATATCACTAGCTGTAGACAAAACTTAAGGCAGAAAAACCCACAAACAAACAACAACTGAAGACAGCTGCAGTAAAGTCCTAGCAAAGCATCACAAAGGAGGAAACACAGTGTTTGGTGATGTCCATTCATTCTAGACTTCAAGCAGCCATTGCCTGCAAAGGTTTCTCCACAAAATATTAAAAAAATAAAATTTTATTTATGATTGTGTTAATTTGCCCAATTACATTTGAGCCCCTGAAACAGTCCCAGTTCCTGGGAACTTTGTATAATAATACAAACATTTCATACAAATTATATATAATAACTCAAAAAACAAGGAATGCACACCAACTGATACAATAGTATCTATCTATACATCTATATATATATTTATTGCAATACAAGTGTAAAAAATACATACAATATACAATAGGGACCACATAGGCTAAACAACTAAACAGGTATATTTACCAAATTCCACAAGCCTATCTGGGCAGAAACACGAGTCAAAAACAATCCCCCAACGTTTCGGCACCTCGTGGTAGCCTTTATCAAGGGTATATCATAACATTATCCAGGACCCCCTTATATACCCCCATATAATAATAATGGCCATCAGCAATACCACAGAGGGCCGGGACCGGAAGTGACATCATCACTTCAAGTCACAGCCCTGTGTACACAATTTCAACATGTATACCATATATTTACAGTGCTAATCATAAATACATTCTCCCATATTTATACAGACTTACTTTTACCATGTAGTATATACATCACTAGATGTCCTTATTAACATAAATTCCGCGTGCATGCGCACTTGTAAATACCAACGATCGCCATATTGCCTATTGGCAAATGCTATAACCTCTCCCCAAACTAATAATTATTACATTCCACTCTTAACCCAGTAAAAAAAACAGGCTAAAAACAACTCGTATGCAAAAACGAGGTAATAATCACCTTCCTGCGGACGGCTAATTATCTTCCATAGCTCCTCCCCTACGGAAGCCTCTATGATGCAACAATAGAAGATCGTGGCTAAAAAAGTCTGCGCCGCCCGCGCATGCGCATAGCACTAGGATATATGTAAATTACTCCCCTACGGAAGCCTCTATAATCCAAACATAACGAAAAATCGCGGCAAAAAAGCCACGCCGCTCGCGCATGCGCCCAATATCCAAGCTGTAAGTCTCACAAGGAGAACAGAACACAACCCCACTCTTAAAGAGATACACACCAAAATATACATGGCACCCATAATGTAAGCAAATATGAGTACACAAGAGGTCCTATAGTATAGCAAGACAATATTAATAATGAATAGTGAAAGAAACCACCACCATAAAAACAACACACCAGAAAGTGTAAAACACTATACTAAACAGGTGTTTATTTCATTCGTTCATGTATCCAAGAACTTATTGGGCAATCAAGATGCTCTCAAGGATGAATACAATAAAGTAGAATTCATATATCATCCAAAAGCAGACAAATATATATATACTCAAACCCCCTATATCCAATAATAATCTCTGCACTTACATGACTAACTACTAGTCTAATCAATTATACAGCTTCTAACATCACTTACAATGAATATACAACACTCCCCCTTAAATGACAAAAAATATTCATTAACCAACAAATACAGGTCACTACCAATCTTAGTATATAAAAAAATTCATTAAATCGAATTAGCGCCGTCCAGTCACAAGTCCAGTAGGCAAGCCCAAATCACGGGCAACTCCATCCACGTCATTGAATATACTTGGAACGACCCAATGCCACCAATAATGACTTGCACTCCATTCATGATCCAATATATGTTGTCCATCCAGCCATATTAAGTATGCAAGTGGATAACACTAAGCGATCTAAATCCTCCGTAGGGGAGGAGCTATGGAAGATAATTAGCCGTCCGCGGGAAGGTGATTATTACCTCGTTTTTGCGTACGAGTTGTTTTTAGCCTGTTTTTTTTACTGGGTTAACAGTGGAATGTAATAATTATTAGTTTGGGGAGAGGTTATAGCATTTGCCAATAGGCAATATGGCGATCGTTGGTATTTACAACACGCGGCATTTATGTTAATAAGGACATCTAGTGATGTATATACTACATGGTAAAAGTAAGTCTGTATAAATATGGGAGAATGCATTTATGATTAGCACTGTAAATATATGGTATACATGTTAAAATTGTGTACACAGGGCTGTGACTTGAAGTGATGATGTCACTTCCGGTCCCGGCCCTCTGTGGTATTGCTGATGGCCATCAGCTGTAAGTTATTTGTATATGTGGGTATATAAGAGGGTCCTGGATAATGTTATGATATACCCTTGATAAAGGCTACCACAAGGTGCTGAAATGTTGGGGGATTGTTTTTGACTCGTGTTTCTGCCCAGATAGGCTTGTGGAATTTGGTAAATATACCTGTTTAGTTGTTTAACCTATGTGGTCACTATTGTATATTGTATGTATTTTTTACACTTGTATTGCAATAAATATATATGTATAGATAGATACTATTGTATCAGTTGGTGTGCATTCCTTGTTTTTTGAGTTATTATTATATTGGTATTTGAGGGAGTACTGCTTTGGAGTAGCACTGAAGTAGTGGTTATAATAAGTGTCTCTCCACACAGTATATTTTGAATAGAAATTATATATAAACACACCCTATGAAGGATTTTCCAGCACCCGTGCGGTTGTTTCCACTCCCTGCCATTCTGTTCACTTGGATTATTTTGTTTCTTTTTTGTCATTTGGTAGAATATTCATTTTACCGAACAGAGACCACCCTGGGTACCAGTTAGAACATGGAACACTATGTAACTGTACGAAAACCGCAGAGTAATTGAATGCTCCTAGGTGGCCGCCATTTTGTGCATATGAACGCACATGTTGAGAACAATGGATGGCAGCCATCTTGTCTCCCGAACGCGGCCAGCGGGGCCTGGTCGTCGAGTGCCTGGACCTGTTTTGGGCAGACGAACAAGGGGAGCATTCTGCACAAATCATCTTTATTCCATCTATGGTGGTTTTCGTATAAATCCATCCGAACGGAGACCAGCTCTTTCTACCAATTCTATGGAACTCTTGGTCGGATACAACCTCATGGCGAGCCAGTCAAACTTCCACGCGGTGCCGTTTTTGTGTGGTTTTTATATGTATACAGTATATTTCTGTAAAATGTGAAATTGTTAACTTTTTCTGGCCAGCAGATAATTGAGTTTAGTATGTTTCCAAAACTCAATTATCTCGCTGGCTCAGAGGAGGAGTTTGATGCTGTATAAATTGAATGCCCTTGCTTCCATTAAACCAGTCTTGTTCCAGCATTAAGCTTTGGCTCCTGTGTGGATTATTATGCGATACCAGCGATATTTTACCCTATGGATTATTGGCGATATTGTTTTATGGGAATAAGGGAATGCTTTACAGTGATACATATTAAGACCGTCACACACCCCTACATACTGACACACACACACACTGAGAGACACACTGACACACACATACATTCACATACACTGACAGAAATACTGACACACACAAACACAGAAAGACATACTGACACACACACACAGGTACATAGACTGACAGACATACTGACACACACACACACAGACATACTGACACACACACAGTTACACAGGCAGACATAGTGATACACACATAGATACACAGACATATTGACATACACACAGACATACATACTGACACAGGGCCAATCCTGGGTGGGTTCACGGGATGCATTGCGATCATGCACCAGGAAGTGGGGGGTGCCGCATGGAGCAGGCCGATGCCTGTCACAGGGAGCCCAGCAGGTGGCCAGTTGGCCACCTAAGGGCACCCCCTGGAATGGCCGTTATGTAGCAAGGCAGGGTAGGCACCTGTTATCCCAGAGGACAGGTGCCTACTCTGCAACAGTATACCGGCTGGCTGAGGAAGGAGGGAGGCAGCGGCGAGGGATCACTGCCTGTGCTGATGATCTTCCTACTCCCTCACGCGCCCTCTGTGTTGATGCCGGGAGCCGACATATGATGTAATTCTGGCCTGGCATCACTAAACAGTGCAAGGGAGGAGAGAGGAGCAGGAAGATCATGAAAGTCACTGAACCCCGGGGGGAGGACCAAGAAGACTCCTAAAGGTAGGGTCAACAAAAAACACAATTCATTTGTGAGTGTTTGTGCAAGACTGTGTAAGTGTGTATGTGTCTATCAGTAAGTGTGTGTGAGTGCATGTGTGTGTGTCTGTGAGTAAGTGTGTGTCTGTCAGTGAGAGTGTGTGTATGTCTGTCAGTAAGTGTGTGTCTGGCAGTGAGTGTGTGTGTATGTCTGTCAGTGAGTGTGTGTATGTCTGTCAGTAAGTGTGTTGTTTTTGTCAGTAAATGTATCTGTCAGTGAGTGTGTCTGTCAGTGTGTGTGTCTGTCAGTAAATGTGTGTGTATGTGTCTGTCAGTGTTTGTTTGTGTGTGTGTGTGTGTTTCAGCGAGTGTGTCTGTCAGTAAGTGTGTGTCTGTCAGTGAATGTGTGTGTCTGTCAGTATGTGTGTCTGTCAGTGAGAGTGTGTGTGTGTATGTCTGTCAGTAAGTGTGTGTCTGTCAGTGAGTGTGTGTATGTCTGTCAGTGAGTGTGTGTGTATGTCTGTCAGTAAGTGTGTTGTTTTTTGTCAGTAAATGTATCTGTCAGTGAGTGTGTCTGTCAGTGTGTGTGTATGTTAGTAAGTGTGTGTGTGTATGTGTCTGTCAGTGTTTGTTTGTGTGTGTGTGTGTCAGCGAGTGTGTCTGTCAGTAAGTGTGTCTTTCAGTGAGTGTGTGTGTTTGTCAGTGAATGTGTGTGTCTGTCAGTGTGTGTGTCTGTCTGTCAGTGTGCCTGTCAGTGTGTGTCTGTCAGTAAGTGTGTGTGAGTGTATGTCAGTGTTTGTGTGTCTGCCAGTGAGTGTGTCTGTCAGGGTTTGTTTGTATGTGTCTGTCAGGGTTTATGTGTTTGTGTCATTGAGAGTGAGTGCCAGTGTATCTGTCAGCAGGACCAGCCTTTAGGGTATGCAAGCTGTGCGGTTACCCAGGGCACCCAACACAGCTTGCATGTTGGGAACACCAGCATATTAAATTTAAACGATTCCCTGGTGGTTCATTGGTGCGCATGAGTAGTAGGTGCGGTCAGATCATACCCTCTCCCTCGTGGTTCCGGCGCTCAGTTAGTGAGTCAGAGAACAGGCTCAGAGATTCTCAGCCTGCGCTCTGACAACATTGAAAGCCGAGCCTTGAAGGAGTGAGTATTATGATCTGAAACAACAGGACGTGCTCTTCCTGCTATTCACCACCGGACTGCCAGGGAACGGATATATGATACCACCGGACCAACAGGGTAATTAAAGGGGGTATTTGTGACCAAGCACTAGAATAAGGGGGGAGCTGTAGGGAAGAGTGTCATAGCTTGGAACACGGTAGGGCTCAGGAGAGTGAGAGGCTTCTTTAGAATGAAGCCTTGAAAACCTCCCAACCCTAGCAACTCCCCCAGGATGTAGCTGGCAAAGGAGCTGCTGAGTGTAGGTGGTGTTACACCAGCAATACTCTGCTGAGTAACTACCTACCTACCCTCCCTGTCACATAACACACCTGAACACCAATTCAATTAACTATGTGACTGAGTGTGTTGTGTGTCTATGTATGGGACTTTGTGTGTCTTTTAATGTATGTGCCTCTGTGTTTTTTTTATGAATGTTTGTAATTGTGTTAATGCGTGTATGTCTGTGACTGTGTTTTGGTGTGTCTCTGTCCATGATGATGTGTGTGTCTGTGATGATTGTGATGGTGTGTGTTAATTCATGTCTGACAAGGTTATTCACTAAAACAATTGTCAGGAATTCAATGCTTTCAGTTTGACTAATTTGAAATCTACTATGAATTCCTGACAATTCTCATTATTGTAAATAACCCGGTATGTATGTACATGACTGTGTATGTTGTTATGTGCGTCTGTATGTGACAGTGTGTATCTGTGTATATATGTGAGTGTGCACACGTCTATGTATGTATGAGATATGATCTGTGGATTTATATATTTGATTTGTGTATGGGGTGCATACATTACTGTACATATAAAACAAACTAAAATAAGGAAAACTATTTTACATAGAAGCTTTGCATTAAAAAAATAATATATAAAAATGAGTTTATAGAGATAATTGTTTAAGAGGTTCACCAAGTCTAGAGCCACTGCTGCACAGAGGGGAAGCAGAAAGGAATACCGGCCTCCCACTAGACAATAGGGACCCTGGCCTCCTTTCCTTCTCCCAGTGTTCATGACAGCCAGAACTGTGTGTATGTGACACTGAGCGTGCGTGTGTGTGTGTGTGTGTCTGATACAGTGTCCATATGACAGTGTGAATGTGTGTGTGTATTGTATTGTGTGTGACTATCTAGGTATGCATGGGGCAGTGTGTGTGTAATTGTGTGATTATGTATGTTGTGATTTAAAACTGGACTGCCTTGTTTTGTGTACCACTATGTGTCTGTAAGCATTTGTGTCTGTCAGTGAGTGTTTCAAATCAGGGAGATTGTGTATCTGTCATTAAGAGTGTGTGTCAATGTTTCTGCCTGAGTATGTTTCTGTCAGTGTGTGACAAATCAGTGAGTGTGTGTGTCTCTCAGTGAAGGGAGATGGAGAAGGGAGATGGAGAGATGGAGTCGTTTCAAAGGGGAGGGGTTAGAAATATGACCACGCCTACCTCGGGGAGAGAGAAAAAATTCTGCACCCAGGCGACCCTAGGATCGGGGCCTGTACTGACACACACAGAGACAGATAACTCCCTCTAGCTTCCTACCCTTTTCTGGAGGGTGGATTCCCTGTGGTCTAGTGTGGTGTCTGAGGCTGATGGGAGTGAGGAGGTTTGCTACACCACAAGCAACTAGTTGCTGATTTTGCTATATGTTCCTAGCTTGGGAGAAGCCCGTGAGCCTCTAAAATCAGCTTGAATAGTCGATCCCCACAGGAGCCTCTCTTGTATCGACTGGTCAGCATGGCCGTCCGGTCCTGCCCCCCCAGTTCCTGTGTTTTCATGCATAGTTGAGCCATTTGGTCTTTTTTCCAAATTGGAGCTATGACTTTCTTTTCCCCCATAAAGACCACTTTGGCCATAGTTCACCAGGAGATGGGTATACAAGGGTTCCAAGGGAAGTCTTTATGATGTGTTACTGACCTACATATTAAACTACATATTATTGGCACTTGTTTAGTATAATTGTTTAATCATTATTTATTTATTTATTTATTTATTTATAAAACTTTTTACCATGGAAGATACATTGAGATTTCTCTTGTTTTCAAGTATGTCCTGCTTCTGACTATGTCCTCGGATATTGTTTGATAAACTTTTAAAATGATTTAATATCTTTACATATATTGAGATATTTTTTGTGTACAATATATTTGTAGATATTTTAATTTTTTTTTTTTAATTGTTAAACAAAATATGAAATCGAGGCATGTATACCTGCAAAATCGCTGTCTTTGCGCAAGTGCAATTTATGCTGTTTTGAGGGCAAAGGTGTTTATGCCAAACTTCAAAAGAGGCTCTTTAAGCAGTTTAAGCAGTAATATTGCAGTAAGCATGTTTTTCTCCTAGTGCAGGACCCCCAGATATTGGGGTACATTTATACAGTTGTGGGCTTACAAATGGTATTTGTGTGACCAAGTCCCCATATTTTCTGCTAGGATATGCGATTTTAAGTATCCATGTGAGGTATGTAATTGTATTTTTGAGTATGCAAAGTTATTTAAAGGAACACTTCAATGGGAAAAAAAAGGTATTTTTTGAAAACAATTTAGTAGATATAACCCCAATAAAAGCATGCATGCGTTTAATTGTGCATTATATCTCTTGTATGCACTCTTTGTAAGCTCTCCCTTTCTTCCCCTGCAGGGCCAGGGAAGACCATTAGGCGAACTAGGCAAACCCTCTAGGGCGCAACAGCCGGGGGGGGGGCAGTCTACTGGCGACCCTCAGGAAGGGAGAGGACTGACTGGACAGTGCTCCCCTCCTGCCCAGACTCGTCTTTACCGCAGTGCAACTGCCCTCTGCCCCTAATTTACAGGGGCTCACAGCAAGCATCCCCTTGTGCCCCTTGCAGAGACTGGCACAAAGAGGTTCTGCGGCAGCTGGCCGTACTACAGTCCTTACAGAAACCAGCTGTTCCCCATGCAGCCACAGGTGGCGCAGTGATGGGAGGAGGTGATTACTCTTCACTTCCTCCCAGCCTACAGAGCAGCGCATGGGAGAGAGAGAGAGAGAGAGAGAGAGAGAGAGGAGATGTAGGCGCAGAGAGAAGGCATGGTTTAATTTTGCAACATATCCAGTAAGTAAGTCTTGATAAATTCTGGGCGATTAGCTCTATTTCCAAAAGCTTCTGCTTGCTGGATTTTTTGTTTATAAACACTTTATTGTGGTTTACTCTGTTTGATGTCTGTTTTAATATCGAGGAATGTCTAAGAAGTAACATCTGTACCCATATTCTTTCACTTTATTTTCCCATTCCTTTCTTTCTGTTCCTACTCTACTATATCCCCCATCTCTCAGATTCATTCTGCTTCTTCCATTTTTTACACACTCCTCTCCTAATCTAACCTTTCTTCCATCCAATATATCAAACCCCTTCTCTTCCACCAAATAACTATTTTTACCCTGACTATATTAGTATAAAATGTCCACGTTAGTCTTATCTGCCCTTTTTCCTCCTAGTTTGTAGAAAAAAACTGGCACAGCAGGCATTGATGTAATGTGTTCATAAAATGAAAAATCTCAGTGGTTTGCTATTTACAGATTTTTTTTTTCAGTGCAGCTCCCATATCCCTCGGTTTGTTGTGGATGGCTGAGAGTGGCAAGAGTTGCATACCTAAATCAGCAGGATATGATTATATCCTCCTGACTGCTACTGCCATGAAATGTCAGTGAAAGGGGTTCATGTATTGGGAATCTATCTTTCATTTGTGTAACTACTTCTTTCACCTCTTTAATTTATTTAAGGGCCAATTCCAATAGCATTCTGCACTTTTTTGTAAAATTAAAAAAAAAGAGGACACACTCTTCACACATAAAGCACTTGAGCAAGCTGCAGTGCTTTAGCTGTGTGGAATGTCCAAATAATCTGAATTAATGCTCCTTTGTAAGAAATATGATATCTGTATTAACAGTTCAAGACAATTTGCTGAAATGTCTGACTCCAATAACCCTTTGTGGTGTGCACAGTGCTGTGGAATAAAAATAGCAATTGCTTGATTGAATTGCATGATGACTGTTAACCATTAAGTGCTTCTGCCATCATTGGCAAAGATAAGCTGTCTGCTGCAACACTGAAAGAAACATGCAATTTTTTACTCTAAACAAAAACTGGGCTAGTGTCTTCAGGACATCTCATTAAAGTGACACCATAGGCTCCTAGATATTGAAGTGGTCTGGCTGCAGTGTCCCTGTTCCCCTTAGTCCTGCAATATTAAACATTGCAATTATAGAGAAACTCCCTCTAGTGGCTGTCTACCATAAAGGCCTGAGTCTTTTGGGTGTGTCATGGATGTTGGGGGGGGGGGCTCCTTGTGTCATGGATGTTGTGGGGGGGTAGGCACTTAAGAGACCAGGCAAACCCTACACATCACATGTTGGAGATGTGTTGTTACCTGATAATATGAGCTCTTAAACCAAGTACAAATTATGTAATAGAAAAAAAAAGGTAATATGAAATTGAACCTTTATTCAATACAAAAACTGAAATATGACAAAATTAAATAAACCAAAATACAAAAAAAAAAAATGATTAAATGAGTAGTGATGATAAGTTGCTCAGTAAATACTATTGATATGTGAAGGTGTTAGATATACAAATAGAGGTAAAAATGACGTAATAATATAGAGTAGAAAATAACCGCTAAATATGGTGATACTATTTGCAACATTGAGAGTTGCGTGAGGTTCCAACAATAGAACTAAATGTCTGCACAAGCCCTAGAGGCGAGCATATAAAGAGTTAGAAAGTAAAAGATACACGGTTGCTAAAATCACACAGCTGGAAATAGGCACGTAGAGTGAAAAGGGGGAATATTGCCTACCTGGTCACTCGCAGTAATCTACTGGAAATATAATGGGAATAGTACGCTAACAGCAATCCCCAATAGGCTATACTGAAATACAGTCAAATGTCTCAAACGTTATCATTTATCAAATTATGTTTAAAGACATTGGGTTATCCCAATAAAGTCCTCAAAAAAGCCTTTCAGCAAGCCAGTCAGACTGACAGAATAGCGAATCTTAGATCTACCAGGACAAAAATAATCCCTCTAAACCAAGATATATGGGCACTTATGATAAGGATTGGACCACTATGTGTAATATTCTGTCAAGTAAATTGGCCCATACTCTTACATAATCCGATACTTCAACAAACGTTGCCGGCTCGTCCAGCTCTTACAGATCTTAGCTCTCAAAACGTATATGATTTACTCATGCCCCGTCACTTGGAATCGATTCCATCTAAATCAAACTGGCTTACAAACTAAAGGTACCTACAGATGTGGTCACTGCAAAGCCTGTCAATATATTACACCATCAAAATTTGCAAAATCAACCCAGTCCAATATCATTGTAGACACCAACGTACTAATAAATTGCAGTAGTACTTGCATCATTACATGCAGCTGTGGTGTACAATATATTGGAAAGACGTTACAGATGATCAATGTACATACCAGATTAATACTGGTAATGATTTTTTGTGTATACATTTTTCGTTCATATTATAGTACTGTAATACTAATTTGGGCATGTTTCTTTGATTAGTATTGATCATGTCTGTACTTATCATTACCCTTTAATTACTTTTATTTTATGGCCGTGTATCATCCACATGATTAGTTAACTAGATTAGAATTATTAAGGTAATTGCTCATCTTCAGTGGTCTTATGAAATAATATGACATTCCCATACATATCTCTTTAATAATAATTATTGTCTGTTCTTCTGGCTGATCTGATCATCTCATTATCCCCTTTAATTAGTGTTCTTTATATTTTTATACTCTCTACATTTGGCCCAGTCTCAGGAGTATACACCTTCATAATGCACTTTCTTTAGCTGTGTATCAACACTTTTACTTACATCCGGCAATTGTATTATCTTTACAGGTTTATATATCATATATTTTTTTTTTAGATTTTTTTCAAATATAATTACCTTATTTCATTAAGCACATATTTATAGTTTGGGCTGTTATTGACCCCCTTCTACTCCCATTTCTTTTTTCCCCTTTTTTCTGGGAACCCTCCCCTCCCTTAGAAAATCCTATTTACTCAGCCTGCCGTGTTAATTCATTTATTCATCTCATGCCTTTACCATTAGCCAACACACACATCAATGATAACATTGAGCGAGCTATTTAAATCCTTGCCCACAGGGATTCAGTTCCCCTTTGAAGAGCTGCTTACCGACGAAAAGCGTGTCTGGGCTCACATTGATACCTTGCTCTGCTCAAACCTACTCTCTTATTTGGACCACCTTTCCAAATATACCTTTCTAGATTTATGTACATTGACTTAATGATCCGCATAGTATTTTTGCGTCCAGAAGGTCTGGGTATCGTGTCTTAATATTCGTTCTGGTTGCTGGCTTTCTACAATGAGTGGGTGCGTTGGTGCCTGGTCAGACATAGATGTATTCTATATTCCTATTGCCAAATTTGCAGCCTGGACAGTATTCAGATTAGATAGGCAGCTAGTTTAGAGGTGATTTAGTTATATTGTTGCAACCTCACACAACTCTCACAAATAGCATCAATTGACCACTGTATTTAGCTGTTATTTTATACTCTATATATTATCACATCATTTACCTCTGTTTGTATATCTAACACCTTTACATCTCAATAGTATTTACTGGGTGACTTATCATCACTACTCCTTTATCAATTTTATTTTGTATTTTGGTTTATTAGGTTTTGTCTTATTTTAGTTTTTGTATTGAATAAAAGTTATGTTTTATAGTACCTTAACCCTCCAGCAAGGACAGTTTTCGCTCTCCTTTTTTTCTATTTCATTTACTACAAGGGTTAACTCCTTTGCCTGTCCTGGATCTTCTTCTTATTAATATCCTTCAAACTTTTCCAAATTATGATTTCACTGTGTCATGCTCTTCTGATTTAGAGTTGGGTCTTAGAGATCACACTGAACTTGTCATTTAAGTGAAGAGTATTTGTGGGTCCATTTGACAGCACATCATTTAACACCTCTAAGTAAAGCCATTAAATCACACTCAGAAGAAAAAAGGAAAATACTGGTGAGCATGTGTAAACTACACTATATATATCATCCTCTTTCTCCCATATTTCTCCCATATTTTTGACCCCTCCTCACCATCATACCTTACATCATTTCCTTGCTTTATTGTGCTAGGTACATTATTTCCAAATGTGAGCATCACGGCATAAATAAAATACGGTAAACGTGTAATGCATTGTGGGATTCTGAGCAAGGTACTATAAATGTGCAGAAGTGTACACATTTTTCCAAGACATGAATAGTATACATCTCTATGCCAACTAGACTTGTACAGCAGAAAAATTTGGTTCAACCAAATAAATTTGTGGGGAAGAAATACTTTGTATAGGTGGTACGATATTTGTCCATGTGGTGGTTCAACTTGTCAGAATATTGTCCATGCAAAATATTCATTAAAACAATTCAGACAAACCAGAACGGACATGAAAATGGGTAAATGAGTGTAATGCAGAATTTAGATATTATGTATATATTTTCCAGTACACTGCTAAACACATTTTTGTGCCTTTTGGCTCCCAAAATAGAAAAAGTAACCAACAGAGGGAAAAGGAGGAGGAACAATAAATAAATGTATATTTATACTGAAAGGGTTAAATTCTGTTAAGATGAATGATAAGCTAACAAACTTTTACATTGCGAGAATGTCACGTGCTTGGTTTGCAACCCGCTTTTAGGAAGACCTCACCTATTAATGCCCCCTAGAGAAGTTTGATACCTACGAATGGCTGCATGCCTTTACATTGCAGTTTGCATGTTGTCATTTAGTAGCTGTCCATATTTTATTGGTAATTAATGAAACTCCCTGTAGACTGCACCTTATTGCGTGTTGCATTATAAACTATGTTCTGTTTAATAGACATTTGACATTCTCTGAATTGACTTATTTGTATGGTCTATGTCACTGAGTGTCCCCAAGTACTTGGGGCGTGGAACCATCTGGATAGAACTCTAAGGCCATGACAGGAGAATTCTGGTAATCACCAAGGACAGATGTTCCAACAGACATTTATATATTAGAAAGCAAGGAGATATTCAGTACTTTAAAACTACTGATATAGTCCAATAGACATGTTGATCACCAGAACTGGGGTCTCTCGTCCCGTAAAGAAGAAAATATAACACAAGAGGGGGGGCAGCACCGCAGATGTCAATAGAGCATAAAATAAAAAAAGAAAGCTAATAGTGAAGTATGTCATAGTTCCACAGTTTGGAACTGTAAAATACTTCACTATTAGCTTTCTTTTTTAATTCTGTGCCCTAAGGACATTCTAGTCGCTGCCCCACCTCTTGTGTTATATTCGTATATTATGCATTTATAAAATATAGAATACTGAAATATAGATTTTTTTTTTTTCTGCTCCTCTTTGTTTTCCCTCTATTGGTTACGTCACACTTGATCTGTGAATACAATCAACATTTAGTGGCTATACACTAACTACCAATCTTCTTTTTCCCCTTCAATTACCTGTTAATTTTGGCAGCACGGAAGAACTCCGAATCACAAAAGAAACAAACGTGCTCATGCTTTGTCTGTTCGTAATATGTTCATATGACTCTTCATAGTTACTAAATTCAGACTGTGGCAGACCGCCTGGTACCTCGTCTGGGTACCTCCGCCAAACATGCTTCCTAGTTATCACCGAGTACCATAAGCACTTTGCCGGGACACCATAAGCACTTCCAACCCCCAGCAGCCACAGCTTGGCTGATCTCTCCCCGCCTCTTCCCACTCCGGGCCCAAGCCATGGATCCAGCTCCCAGTGGTTAGAGCTCTCCTCCACAGAGGAGCAAGTAAAAGAGCAAGTATAGCTTTCCCCCCCACACATTAGCAGATAATTAATGCTGGGAATAGACTGTCTTGATTTAGGGCCACACACAGCCTCGTTATGCAAAGTTTCCTGCAAGGGGTTTCCATCACATACATACAGGGTCATTTCTCCCAAGATCCTCTGTGCATGAGAGATAATTGCGTGAGGAAACCTCTTTAACAATAAGCAGGCAATGAGTGGGCACATGTGGGCATGGTACCTGCCAATCACTGTAGAATATTGCATATTCTATTCATATTAGATATGGGTGTCTGTATTGAGCACAAGTAAAAGATGGTATCAATAAGTCACAAGCTTTCTTTATCTGAGAATTCTGGAATGTAGCTCTGAACCAATAGGAATCATATGACTGTAAGCTTGTTTGATGCGTATTTATGTTTTTGTCTGACACACATATGTATATTAACATCACGACAAGAAGAAAGAAGAGAAATATATATTATAAGAAGGATTTTTTCTACAATCACCCAAAATTTGTATGAATCCCAGATTGCGCAAAGCTAAATGAACAAGTCTAATTCCAACTGCATTGGAGAGGAAGACAAAAAAAATGGAAAAATGTATTCAACAGCTGCAAAACTTTGTCTGAATTAGGAAATATGGAAAAAGAGAAGAGCTGGAGAATTTTTTTTTCTCTAATTTGCCAATTATGGTGTAGATTTTAGAATCAACAACATCACTGGTACATCACTGTTGTTTATTCTAAAATTTACACCTAAATTGGCAAATTAGAGAAAAAAATGTTGTGTCTTAAAGGGACACTCCTGCCATCCAGACCACTTCAGCTAATTCAAGTGGTCTGGGTGCTGTGCCCCTATTGCACTTAGTGCTACAATGTAAAACATTGCAGTTCCAGAGAAGTCTGCCCTTTGGTCGGTTATCTGACGCTGGACGTCCTCATGGCCATTGCGACGCATGCGCATTAGGTCTACCCCGCCAATGTCAGCGTGGGCTGAGCCTGACAAAGCACCGAGAGACTGGATTCAGGTAAGTAGCTGAAGGGTTTTAACCCCTTCAGCGACAGGGGGTGGGGGGCACTGCAGGTTCCTGCAGTGCCAGGAAATAGGTTTGTTTTCCTGGCACTGGAGAGTCCCTTCAACTTGTAAATGATCTCACATTTTCAGAACAAATTAATTAATTGGGAACTAGAACAAGGGTCGGACATTCCATTCATTCAATTCAGCTAACAGGTCAAGCTCACTGATAATCTATGTTTGACAGACCATCATTATCTGGCGTGTCGAGACTTGTCTTGTGCTAAACAATAACCATTTAACTTTTATACATGAATTAAAATGTACAATGGCTAAAGCTGAGCTCTCCTTTTGATCAGATTAATGTGCACATTGGATATATTTTTGGGCCACTACAGCATACTGGTTTATTGAAAAAGTCTTACTTTCTCCTAGTGTCCATGTCAAACTCTTAATACCATCAAAGCGAGGGGATTTTACTCTCCCACTCTATGTCCAGTGATAAAATTACCAGTTATCTAGTATCTACCCAGGTGTTTATAGGACCATTAATGTCACCCAGACCAGTTCATCTCAATGATGTAGTCTGGATATACAGTGGTTATGTTATTTTTGTACAAACAGCCACAAGATGCACTTCCTCTACAACGAACCAGTAAAACTCGGTCACATGAGGTTGCACTGTATAGGAAAGCATTGAATTCAGTCAGTGTTTTCTTAGGAGAAGCATTGAATGCAGGCACAACACTCGCCACGCAGTACATTTGCTTTCAATGCTTTTCTATGAGGAACATTGGATTGTGGCAGAGTGGCTAGCACAGCCAAGTGAGTATGGGTGTTAGAGTAAAGGTTTGTATTTCTAATGCTATAGTGTTCTTTTAAGACTATGCCACTTATTATAGCAGAGAGAAGATACATTTGTGGAGCAAATATGGAAGGTCATTCTAACCTACTGATTACTAATATTAGAATATATTTTTTGAAGCAGCAAAGAAAGAACAACCAGGTTAATAGGTTATTATGCATGCAATATGAAAAAAAACATGAAATACTACCAAAGGAAAATTACACATGCAACATTTATAAAATGAACATGCAACATCTACCAACACATTAAAAGTAAAAACACACATAGATAGATTAGTACCTCTTTGTCATCCAGCTCCTGTAAATAGTAAGAATCTAGCATGATTTAAATAGGGGAGCTTCCTTGGGCCAAGCAGTAATGAGAAACAAAAACATGTAGGTTAACGGTTTATTTTTAAAATACTTACATGGCGTATGTGATTGTAATCATAGGACAGAGAACAGTAAACAGCACAAACAAACAAAGAGCTTGAGATATGTATTAGGGAAAGGTCTGACAAAATGTAACCATTGTGATCAAAAATCAACGTACCTGCATTGATTAATATATAACTGCTAGCGTGTTTGCCTTTTAAAGAGACAATGTTTAGATTACCCCGGCACTGTTCCCCAGTAATGGGGCAAACCATTTTACAATGGTTTGTTCTCGTATCTGGTTCTGCCGGGTTTGGGTCACCTCTGATACAGGGTTCATGACATCCAGCCTCTACAGAGGTGAAATTGCTGAATGCCAATTCTGACACTTATCCATTGGCTGCTCCCAGCCAATGAATGAGGTTCTGTGCATCACATTTTTTTTACAGAATTAACAATAGCCAACTCTAGTTCTGGAATAGCTGTTGAACCCCAATGACGCTGCCAGAAGTAGAGATACATCTCTGGCAGCATAGTGGTTAAACTCGGTATGTGTAGAGTATCAAAGCAAAACACTGCACAGATAGACTCCAGACACCATATCCATATGAAATCTCTAAAGTAATCAAGGGGACTGGAGTAACCTTTAATGATTATTGAGTATATAAATGATGTAGCACTGGTACATTCAGGGAGCACTTGATGGCTCCCACCATTTACTTACAGCTAGCTGCATACCCTTACAGTTTTAAAGAAAGGGTTCCCCCTAGACACTAAGCAAGGGGCAACATTGGTATATTCTCCCCACTCCCACAAGCATATCCATCCAAGTATCCAGAGAAGGGAGTGTACCACCTCTAAGATACATAAGTGCTAAAGATTTTGGCTAATCATCTCTAGGCTCTATATCATGTGAGTATACTGTTTTTAAAATTCACATGCAACTGAAATATTGATCACACAGTGTTGCACTTTGCTCTTTTTTATTTCCCAACATATTCTGAGAATATTGAGTTAAAGTGCTCCCTTTCCACACATAAGATGATTGTGTTTATTGTATTTTACACATACACACATTGTTTAGTGCTCCACTTTCATGATGATGTTTAACTGTATCACCTTGTCACTCACTATATATTGGTTACAGCCTTACATATGCCCTTTAACACTGGACATCAACAACCCCTGAACTTTTCCGACAAAGTAACCATCTTACAAACCTACAGACAGAACTGTGACCTCAAATATCAAAACCATCCTATTCTCCTCTTTTAGGACTACACTGCAGTCACAGCTAGGAGATGGGAGTTTTCCCATATGCAAAATTTTGGTTGATAAACATATCAATCTTCCATTGCTCCATGGTCCAGTCCTGTTGCTCATTTCCCCATTGAAGATGCTTTGGATGGTGGACAGGGGTCCTCATGGGCACACTGGTCAGTCTGTGGCTAAACAGCAAACACTATGTATTCTGAAAAGTCTCTATCATACGTTTTTCAGCAATTTGCGCTACAGTAGCTCTTTTGTAATATCAGACCAGACTGGCAATGTCGGGATCCCGCGGGCGGCTGCGAGGGGAGGCTGCACTCCGCTCTCGGTACTCACCCTCCAGCCGTCCGCGGTCCCCTCCTCCTCGTGGGCTCGGCGAGCGGCATCCTTCCAGCCTCGGATGCAGCCCGCCGTTTCCTCCACGTCCCCCAGCGGCAGCATACATGACGCTGCACGCTGGGAGACCGCCCAAATTATTACACGCCGGGGTCAGTCACCTGACCCGGCGTTAAAGGCACAGTGCCTCAATCACAGTGGGAGGTTTAGATATCTCCCACATGTGATTGTTAATTCTGATTGGAAATTATCCAATCAGAATTAACCTTATGGTTTAAATACTTACCTTTCCTGTTCCTCCCTGCCCTGTTGTGGTCTTTGCTTACTAGTATTGCTACTTACCTTGTGTTTCTGGTTACGTACTCTCTGGCTTGTTTATCTGACTCTGTGACTTTCTCCTACCCTTTGACCTCGGCTCGTTTCACGTTATTCTGTCTTCTGGTTCCCCTTACTCGGCTTGTCTCCTGACTATTCTGTGTATGCTTAGCCCGGCCACTCTAAGGTCCGGTACGGCACCTTTTCTGTGTGTGTGTGTGCCAGCGTGTTGGGTTCCCCGAATCGTGACAGGCTTGCCTTCGCTCCCCATGGGCATCAATGAGCCTTGGGCACACATCACCCTGATACCAGTTCACCGGTTGTCCTTCCTTTCATCACCTTTGATAGATGTTAACAACTGCATATTGGGAACGCCTCACAAGATGATACGTTTTGCACATGCTCTCACCCAGAATTTGGCCCTTGTCAAAGGCTCTCAGATCATTTTGCATGCCTATTTTTCCTGCTTCCAACACCTGAAAAAGAACTGACTGTTCACTTGCTGCCTAATACATCCCAACCCTTGACAGGTGCCATTGTAACGATATAATCAAAGTTATTCCCTTCAACAGTGAGTGGATTTAAGGCTGTGGCGGAGCAGTGTAAATTCTATAATATTCTCCAAACTGGTATATCTATTACAATTTTTATCATCTTCCTACAGCAGGGAGTAAGAGCGAGGGTTAGTACGACTATAGAAAATAAATATTGATCCAGGCACTCAAGGATTAAAGCCCAAATAGCAGCTTTTTTAGAGCAAAACAACAGGAATGTTTCAACACAGCAGGGTCTTTGTCAAGATGGCCTTCTAGTGTATTACTTGCTTATTTATTCTTTAACATCCACATATGGGGGGAAACACATGGGGGAAAAGAAGCAGGATTTTTTAAATTATATTGGGAAATAATTCAGGATTTATTTCCTGAACATTTTCTGATCGTTTTCATCCCCCATTTAGCTGCTATTCCTGCACTAAAGAATTAATTATTTTTTTCAATTTACAATTATATTTTTCTATGTAATTATCTACATTTAAAGGAACACTATAGTATCAGGAATACAAACCTACTACTGACACTGCAGCTCTAAAATTACCATTTAGGTGGCTGGCCCTACTCTCCCTGCAGTATTAATGTGATTCACTCACCTTTTTTCAGCACCGCATGGGGCTCCTTGCGGCTGGCTCCGCCCCCCTGGCTGAGATAATCAAACTTGATGATCTCAGCCAAGCAAATGCTTTCTCAACAGAAAGCATTAGGAGGCTATTGTGCATGTGCAGCAAAATGCAGCACTGCTCCGATCAACCTCTCCTCATTGCGATGCATTGAGTGAAGGCATTGTGGAGACGCTGAACATCAGTGTTGCACATTGTGCAGCACTAACCAAGGATGCATCCCTAATGGCTGTATGAGTGACTGCTACTGGAGGTGTCCCTAGGCAGTAATGTAAACAGTGCCTTTTCTCTGAAAAAAAAAGTGTTTACATTAAAAGGCCTGCAGGGACAGGTTGAAGACACCAGAACAACTACATTAAGCTGTAGTTGTTCTGGTGACTATAGTGTCCATTTAAATTCATCAGATTTCAGTATAAATTTGGTAAGGGGGGGGGGGAGAGAACTATACTTTCATGACTTTAACTTTCATCCATAGTTTCAAGTAAAAACTGTTTGCTTAAATGACTAATGTCATTAATGTTTAATGCATAACAGTGTTGCATGTTAATCACTTAAAGGACCACTATAGTGCCAGGAAAACATACTCATTTTCCTGGCACTATAGTGCCCTGAGGATGCCCCCACCCTCAGGGTCCCCCTCCCGCCCGGCTCTGGAAAGGGGAAAGGGTTAAAAACTTACCTTTTTCCAGCGCTGGGCGGGAGCTCTCTGCCTCCTCTCCTCCTCCTGGGCTGAATGCGCACGCGCGGCAAGAGCTGCGCGCATTCAGCCCGTCGCATAGGAAAGCATTTACAATGCTTTCCTATGGACGCTTGCGTGCTCTCACTGTGAAAATCACAGTGAGAAGCACGCAAGCGCCTCTAGTGGCTGTCAATGAGACAGCCACTAGAGGATTAGGGGGAAGGCTTAACCCATTCACAAACATAGCAGTTTCTCTGAAACTGCTATGTTTATAAAAAAATGGGTTAACCCTAGAAGGACCTGGCACCCAGACCACTTCATTAAGCTGAAGTATTCTGGGTGCCTAGAGTGGTCCTTTAAGTGAAAATTGTGAAAACATTATCTAACTCATCTTTGCTTCAGGCTACTTTAGTTTTAGATTTTAAATTCACTTTGAATTGCCAACAATTCTCTCTTTAGTTAAAAACCCTGAAAGTCTTGAAAGAGGAGTTATATCGCTTCTCAATAAACAAGGAAGCAAATGGCTGTAGGGGCAAAATTAATTTCAATACAAATTCTATATATAAATACGTGACTGTGAATATGTTCCCTAGCAGGTCTCAATTCAATTAACAGTGATAATTAGAATTATAGTGCTCATATCCATATGTACACCCACTAGCCTAGATTACCTTTCAGCGCCTTTTACATGGTGGTTATATATAATAATATCATAAAGAAAAAATTCGACAAAGTTTCTTAAAGTGGGGCATTGGCCATAGGAACCAATAAATTCATCTTGCTGAGTGGTCCACTTTTAGAACTCTGATCTTGGTATTCTCTTATTCTGTAATTTCCCATTTTACGTTTTTAAATAAAGGAATGCCTACAGTGTGAGCAACTTTACATTAAAAGCAAACTATATTTGATAAATTCAAATCTATAACACTTACTTATTGTGGCGCTGTCTCATCAACTCAAAATACTTGTGCAGAAGGCTTGCAGGTGAATAAAGCAGAAGCCAGACTTTCAGTGATGTCTCATCCCAAAGGTGTTACCATGGAATTATACCTGGGAGAGCGGTACTGCTGAGCACCGATACACAGCAGGATATTCAATCTGCTCAGCTATGTTACAGACTAACTCTCTCTCCCCACTGACAGTGCGATAGCTAGCTGTGCTGTTTGTGTTATCGTCAAGACAAGCCTCCCTGGATACCTTCAATTTATTGTAATTACTGTCAGCAATGTCAACACCAAATTATTTGTATGAAATGCTATTCTTTCAGGTAAAGTTTTTTTTTTCTTCTTCGAATAAAGAAAAATAAACTGTGGCATATACAGTGGCTTGTTGCTATGGTCAGTGATTGTGTTAGAAAAGTACAATGCAGTTTTACCATTGTTTATTAATTTGCTGTCTGGGGATCACCTACAGACAGGTGTGGAACGTTCACCGGCAGCAAACATTGTGACAGTGGTAGTGATCTTGGCAGAAATACAGGTTGTTGACCAAAGTGGGAAATCGTGAATTTCAAATTTAAGGTCAAAATAGCCAAACTGGAAAAATGCTCTAAGTCAGCTATGCTTTAAGGTCGGCTACTCTTGTCTTAAATTCACTTTGAATTCTTACTTAAGTGAATAACCCTGATAGAAAATCAACACGATCAATTTATATATAAGGTGTAAATATGCTCTGTGGTATGTATGTGTTATGCTACGATGCATTGTGACAGCTATTGGACATTTAATACATTATAGAACTAGAGATTAACCCTTTCATTACAAACGGTTTGCTGTAACTGTCATAATACCATTCAAGGTGAGAACTGTTAGAAATTCAAATTGAATATAAAATTAAAGGCCAAAATAGCTGAACTGGAAAAATCCCCCAAGCCAGCTTTTGTTTGACTTAATTTCGCCTTCAGGGAAACTATAGTGTTAGTAATACAAAACTTTATTCCTAACTCTATAGTGCCCTCTGATCCTTCCCCCCACCCCCCACCCCCTTCCCCTCACGGCTTCTCCCTTTTGGAACATAAAGGGTTAAAAAATTAGGAACACAGAATGTAAAAGATTCCCTCTGCTCCCTCACCCACGGTGTTCAAATGGTTACGTCCTCCGACGTTGGCAATAGGCGGAACCTAATGCACATGAATTAGACCTTCCCCATAGGTAAACATTGAATCAGTGCTTTCCTATTTGATATCTGAAAACAGTGGACATCCTAATGCAAGGCGTGAGGACATTTAGCATTGTTTTATGGAGTTAAAAGCTGTGAAACTGCAGGAAGTGCCTCTAGTGGCTGTCTGGTAGAGGGCAATTAGAGGCAGTTTTAACTCTGCAATGTAAACATTGCAGTTTCCCTGAATAATGAGATGAAGTGGTCTGGGTGCCTATTGTGTCCCTTTAAGTCAGTGGAAATGAAGAGACGAAATGTGGGCTAGAAGGTAGGGCAAATGCTCTATGATATTTGTGTGTTTGGGATGGTCTATGATCCCTATCTGGGAGAGAGTCTGTTAGACATGTGCAATTCATTTCGTTTCAAATGTAAATTCGGCAGAATTTTGGCAATTTGGACATTTTGATGCTTCCGAATGTCCGCAGTGCTGAATTTCAGAAGTGCCAACGTGCTTTTGATTTCTGAAAAGTGGCAAAACAAGAGAGGGAGGGAAAATTATGGAAATAATGACAGGAATCTAACCCTAACCTTACTCCTAACCCTACCCCTAATTCTACCCCTAACCCTAATCCTAACCCTACTCCATAACACTAACCCTGCCCCCAACCCTAACCCTAGATGTAAAAAAATAAAAGTTAAGTGGAGCAAAAGTAGAAAAAATAGGGAGACAGTTTACTACTTAAATGCAGTGAAGTTATGTGGGTAGAGAGAAAAAGGGAACCTATTAACCTATAATTGAAAACACAAAGGATTAGGAGTGCTCTCTCCCTATCATGTTATGACTCTGTCTCATGAATAATACAATATAACAATAAAAATTGATAAGTAAAAATGCAAAAAATAAAAATTAGTAAAAAAATAAATAAAAAGATAAATTATAAAAATATTTGAATATGTAAAATAATTCTCTCATACAGTATATTGTATAAAATTATCCTTCCTCCAACCGTATATATTTACTGCTACTATGCACATTCTTTCCCCAATATGCAAATTTGTAAAAGCACTTAAAAAGAGTTTAAAAGTATGTAAATGTATAACTATAAAGATTAGTACAGACTAGTAAGAAACAAGCCCAATATGAATCCTATTACCCTTATTAAAGTACTAGTTCAACATTGGAATGAAAAAACCTTAAAAATGTATAATTCACAACTTTATTAAATCCCTATAAGGATGATACAAACACACACACACAAAACAGTGACAGAAACATGTGATAAAGTGAAAAGAATATAGAAAATAAATAAGATTGGACAAGCAGATGGATCCTATATAGATAGTCAGAATGATCTCCCAGCTTAGAAATAGACTAGAAAGCAGGTGAACGTAACCTGATACTATGTTGCAAAAATGCATACAAATTGAAAGCACCCAGCTAAGTCTTATGAGCTGCTGGTGGCTAAGAAAGTCTGATATAGTATCTAATATAGAACAATAAATGTAGCAGACTGATCCTAAGGCAGTGTAATGGATCATAGGCAGAACTTGTAGAGTAAAGAAGGCTCTGTATGTTGTTAACCAGTGACTCTGTCTTATTAATCAGCTAAATAAGCTAATCGTTAAGAAACCATAGAAAGAAAGGGAAATTGGAACATATGGGGTAATCAAAAACAGTAAACCCCAGGCTGAAAAACGATAACAGCCGGGAAACCAACAATTGAATATGAAATTGCCCCTAGTATAATACCCCTTATGGTCAAGTGCTCAGAGCCAATATAATAATATATAGATGATAGACAAGTATGCAGACCTAAATTGGTCCGCTCATAAGTAAATGAACAAGTAGTCCCATATGCACTGCTTAAAAAAATAAAGGGAACACAAAAATAACATCCTAGATCTGAATGAATTAAATATTCTTCTGAAATACTTTGTTCTTTACATAGTTGAATGTGCTGACAACAAAATCACACAAAAATTAAAAAATGGAAATCACATTTTTCAACCCATGGAGGTCTGGATTTGGAGTCACACTCAAAATTAAAGTGGAAAAACACACTACAGGCTGATCCAACTTTGATGTAATGTCCTTAAAACAAGTCAAAATGAGGCTCAGTAGTGTGTGTGGCCTCCACGTGCCTGTATGACCTCCCTACAATGCCTGTGCATGCTCCTGATGAGGTGGCGGATGGTCTCCTGAGGGATCTCCTCCCAGACCTGGACTAAAGCATCTGCCAACTCCTGGACAGTCTGTGGTGCAACGTGATGTTGGTGAATGGAGTTAGACATGATGTCCCAGATGTGCTCAATTGGATTCAGGTCTGGGGAATGGGCGGGCCAGTCCACAGCATCAATGCCTTCGTCTTGCAGGAACTGCTGACACACTCCAGCCACATGAGGTCTAGCATCGTCTTGTATTAGGAGGAACCCCTGGCCAACCACACCAGCATATGGTCTAACAAGGGGTCTGAGGATCTCATCTAGGTACCTAATGGCATTCAGGCTACCTCTGGCAAGCACATGGAGGGCCACCACACATCATTACTGACCCAATGCCAAACCGGTCATGCTGGAGGATGTTGCAGGCAGCAGAACGTTCTCCATGGCGTCTCCAGACTCTGTCACGTCTGTCACATGTGCTCAGTGTGAACCTGCTTTCATCTGTGAAGAGCACAGGATGCCAGTGGTGAATTTGCCAATCTTGGTGTTCTCTGGCAAATGCCAAACGTCCTGCATGGTGTTGGGCTGTAAGCACAACCCCCACCTGTGGACGTCAGGTCTTCATACCACCCTCATGGAGTCTGTTTCTGACCGTTTGAGCAGACACATGCACATTTGTGGCCTGCTGGAGGTCATTTTGCAGGGCTCTGGCAGTGCTCCTCCTGTTTCTCCTTGCACAAAGGCGGAGGTAGCGGTCCTGCTGCTGGGTTGTTGCCCTCCTACGGCCTCCTCCATGTCTCCTGATGTACTGGCCTGTCTCCTGGTAGCGCCTCCATGCTCTGGACACTACGCTGACAGACACAGCAAACCTTCTTGCCACAGCTCGCATTGATGTGCCATCCTGGATGAGCTGCACTACCTGAGCCACTTGTGTGGGTTGTAGACTCCGTCTCATGCTACCACTAGAGTGAAAGCACCGCCAGCATTCAAAAGTGACCAAAACATCAGCCAGGAAGCATAGGAACTGAGAAGTGGTCTGTGGTCACCACCTGCAGAACCACTCCTTTATTGGGGGTGTCTTGCTAATTGCCTATAATTTCCACCTGTTGTCTATCCCATTTGCACAACAGCATGTGAAATTGATTGTCACTCAGTGTTGCTTCCTAAGTGGACAGTTTGATTTCACAGAAGTGTGATTGACTTGGAGTTACGTTGTGTTGTTTAAGTGTTCCCTTTATTTTTTTGAGCAGTGTAGGATACACCCTGAAGATACAGAGATTAGCCAATAGTATAGAAAATATAGCTAAATGATATGTAAATAACTGCTACAGGGTAACCTCTCATAAACTAGATATAGCCAGTGTAAAATAAACTAAACATTGCTGCTTCAAGGCAGCCTATCATCTACCTAGCCTATCATCAGCCTATAATCTACCTAGCAAAATAGCCAATACCCACTCATCTACTACTGTCTAAAAATAGAAACTGCCTATTTGCCCAGTGAGATTGTTAAGATTTATAGTAATAACAAATTGCTAAGGCATGCAAAAGCTGTCCAACTATTAAAAATGACCAGTGGAGCGTCTGATTGATTATTGATATTGATTCCTTTTTATTTACCCTTAATTTTATGGATTATCCTGCCAATAACCCGTTAAGTACATTGATTTTTTATACCTTCAAATTTACCGTTGACAATAGCTTTGGTTAATAACATCTACAGTATAAAATATGTTTAGTTATGTATCAACTCCAATCTTCATATGGATTTATATTTATTTATATATGCATTTATATATGTGTAATATACAATCGTTTTAGATGTTATATTAGATTTTTATATCATGTATCACTACTATTTTAATCATTGTATGCCGTACATGC